AGAGACCATAAAAGTGAGACATTTTGGTTTTCCTTTGGCGGACGATGTCTGTTGGAAGAGTTTGAGATGAGAAAGTTGTGGAAATTGAAAATGCATGGTCGATCTATAAAGCTGAGTTGTATTGTCGACGCAGACACTTAGTTGGAATCCAGGGGTGCCACTTGAGAAAGTGAGTGGAGCTCAGAGGGTGTGTGCCAAGTGTCAGTGTGTGCCTAGTCAAGAGGCTCTTAAGTGCAACATAAAAAAAAGGTTGGAATAGAAGAAATAACTTGTTGATTTAGAAGTTTCACTTTTATTGTACGCTTTTGGTTGAGGTCAACTATATTTTCGGCTATTTGGGTCCCACCTTTAGTTCCCCAAATCACTGCTTTTCCGACATTGGCAATGCTGATGGATAGTTTAGTTTGCATTCTGTAATTGTCACCATTTTGGTGTTGTAATGTTTGTTGCATAAAAAGGTTCTGTGCCTCTCTGTTCAAACCAACAGTGGAGCAGCCATCATCTCCACTGTCAGATCTGAGACATTGGTAACTGTGACAATATCTACGATGGTGGTCTGGTCTCCGGGATGGACGAGTGGTTTGGACCTCCGGTCAAGTGATTTTCATTTAATTTATCCCTGAAGCATTATTGGCTGAGTTGACTGCAGACCAGAATGGAAACTACCACCCTTCTGCTTTGTGTGCCGAGCACTTTTGCCGCAGCTCCACTCCACTGGAAGCAATGGGGTCAGATTTGATTGTTCACTTTTGTCTTACATCCCAGCATTATTAGGGCCTGCTCATAAACCCCTGCACTGGGGGCTAAACATATTATGTATGATGCATTCATTTATCTAGTAAAACATGATTTTTACATCATAGGGCCGCCCTTTCCAGCATCAAAATGTAAGAATAGGCTAGGCTTTACCCTTTCTGGCAATGCAGACATGATTCCTTGCAAAAGGTTTCAGTTTGGTGTTTTAAAATCTCAACACCTGTTTGATTGCCAAAAAGGGTAAAACCTATTGTTATATTTCGATTTTTGCAAGGGAGGTCCCATGATGTAGCTGCTCACCCCGAGCCCTCATTACTCTGATAGTGCATTGTCTTTGTGCTGTCCGCCTTTTGACGTTCTCTGGTCTAACACCGTTTTGAGACTAGGCTCTCAAGAAAGCTGTCTCTGGTGTGGACCAATCAGTTGCAAAGACAATGCAAATGATATCCGAGCATATATTTTAGTTTGCATGTTCACCACATATATGATTCCTTGCAAAAGGTTTCTGTTTGGTGTTTTAAAATCTTAACACCTGTTTGATTGCCAGAAAGGGTAAAACCTATTCTAATATGAATTTTACACCCACCATCTTTCGTGCATTGTGCTTGGAAGAATCGATGATTTACGGTTTAAACAAATAGTATGTAATTTCTTGGCTTAAAGCTTTCGTGGCTGCAGGAATTCATTCTCTTTGGGTTTCTTTGGTTCTTACCCAAAGACCCAAAGACTATGTATGTAATTTATACTTACATTTAGGCTGAGGGAGCAATCGGAACTCTACAATCACAACAAGCGTGGAATGCCCCGTTTGTTAATTGTGCAATTCTTCTTAAGGCTCCTTTACCCGTTCTCTACAACATCGATGTCTTTGTCTTTTGTTTTTGTTGCTGCTGCTGCTGTGCTTTTGGGGCATCGTGGATCTCCCTGGGCGATTGCCGGGCAGCCGGGTAAACGGGACCAATCCGTGTAACGAATCAAATCAACTTGAACAAATACCAGAAATGGGACAAATGACACTGTGAAAGAAACTTTGACAATTCAACTTAATTGTGTCCTGTATAGTGAGCATCTAATGGCAGGAGATGGGGAGGGGGGGTCAATGAGAATTGATACTCGCCTGTTGGCTATTATTAGTTTAATCGTTTGGGGGCATAGCGAGCTTGGTGCTTGGTACCGGTTGATTGTAATCGCAGTGAGCACCCAGCCGTGAGTGTCGTCGCATCAGAAGGAATTAAATCAACCAGGCTCTGTTTTGACGTATCCTTTATTGACACGTGTCTTTGGTAAGTTCGAAAAAAGGCCTCGTTGCCTTTACTATCTGAACGCTAAGTGTTGAAAACGCTCCTGTACAGTTGATTGGGAATGTGGTTGCAGATTTTTCCAGGAAGGCACGTAGATGAGTGGTATTTTGGTTAATGATTAATTCTCCAGCATTCACCCTCTTTTGTGTGCACGGGACAGATTTGTTTGTTGCTTTATTAAGGGTAAGCTTAGGGATAAAGAAGTTGAAACGACTGTGTGTACATGATAAACGTGTCATGCACGCACAGAGCTTATCCCCCATGTACAATGTACGTGTTTCATCTTCTTGGTTCTTTCGGTAAAGTCACGTAGAAGAGAAATAATAAAATAATACAAATTAAACATAATAAAATACATTTTTTGTTTTTTATTATTTTTGTTATTTCCCTTCTCCGTGACTTTACCGAAAGAACCAAGAAGATGAATCCCTGCAGTCACGAAAGCTTTAAATCGAAATTTAATGTACGTGTTTGTATCATAGTATCTCAAATTCAAAAGTGTGTCTGCTCAAGCCAGCGTGGGGGATTGTTATTTCTCCATTGACGTCCCTGAGTCCCGCGGTAGACAATCCACACTCCTTTTGGCAGCAGGCAACCTTTCCACAGGACAACCACTGTGTACTTTCAAAAAGCATGACATATTTTTTTTATATCAACTTCAGGGGGAATGATGGGTTGTAGTGACCCCCTGACCTTGATTCGATGTATTGTATTACTGAATGACCTTCCTCTCATTTGGCTTGTCTGCCAGTGAAGGCCATCCAGAATAAACGTGAAGTGGAGCGAACAGACCTTTGCTGTGTTGATATTTCTCTTTTTAATCAGCCTGCGTGATAAGTGAACGCAACTGCAGCGTAATTTCAGTGCAGTGCAAAATGGTGAGATGCTAACTCTCTTGCCCGGTATGCATGAGGTCGTGGGTTCGACCCTGATGCCTGCATATTTGGAGTTTGCATGTTCTCCCTGTGGTTTTCCCCCCCATATTTAGAAACGTGCGTTTACAGTATTTGGTTGCAATACATTTCCACACGATAAGCCACTTCGTTGAGCTATAATTTGTGGCCAGGTCACTTCTGAAAAAGAGCTACGCAGCTCAGTGGGCCTTACCTGGTCGAATAAAAATAGCTTAGTTTAGTAATAGTTTTATTCATCATCAGCCATGGTCAACCCAGTGTAGGATGAAGACCTCCCTAAGCCTCCACCATCGACCACGGCTGTGCGATGTGAAAATCCACCCAGCACCTGCACACAAGCTAATTCATGACTCCATCTTCTTGGTGGATGCCCTCTCGGACGCGTTGGCTGCCACTCCATTCCTTGGCTGCCACTCCATCGGCCATCATCCCTTCTAGTGACATGTCCTGCCCAAGCCAACCTACTTTTCTATTCATATACATGTGCTATACATGTCCCATTGCCTGTTTTTTTTTACATGCCGTGGTATGTTGGTAAATGTGTCAAGATGGTTGTTTTTGTTTTTAAATATGTACATATAGAAAATTACTTTCCATTCATCTGCGCCATTGCACTTCAATAATATGTAACATTCTATCTTGATTTGAAGCTTTCGTGACTGCAGGAATCCATACTCTTTGGTTCTTTCGGGAAAGTCACGTAGGTAGAAAAAAATAATAGATCACAATGTTTCGATCACAACACAAGCAACCGCCATCAGGCGAAACGTCGTGATCTATTATTTTTTCTACCTATGTGACTTTACCGAAAGAACCAAAGAGTATGCAACATTCTTTTAAACAATATAAAAGAAAACACACATTGTTAGTTTCGTGTAAAAATGTATAATGGTTCAAGCCTGAACTGCTTTCTCCATTTCTGTGTGTGTATGCCAATGTACTATACAGCCAAAGGGTCACCTATCTATTATTTCGAAAATTGTCCTGGCATTTCATTTGTACAAATGAGATGGGGGGGTTCCTCTGTACTATGTTTGTGTGTATATAAACATGCCATAAACTTTCACTAAAATGTTTCCCTGGTGCCACACCTATTATTCATTAAAGTTATTCACAGTAAATGAGCAGCCTTCTGGTTCTCCAAAGGTTACATTGCATTATTCATTAAACCCATTCACAGAATTTTGGGCGTTTGTTTTCGTGCCAATATTTACGGTTGAGGATTGCAGTTCGGGCTCTGAAGGCGGAATGATAATTGCATCTGATTTGCAGTGAATATTTCACCGGCTTACACTTATTGGGAAGTCAAATCGTGGCCATCCCCATGGGGTTTACTGGCCCCCACTGTAGGAATGTAGAATTCACACTGGTGACTTAAAAATGCTCTTTGTGCATATGCTGCAGTTGCATAAATAGCTCTTATATCTGTGGTCCGAGTGCCCAACTCGCATTCCTAATAGTTTCCAATTTAATATTCGAAGGCATTTTGTCCATCTGTATGCAGTTTTTGTCACACGTGTCGGTGGGCGTGCCTGGGCTTGTATGCACATGTGCACAAGGGGTGTTACGAGCCCTCACGTTTGTGTTGGTGGGGGAGTAAGTGACAGCGTAGTGTTTACCGCATGGTGGTGCAATCTCATTGACCTGGGTTTACATCCTGGATGTCAACAACATCGATGGTGATTAGTTTCTGAACTTGGCCTCAACTTTCTCAACATTTAGCTCTGTGTAAAATGAATACCAGGTTCATTGTGTGAACATCACCACTGAGAAGACAGAGGCAGCCAGCTAGGCTGCCGGTTTAGCTGCCTTTGGACAGGCTGCACCACTCCACCGTGTGCTACGCTGTGTTCGCTAACAGCAGTTGCCCCAGCAGTCTGTGTGGCTAAATGGGGGGAGTGTTTGCTTTTGTTTGTGTTGGTAAGTGCGCTTCGGCCATCTCGTGTACGTGGGAGGCTGCTTGTGCATTAACGTGCGCTTTTGCCTCTCTGCGTGCGTGCGTGCGTGCGTGCGTGTGCGCCTGCATCAGTGAACTGGGTGGACCACGGGCGCACGCTACGCGAGCAGGGTGTGGAGGAGAACGAGACGCTACTGCTGAGACGCAAGTTTTTCTACTCGGACCAGAATGTGGATTCACGTGATCCTGTTCAGCTCAATCTGCTCTACGTGCAGGTAATCATTCTACATTTGCATCTCAAGTCACGTGCAGAGTGCCTTCCTCTTCGAGCGAGGAGCCCTCATCGTCCAAACTCATCTCCGTCAGATAGCCTTGACCAAACGTTTTAAAATGACATTCCCATAACAAGGGGCATCCTGTCTCCACTTTTGACTCGCGACAAAATGAGGATCATTTTGTTGCAAGGGAGGGATGTTGCGCTCAGTCGACTCACATGAGGGCTTTGAACACCCGTTGCGTTTTCAGTGCCGTGTTAACATTGGACTGGGCCACGGAGAGCATGGTCACATGTGTGGAATTTGCAGCATTAGCTTAGACCTGTCAACATAAATGAGCACCACCTCCTGCTCATTTGAGCAAAGAAACACTTTGGCTTTTAGCCACAACTTTAGTTGCTTTCTTGAATCTGCCTTGCAAATGTGCGTTGTGCAACTATCGAGACTTGGCATGGGCAATAATTGGCATGAAAGCTCGCGGTGGCACTGATGTCAGTCGGTCAAGTCAGTTTTTTTTTTAAATAAGGAAGATTGAGTTTCATCCCGGCTAAAGCAGCTGGCATGCTACATATGGGAAGCGAGGGTTTACAGGAGTTGTGAAGAAAAAAAATAGAGGAATGTTATAAATATGGCTAATACATAATAATAAATTATGATGAGCAAAAATTATAAACAACCAGAACTATGTACAATGGAAATCTAGTCAGCATTCTTTAAAAAAAACATACATAACACTAATGAAAGGAACGCACATATTGCATTTAAAATAGCATTAATAATGGAAAGGGTTACAATTGCATTTCCATCGTTTGAATTAAAGCTCTACAAAAATTGCATTTTAAAGTTCCGGTTGCAAAAAAGGCTTTGCTAATGGTTTTCACAAATGTGGTAGTAGAAGTTATCAAGCAATGCCTTCAAAGCAGATTAAGATGATAGGGGGTCAGATTATTTCGGAGTAACCAATTCATCCTATAATTCAAGCGCCGCAATTGAGAAGAGTCCCCCTCGACCCATATTACATTCTGAATGTGTGTGGTTGTGGCTCCGTCTCATACCCGGGTATAGGCTCGAGATGACATCCTCAACGGCTCGCACCCCGTCTCGTTCGACAAGGCGTGCGAGTTCGCCGGCATTCAGGCGCAGATCCAGTTTGGGCCACACGTGGAACACAAGCACAAGGCTGGCTTCCTGGAGTAAGGCGACCTCACTCGCACCCAACCCCCGACCTCCACCAACGATAGCTTGCGACTCTTACCCATGCGTCAAATCTTCCAGCATATTTATATCTTTGAAGCTTACATCCCGTGCAGCTCATCTCAAATCTCCTGTCTCGTAAGAGTCTGGAATGTGCTGAGAGAAAATAAAATGGAAATGGAGCAGAAGTGGCCAGCAAGCTCAGGCAGTAATACCACCCAGCACTGCTGAGAGTTGGAGCAGCCACGCGGCATTCGAACAGGTTCTCAGTAAATGTTGTGGGTTTGCTCTCCAGCATGCCGGTGTGCTGACTTAGTAACTCATTGGTATGGGGCAACCTTACTAATTGGCTGTGTCGGGTGGAGGTGGGTTCGCGACACGTGTACATTTACACGATCTAACTCAATTTTTTTTATTATGAATTGTATTGGTCATGAAAGCCTACGTGTTAAATTGAGTTTCTCAGTGTCTCGGGCATAACAGGTCCATGTTATGAGCCTGGTCACCAGCGATTACACAAAATACCAAAATGTAAAATTTAGCTTGTACTTAATTCAGCTTATGTAAAGGCCTGTGGACTGTAAGCTTTTGTGTGATTTCCTTGCCTTGAAAGGTATAGCACTGAGCATGAATAATTTGCCTCTTGATGTGCATTTATAAGTACGGTAGTTCTGTAGCATCTTCCGGAGGCTCTGTGCAAACATGCACGTAATTCTTGGACATTTTATGAAAGAAGGTATTTATATCATGAACATACTGCTATTCACGTGTTCACATAATAGCATTTAATGGATATGCTGTATATATATATTTTTTTCATCAAAGTAAAATTACGGGTTATTAACCTCCAGGTTGTTTATAGCTTTTTGTTGAGTGTTTCTACGATTTCATTTTAGGAATCTGCTCATGAAAATGTTATCAGAGCTAGTCATTTGATTTTCTGGTTGCCACAACCAGGTGTCTTCTGCCACTGTGAAGTGCCACATTTGTGAAGATAGCCCTTGCAATTAAGAAGCTACTCAAAGTCAAAACACATTTGTTGGAAAGTGCACATTTTTAGCTATCGTTGCCAGCGACCACAGCTTGTTCTCTTGCCAAGACGTTCGCGCTGCCCAGCACGTGATACAGATCAGGCTTTGTGGGGGTGCCCACCCCTGCCACCTGACTCGCCCTCCAGAATGCTTGGCTCTAGAGACATCTCTATTGACTGCCGTGTGAAGTAATACTCTGTTTATGACCCACGTTGCAATGATTGGCCACCCCCAAACAGGATTCGAACTGGTGTACTAGTTGTTTGTTAAAACACACTACAAACTGGCTGGATAACATATATATAATTTACACTCAGAAATATTTTTTTCCCAGTGTATTTATGATGTATGCAAAGCCTGAAACATTTAGTGTGCAGCCTGCCTGGCAGACTGCAAGCGATGCACTGCATTGGCTCAGCCGTCAAGTACAGCACCACGTGCATGATATAACACGGGCGCTCGTACGAGCCAGACAGGCCTGGCAACATCCAGTGAGTGGCCATTCGATGTGCACGTCTCTCAAGCATTCCTTTCATTGCAGACAAGATTTTGTGGATTATTCTCAGATGGCGTCGGTTGTAGAATAAAGCCCCCCCAATGTAGAATGTTGCATTGTTGCTCACTGTCTGAAGCCAATTGTATGAAGCCATTTGAGTTAAGGCAGAACACACCACAACGCAATCTGATTTGGATTGATAACAAATGCCTTCAAAAGATGAAATAAACTCGTGTGAGGTGGATTATCACATCGTGAGATCTTGAGAGATGGCAGTGGCTTGGATAGAGGTCTTCATCCAGCACTGAATTGGTCATGGCTGATGACGATGGTTATGGTCACGCTATCCTGCTGAAACAAATAATGAAGTGTTGCTCCTATACATTTTCAGCCCTGGTGAAAATTCCACATTCCTATGGGTAACCACTGTCTGTTAATAAGGTCCAGCCACCGTTGACTTATCACAAAGTGGTACTCATTTAATCCCCATGGAGGCCTGTTGCTTTGACTCCTTTACCAGCATGCGAACTTGTGTGCGTCAAATATCCACAACCACAATGCCACGTCGTCGGATTAATTTCAAACACATGACAGCATGGGTATTGTGTACTGGATAATTTCCATACGACTACAAAAATACATTCACTTACAGAGGTGTAGTGACATCACGGGATGTCACTGTGTAGTGCCGGCCCTAGAGAGGCACGGCATGCGGTGTAACGACATCGCGGACACCACTACGATGTGGGTGTAGGACCGGCCCTAAAGGGGCTCAGTCAGCGCTGATTGATAGCGCTGGATGGCATCACGCTCGGCGTGCAGTGCCAGCCCTACAGGATAGGGTGTGGAAGTGCCCGCTGTAGGAATGAGGTGACATGAAAGGACACGTGACCAGTTAAGTCTACAAAGGGGCCCCAAGTGGGGGCTAGGGGTGGTCACGTGGTCCGGGTCGAGATCCTGCTTGAGGATTCTGGAAGGTGGTCGTGGCCAAGGGCGGAGCCAGCCACGCCGCAGAGAATATAGGCCGGGTCCCCCAGAGGGACCAGCGTTGTTGTTCATCCTGCAGAAACCTTCGTCTTTGTCCTACGTTCTACCGAGTCTCCAACACGTGGACCTGGACCACAGCTGTGGTCCGGTTCAATGTAGCTAGTCACGTTGTAATTATTGTAGTTAGCCTGGTGGTCCACCACCATAGGTTGTTATTCTGTTAAGGGGCAGTTACCCCGTGTGTTGGTGTTAAATAAATGTGTTGCCTCCAAGAGTACATCTGCGACTCAGTTGAACTCACTACAGAGGTATAAAAACGTATGATGTAAAACATTTATGTGATTCGATAGACAGGGGCCTATTCAACGCGTTATATCATACGTAATCTTGCATGTCGAAACCCCACTGCACACCTTAATGGTGTTTTACTTTTGTCTGCATTTGAGACCGCTGAATAAATAAGGATGGTGCACAAACTTTGAGAGTCGTCATGAAAGCAGACAATCAACAAACTTATAGAGTAATGGAACGCAATCTGAATATTTCCTTAAGCATTGCAGCTCGATATTTTGTGGGCCTGTGGCATTTTGTCAATGCAAATGATCGATGTCTTCTAACCATTCTTAATTAGATGTATTAAGTTCCTATTTATTATTCATGGTTAATGAATGCCACAACAATTCTATGTTAAAACGTGGAGTGTTTAATAATCATATTAGCGTGGCAGTTATTTATATATGTGTATGAAACTTTTGCACGCCAATTTATGCATAACAAAAAGGGAATGTTAATTATCTGTATTATTCCTCGTGCGTGTATATCGTTCATGATGTCAGAAAATAGCGAAAATGTTTAAGCATTCTATGCAAATTAGAATGGCAACTTTTAATGAAATTACTTCTTACAATTCCCCAACAAAAAGTGTAATACGGCAGAGCTGAATAAATTAGCTGCTTAAACATGATTGTTATTACACATTTATATTTAAGTACTGTAATCCCATTGTATATACATAGAAGTTCACTCCTATTGTAGAATTTAGATGCCAGGATATATTTAGGCACCCACATTTTCTTTTTTGCACCTCGTGAGATGTTAACTACCTACCTTGGTATACAGGAGGTCATGGGTTGGATCTCGACCATGATGCCTGTATATTTGAAGTTTGCATGTTCTCCCCGTGGTTGTGTGGATTTTTTTGCCAGGTCTGGTTTTTCCTTCCACATTTATAAACATGTATTTAGAGTATTTGGCTACTATAAATGCCCACGTGATGAGCCACTATCGTGAGCTATCATTTGTGGCCAGACCGTTTCTGAAAAAGAGCCGTATAGCTCAGTGGGCCTTACCTGCTAAAATAGTTTCCTGCACGCTTTTTTATTTTTAAGAACAAATGCTATCTGCAGCTGTACATTGGTTTGAAAAAGTCAAAACAAGTGGGTATGGGGCAGCGGTGCTCATATATGTAAGAGACCCTGAATCATTGGTGTGAATTTCAAATTTCCTTATTGGGTGCCAGTCTCTCCATAGGATGACCACTTTTGATTATTTACATGGTGGTAGGCAGCTTTTACACCCTCTGGCAGAATTTAAACTTTCCACTGTCCAGTTATAGGTCAAGTAGGTCTAATGACAATGTCAATGGGCCGAATATTTTAACATGAAAGTGATGTACAAATGTTTATACGAGAATGTTTAACATGTAAGTCTGTGTTTCTTATTAGATGGTGTTTGTCTTTTCAGTTTAAAGGAGTTTTTGCCCAAGGAGTATGTGAAACAGAAAGGATCAGAAAAGAAGATTTTTCAGGTATGATATTTCCCCCTCAAAGCAATGATCAAGTTTAAGATGTGTGGTTTAATCACATCCTTTTCGGTGTTGATTTCCAGTTATTTTTGGTATTATTTTAGTTTTTTCTTTGGGCACTATTTTTTTGTGTATACCTTTGACACGTTTTCTTCCGTTGGTGCCTTTTCCCCCGTACGGATCACTTTAACGTTATTCTGTGCTGATGCACCACTGATCTCCCTTGGGAACTAACTGGATAACTGGCTAATTGGGACTTTCCATGTAACAAATTAACTGTGATGAAAATATTTTGTAAAAGTTATTTGTACACTGCAATGCATCGATGTGATTCTCTAGCATCTTGTGTAATTGACAGCATCATGGGTGTTAACTCAACAGGATGTGTGTCAATATGAATAAAGTAATCCTAAAAGTAAGCAATTAATAAGATTGTGATTTTAGATATGAAGACTAAAACATATATATACGGGCTTAGGTCACAATCTGATGTAAGCATGGGAAGATTCGGTGACGAGATGTTAACTACCTCGCCTGGTATGCAGGAGCGCGTGGGTTCGATCCCAGCCCTGATGCCTGTATTTTTGGAGTTTGCATGGTCTCATAGATTTTTCTCCAGGTCCTCTGGTTTTTCCCTTCAGTACTGAAAATGAATTAATGACCTGGAAGAATATAATAGCACAGTAACACTGCATTTTAGATGTGAGCCATATTTTGAGATATGAAAATCCACATTTTCTTTTAACAGACATCATTACGTCGACATTGGGATGTATGTATGTTGAACTTCTTTCGCACTGTATGTAGCCAACCGTGCTAATCGGTTTAGGTATTTGTTTATGTCTGTGGTAGGTTGCCTTCACAAGCCATTGGTTCCATTATGAATGAATATGAAAACTCTATTTATTTTACTTAATGATTTATGCACACATGCTGTCATTTTTCCTGTAGTTCTTTGCTTGCATACACGTCAAAGTGTATCGTCTTTGTTTTACCCATCAGTCAATGTAAAAGCCATCGTGCCTCTCATGTAAATAAGCAATGGGGATGCGCTCATCTCCTTTGCTAGCCCTGAACGAGTGGTGGAAATTGCACATTCCCTTCGCATGGGCGAGCCTATGCAGAGGACATGCAATGTCAGTTCTTCACAAACCGGCACTCACTGTGTTGGGTCAGGAAGATGATGCGCCGAGTCAACCTTTGACTCTGGTTTTAAACTCACAACCTTCCGCTTGCGAGTGGAGTCGTGTGTGACCAGTGCCATCTGGCCGCTGTTGCGTCGTAAGCATCTTGCCATGGATGCCCTTTAAAAAATACGATCTGAATAACAAGGAACTGTCATGGCTGAAGTGATGTTTACCGTTATTGTTTTGGTTTAGGAGGGGATATGCGAGTGAACGTGTCACTTCTTTTGTTTCTGCTGAGGCAGGCTCACAAGGAGTGCGGCGAGTTCAATGAGATCACGGCCAAGTCCAAGTACGTGAAGTTGGCTCGCTCGCTGCGTACCTACGGAGTGTCCTTCTTCCTCGTGAAGGTGAGAAACGGCCTCCCGGCAGCCCGGTGCAGTAGCCACGAGCAGACATTGGCTCTTGTGTGGCGAGCAATGAAAGCCGACTTCTGTGTCTTGTCACATCCCAGCGGTGGAGACTATCTCTCTTCTGGAGAGCCTCTGCTGACTTACCACAGTGTTACTTGTTTTATTCACCCTGAATGGATGGATAATGGATTACGTAGGACTATTAGATGTGAGTTGGCCACTGCCAAAGCACCTTCTGGCTGGAAGTATGTTATATTGTCGGTTTTTTACACCAGAAATAAATTATGCCAATATGATGCTATGCATAATGATTAATGTAGATACATGCCCAATATGACAGGTGAAGTTTTGGCATGTAAAAAAAACTTTGAAATAAGTTGCTTAGTTTAGATGCCAGTCTACACTGATGAATAGAAGAAAGGGGCAAGCTTCTGACATTTATTGAGTTGGGATTGGGAGGTGGCCAGTCTGGGATGTGATGTTGCTCTTGGTTTTGTTTCTCTGCTTTTTTAAGACAAAGAATAAAATCAACATTTATTTCCACGATGCACCAAATTGTTCTAGCCACAGTTTAGTATATTTATGTAAACTGTATGAATATGCTCGCTGCCAGCTTGTGCAGTCGGGCAGTCTGGATTGACATTGGATGCCACTTTTGGTCTTGTTAAATTTGTCTGGCTACGGGTATTAGTCTTGTGCAGTGCCAGCCAGTTTGCTTGAGTGTGTGTGCACATCCTGTGTACGTGTGCATTATTTTTTCTCGTCCATCTGTGTGTGAGCAAGTGGCTTAGTCTGTGAGTGTGCATGGTTCTTAAGGAATGTATTCAGATGATGTGTAAATACTAAAAGCTCAATTTAAGACACTCTAACGGCAAAGTCAAATTGTCCTTTTTACTTCCAACAAGTGTTGTGCGGTGTTACATCATCGGAATGGAATTGTAAGAAAAACATGTACGTCGTTGGAATGGGAAAGGGTTACAGAGTATTCTTCGTATAAGAGGACATCGTAGTAATTGGAGAAAACCCACGCATGTGAGGGGATAAAACTCAAAATACTCCACAGGTCTATATAAACCCATTTTCCATTCTGGCATCTAATGGCTGCCTCACAGTCCAAATTGTACATCTGCATGACCCGCCAACCCGTACCTTTACAGTGCCGGATTGTGTGTGTTCACCACCATCGCATTTTTGGGAAAATAACCCAAATATCCTGTAGAGGGCCTCTCTCGAGCTCCCTCTAGTGGAGGCCCTTCTACCAGCAATGGCATGGGAAGGAAATTGCTTCACTGCACATTTATCTTTTTACCTTGACCATTTTGTGCCTGGCACAGGAGACACTAGCTCCCCCCCCCCCCCCCCATCATTGAAATGCATACCAGCTCAGGGCTGCCAATGAAACCTGATGACAGAGACTTGTGTTGCCTCCGAAACGTCGTGATTTATTATTATTTTATTTTTATTAATTTTAATTTCATTTTTTTACCTACGTGACTTTACCGAAAAAACTAAGAGTATGAATCCTTGCAGTCACGAAAGCTTCAAATCTAGAATGAAACACAAGTTTGTGGATATTTGAGCGGAGAGATCCCTACGACTTTAGATGTAGTGAACAGTGCTTCTGCCGTCGGCTCGCGTTGCTACTTTTGCGCGCGTTTTTGTCACCCAGGAAAAGATGAAGAGCAAGAACAAGCTGGTGCCTCGCCTGCTGGGCGTCACCAAGGAGTCGGTGCTGCGTGTGGACGAGCGCACCAAGGAGGTGATGCAGGAGTGGCCGCTCACCACCGTCAAGCGCTGGGCCGCCTCGCCCAAGAGCTTCACCCTCGTGCGTAAATCTCACCTCGTGATGCTCGTGCGCGGCTACGGGGCGGGCGGGGGGGGGGTGTGGAAGGAATAGTCTGACATTTTCCACTGCACTTAAAATGCGTGCCAGATCTTCTCTGTACCAGAATTGTATATGTGTGTGTGTACTTGTGTTGCACTTCTTTGTGTGTGTGTACGTTGGATTTGTAAGGCACCCTTAGGTTTTTCGGTAAAGTCACGTAGGTACAAAATAAAATTAAAAGTTAATAATGGAAATAAAATAAAATAATAAATCACGACGTTTTGGAGGCAACACAAATCTCCGTCATCAGGTGGGACCGTCACAGCTAAAAGCTTCAAATCTAGAATTGTAAGGCACCGTTACGTAGCCAACCGTGCTTACCGGAGGTGCAGCATCGTACCTAGTTGTGTGTGTGATGAACCTCGTGGCCTTGTTCCCTTCTTTCCCCATCCCATGTTGTCCACTCACCTCCCAGCCGCTCTTTGTACACATCCTGATCATGATTCATTTTTTCTGTTCACCTCCTCCAGCCTAGTGTTTGACTGAAGGAGGCCAAACCTTCACTTCGCAGGGTTCTAGGTGAAATCAGAAGGTTAGGGTCGGGGTACAATGTTATCTTTAAAAATGAAATCCTGGGGTGCCCTAGTTTCAGCCGTGATTGATAAAACAACAATTGAGAAAGGACAATAACGAACAGCAACATTATAACTGTGGCCCGTTTTGATACGGACATCTTGGGGTGACCTTGTTCGATTTGTGATAAGCATCACTTTTACTTTGTCGACATGTTGGCACATCCCCCACCACTTGTTATGCATCCCAACTGCACCATTTTCAATTACAGCCAAAAAAAACACATCACCATAATTTACATTTCATTGCATGGTTAAAAATATTAGGTGAATGATTTGGCCAATGGCTTAACTCTGTAAGAGGGGCTTAGATTTGTAGAACAGCAGAGAAACAGTCCTTTCTCTTGCTTGAGTCAGGATATGAGTGCAATACATTCACAGCCTCATTGGCTGCACTACGTGTGATGGACTCGGCAAACTCGCTCTCACATTCTCACATGCCCGTAAAAATCAGCTTTGCCAAACAAAGTCTCTGGCTCTACGTAGCACAGCGGGGAACACGGCAAAGCACCGTTAACACTGGCAGTGCATTAATACAGAGTGTGGCGTGATGACTTCCCTGAATACATGGTGGCACGTGTCCCAAGCTGTGATGATTGTGTGTGAGCAAAGCCTGCAGGCTTTTTGATTTTGTTGGTTGTTGTGTGCTGGATGGTTACTCTCTCAAACAAGATAGTAATTAAGCCTGCTACACAAGCCAGTTGGCCAAAGTGATATATGGCATGAGAAAGGACTTCTGAAACTGCTTTCATAGTCTCATTTGATCTACTTAAGCACTCCTGGGGAGCAAAGAGCGTAGGCAGCATCGTGAGCATGAAGCGTAGAGTGTGTGAGCCTTTGTGTTTGTGTGAGCGTGTATGTATGTGGGGAGTGGTGGAACAGTGGTTAACGCGCTGCACTACGAACCCGGAGAGCCGAGTTTGATTTCCGCTCAAGGCCAATACCAGTGACGATTATATGAACTGGTCCTTGACACCCCCTTGGTCGACCCAGCCTCAAATGATTTCCGAGTGCGGTGTATAAACATCACCAATCGTGACAGCACTTGCCCCAAGTTAAGGCTATATGGGGATATTTGCATATGACTTATGAGAGTTGGCAGTGTAGAGGGTTTTGACACTGTTATGATCCACAAACCTGGGTTCAATTCCCAGTCATGCATACATCACAAGCAAGTGCTGGCTTGTGCATTGTTGGTCGTCTCAGCCCGAAATGAGTACTTAAACATGAACACTGTGGAGGCAAAAGTCATGCTACCAGCTCGTATACAGTGTCGGCCTACACATTTCCTCCCCATGACATTTGTCTTTATTGCGTGTGCTTGCATGCACGTGCACGTCTGTGCGTGCACTCCAGGACTTTGGCGACTACCAAGTGGGATACTACTCAGTGCAGACGACAGAAGGCGAGCAAATTTCCCAGCTCATCGCTGGATACATTGACATCATCCTCAAAAAGGTGAGCGTGACGATGAGCACGGTTGACTTGTGATCCAGCATAGATGACTCTTTATGGTTTGGTTCTTGTGAACAAAAGAGGTGGAACCTTATTCCTCGTATTCGTGAATTATCCCAATAGGCTGTTGTTGAAGGGAATTCAAAACGAAAGTTTCTAGGCAATCAAAAGTACCATGTTTATTTCTGTTGGTCGATAACATACCTTGTGGGTGGGCTTCATTGCACAAAAGATAGTGTTCACCTGGGTGAACCCAGCTTGATTATTGGGAGAAAGTGTTCAGCTATAGCTGAATACCCCAGGCATGTTTTTTTTGCATTTGTTTTGTCAACCTTGAACTGTGAGCAGATGGCAAAGTGAAAAAGGTTATTTTTATTTTATTTTAAGTTAGTTTTTTTGTTGACAGAAACAAGCAAAGGACAGGTTTGGGCTGGAGGGCGATGAGGAATCTACGATGCTCGAAGAATCCGTCTCGCCCAAAAAGTATGTCTTTAACACTGTTTAAATGTGTTGTTTTATAAATATTCAGGTTTTGTGTATTATTCTCACTGAATGTAAAATCTGTTAACCCAGGAAATCCTCAATGAGTCTCGAGACTCTTTTGCAGAAGGAGCCGTTTAAATGTTTGCAGTCGGGGGGAGGGCACCGATTTATATGCGTTTTCTAATAAAGACATTTACGAGTAAGTTTTTTAATTTGGAACATTTGGACTATTATACCAGCGCATAATGAGCTACTCTTATTAGAATTAAATGACAGGATCTAGGTCCATCCTCAACCGCATTCGCACAAATATTCTATACCTGATACACAAATGGAATATTCAAAACTCTCCAATTTGCGATGGTATCCATCCAGAACCGACCACACAACTCACAATGATGCAATGCCCAATCCACAAATGCGAAGGAGACAATCACAGCGATACAACTCCGCATCTCCTGACGTGGTTGTCTGGCTTGGCCACCTGAATGTGAAATTGTCACTTGTTGCTCTGCATCGACATCAGCCGTACGGAAGAAGAAGATGAAGACTGAGATTAAGATGAAGAAGAAGGATCTTTAATGTCCACAAGTGAAACAGACGGTGCATATATTACGGTTCATTCAGTGGAATTGAACGGCGAATCTCTGCAAGAAGCTGCGAACGTGCAACTGCTGGGCCATGTCGACTGCCCCCAACACATTGGATCAAATTTCAGGGGGGAAAAAAATCTAAGTAAGGGAAAAAATGTATTGCATCATAAATTGTGGGATTATTATCTGAAAGAAAATACTACATCTAAAAAAAAAGGCCACACAGTTTAAAATAGTGAAGTTCTTCAAATTGTCCCCTTTGGTGCAAAACCTCAAGTGAAATGAATCAGTCAAGGGGGCTGGGGGACAGGGACCGAGGGAGAGCGCTATTTAACCCCTCACTATCCCGTCGAGGGCGACTTTCGGGCAGGTGGTGGGGGAACGTGGACATACGACCACCGCACTTATGTGTTTTTTTATTTTAGCTCGATCCCCCAGCCCCCACTCCACCCCCTTTCATACCCCCGACTCTTGTTTCCCCTGGAGGCCTGCGACTACCCCTCCGTAAGTTGAATGTACTCCAACCCCCCCCCCACCCACCTTCTTCCCTTACCATCCCTTCCCCCACCCAGATAAAAGCACATTTGCTTCCTAACATAATTCCTTTGTGTGAAAGAGGTGAAAGAGGCGATAGATGTAGACCCCCCCCACCCACACCCCAGCTCTGAGGGCCCCGTGTTTGTCCCCGTCCGGTTCTGTCACCTAAAGCGTTGTCATGGGCCTGTTGTTTCATAAAATCCTAATTAACAAAAAAATGTAGTGAAGTACTTCAAGGCATATTTGCCAGTGACATTGAACTGAAAGGGGCTTAAAAATGTCACGATAAGCGCATCGGTTTGATTCAGCTGCAGTGCCGGCAGTGGCTGTGAACACGGCCGGAGAATCTGGGGGTGGATTGGACTGCGGAGGAGAACAAAAAAATCTAACCGTGAGCCATGCACATCCCAAATATACCAGGAGATTGCTTTGTAGTGGAAGAAATTCACGTGTGACTTTGATTGAAAGATAAACACCCACCGTGCTTCATGAGAACACCGACCAGGTGGCACTGCTCAAAGCACTCGGCTCAAAGAACGGCTCAGGTACACATCACAATCTGTGACTAATTTGGCCCATCATCTCACTGGTATCGAATAAAAAAGGGGGTACTAATTTATTGTAGTTTCATAATCAAGGTTATTGGGTTAGATCGTGTTATTTATAAATGTGTCGTAACCCTCCACCACCCGACACGGCCAAACAGTAAAAAATGTGTCACGTTTACAAAGGACAAATAGTTCACTACTTTAGCCCACCGGTGTGTTGAAGAGTGAATCAACATCATTTATAATTTGAGTACGACGTTTTGCTGGTAATTACATCCAGCTTCATCGGGTAATTTGTCAGAATGGGGAGGCTCTCCTCTTGCTCCCGGTCTTAAATAGAGCAGCAGATAGATACTGGCACCTGCAATGAAAATGTGGATTTTCCACCATGTGCTTTGAGCCACCAACAGGAATGAATGGTGCCCTTTTGCTTGTTTGAGGAGAGAGACACTTTGCCGTGGGTTTCTACCAGAGGTCGCAAACGGGTTTTGATTCCTTACCCGTACCCGTACCCGGCCGCACCAGGGTTGCAAACGGGTACCCGTACCCGGCCGGGTACGGGTACCCGTACGCTACCCGTACCCTACCCGAAATAGTGACAAACGGTTACTCACCAGTGACTCACGGCCTACCCGTACCCGTACCCGGCCGCACCAGGGTTGCAAACGGGTACCCGTACCCGTACCCGGCCGGGTACGGGTAGCTGGGTATCGGGTAGGGTACGGGTATCGGGTACCCGGTTGCGACCTCTGGTTTCTACACCGCCTTTGAGTAGAGGTGCCCTGGCATTGTTCGTGAATTGCAAGAGCCACTTTGATAAATGGGGTTCATAACATTGTAATTTTATATTGTACTTGAATTCCCAGACTCGCTTTTCCTTGCTGTGCACTGCGGCTAGTGGGATGAAGCACAGGAAATCGCGAACCTCGAGTGTGTCAATCACAAGGGACGCATTATAATTAACTCATTGATGCCGTCAGATTACCAAAGGAGGCAGGTAACTGGGTAATTTCATTCGGTATATATATAATGCTCCTCCTTGCGTGTGCAGTCAAATACTATTTCCATCTTCTGGCTGATTAATTTGTTATGATTAAATTTAACGTAACAAAAATTTGCTACAGGCATTACCAAAACAATTGAAAGGGGGGTGGGGGGGGGGATGGTCATTTTTGTAACTTGGGTTATTTTGAGGTCATGAGGCTATGTTATTTTGGGAACAACAGCAAGCGTGATATAAAGATCACATCATGAATCCACAATGCTTTCTTCGAATTAACAATTCCAGGTTGACTTATGCTTCAAAATTACAGCCCTCTGCCATGACCGTAGACTTTATAGAATGATTTTGTATGCTGGCCGTTGCTGTCCATTGCTGTCCTCACATTCAGCCGAGTGAGCTGCTCACGTGATCACGCCTACCTTTTAATTGCCTTTGGAATCCTTGTGTCATTGTCAAAAAAATTGTAATTTATCATGAACTATAATAATCTGCTGCATGGTATGTAGCGGTGATCCAGTTATACACCGTATAGCGTAGTAAGAGATCGTCGGAAACAGAATCTGGTAATTGATTTAGAGTTTGGCATTAACTGTAACCAATTATTTCCCAACAATTACATTGCAGTCATCATCATCGGCCATTATCAATCCACTGCTGGATGAAAGCCTCCCCAATCCACCACTGATTTGCCCATTCCTTCGATGTAACAATCCACCTAGCATCTGCACACCAGCTGATTACATTCCTCCGCCTCCACAGTGGACCTCCTCTCGGTTCTAGATTTGAAGCTTTTGTGACTGCAAGGATTCATACTCTTAGTTTTTTCGGTAAAGTCACGTAGGTAAAAAAATGAAATTAAAATTAATAAAAATAAAATAATAATAAAAATCACGACGTTTCGGAGGCAACACAAGTCTCCGTCATCAGGTGGGACCGTCACAGCCAGATTTGCTGTATCACTTGGGACCGTCACAGCCAGATTTGCTGTATCACTTGATACAGCAAATCTGGCTGTGACGGTCCCACCTGATGACGGAGACTTGTGTTGCCTTCGAAACATCGTGATTTTTATTATTTTATTTTTATTAATTTTTATTTCATTTTTTCCTCTCGGTTGCAAAATGCCAAACACAGGACTTCATAACAGTTGCTTGTAAAACCTCGAGCAATGGGCAATCAGGAACTGATTACTCTGCAGAAGTAACTCTCCCAATGCTTAGCATACGCATGCCTCAGGAGGAAATACTCGCGCCGTTTACAGTCCACCTCCCTCTCCCGCTTAACCCCGGCGGGTCCCTCTCCACCGCTCACTGTTCCTCTCAGGTCCACCATCCTGCAGCAGCAGTACAACCGCGTGGGCAAGGTGGAGCATGCCTCCGTGGCGCTGCCGGCCATCATGAGGCCGGGCGCGGGCGGGCCGGACACCGTCAACTGGGGCATGATGCCCGTGGCCCAGCAGCAGGTCACCAGCGGACAGATGCACAAGGGTCACATGCCCCCGCTGGTGAGTGCGGCCGCTCCGATAGCTAAGATTGCCTTGATTGCCATGAAAGTAATCTTTTATATTAACCCTTTGCCCGATCCGAGACGTTTCCAAGTTGCAGAGTGGATCCCGTTTACCGCTGTATCTCGGAATGCGCAAGCGGTTTGCGTTAATTTTATTTAGCGAGGCATAGCGCCACTGTTTTAAGATAAGTACTCACCGCAGAGAACTGTAGCGACACAACCACACTCTGTGATAGCTGGCTCCAAACTGTGCCACATGCCCTCCCGCATAGCCTTTTACTTACGATCCTGTACGTGTACGTCATTGGAATGGGAAAGGGTTAATATGTTGCATCAGTCACCAGACTGTCAGGTACATTCTGTTGCGAGAAAGGCCATGAAGGCAATACCTTGTATTTGCTAATATTAGCCCATTACTTGCAAAAGTGTCGCACTCATTTTGTAAATTTAGTGAGTTCAATCTGGGACTGTTTACAGTAAACATTAATTGCAAGAGGACAGGACAGACTACATACAGCCAAGGTATATATATATATGTGTGTGTTTCTTCATCACTGTCCAATATACCAATAATGTTTGAAAAAGACAATTTGCGAAGTATACTTGAATGGATTTTTTTCACCTTTTCAATGATAAAGTGATGTTGACGATTGAGTATATAATTGAGTGTGAGCTTTAGAATGTATAAGTCGCATGGACGCGTGTGTGTGTGTGCAGTGCGCTAGTGCTCACTAATAGCACTTGCTCCTCCAGTCTGTTAAGGTTATACGGGGGGATTTTTGTTTTTTTCTTTGGTGCACAATTCATCACACTACGTTACGAGCCGAGTGACTTGGGTTTGATTTCCCACCAAGCACATTCATGACAATTGGCATAAAAATCTGTCTTAGGCCTCGCCTAGGTTAACTTGGCCTTAAGTGAGTGTCCGGTGCAGTTTATAACCATCCGCACTGGGGAGTCAAATATGGTCATGTTCCATGCCGGCCTTCACTAACAGCCCTTGCCCCTATGGTGCTCACTAACGGTGCTTTCCCCTATGTTCTATTAGAGTGATGAACGCAGGAATGTTGGTGAATTCGTAATGTCACTTGCAAACTGCACTGCAGCCCCTGATGACCTGATTATAATTCCTCAGCCCTGGACATGGGCAGAAAGTGATCACTTTCTCAGGCCATGGGCCTCCTGCATGTAAACTTGGCTTGTAACGCGTGTCGCCTGTCACATTGTAAATGATGAATACACTGGCAGAGATATCAAAGGTGATAAGGAAAATGCCGCTTGCCCCCCGGTGTGACTGCTGCCTCGTGTGCTTTGCTTCTCAGTTGGTGGTCAATTAAGAAACTTTTCTGCACGCGACTTTTTGTTTTAGCTTCCAAATTCTCCACGGCAGCTTTAGTGAAATATTGCAAACTTTGTCGCTTTTGTTTTGCAGCACAGTTGCACTTTATTGAGCCGTTATAGTCAGTCACGGCCCATATATTTCATCATTAATACTTTACTGGCTGGTATAGAGGCTTGAGAGCCAACCATCTGCTCCTGCATAAATGGCCCTTCCCCGGCAGCGCACATGAGCTAAGCAGGGGATATAAGCAAATAATTGCTTAAATTAGGGGACGTGTAATAATGATCTCTGGAACGTGATTTTATTTGTAATTCTTTTGTACAACTTCCCACCGAAAATCGGCCACCGTTTTCTTAATTTACAACGCGTTGCCCCTAACGATGCTGTCAAGTCTGTGCGACCTCATTCCAGCCAATCACATCATTTTTGCGTGTGCAGCATGAATTTTTAAATATATTTTTTTATGATTCGCAACATAGTTAGACCCAGATTAAGTTATATTTTCTCATCGTTGAAGCTCATGCTAAGTGGAGCAGGATCGAACAAAACAAAAATCGGTGAAGGCAACATTGTTATACAACAGTTGCTGTTTAATAACAGCTTTACAATCTCTACTCATGTGAGACTGGCGAGCGGATGTTAATGTTGTGCCTGCCTGCCCACGTGTGCGTGTATGCGTGCATGCCTGCGTCCATGTGCAGTCTTCAGCGCAGCAGGCTCTCGTGGGCACCATAACATCCAGCATGCAGGCCGTGCAGCAGGCACACGGGGACCTGGGAGACATGGATTCCCTGCCACCCCTTGGCGATGACGCTGTGAGTATCCCCCATTCGCACCGCCCACCTGCCTAATCTATGCCCTGCTTGGATGCAGGAACACGATAGCGCCTGTAGCACAGTGCGGTGTGTCGATTGCAGGCCCACGCACATTTTTCTAAGCGACCGAACTCGAGTCGGAAGCGAGGGAGATAACGCTCTTGACACAATTATCGCACGTAAATGTTAAAACACGACACATTGAAGACGCAACCCTTTCAGCCGTTGCTACGTTACACTCGCTGAGGTCTGTGAGTGCTCGAATGTACGAAGCAAATTAATTAGGATCCTTTGCGACAGCACTTTTAAGACACGTTTTGCAAAGCCAGTATAATTGGACCACTTGATCACTTTTGCACATGTGCCATTGTCTGTGGGAAATGTTTTCCATTATCTTTTCTTTGTGTCAGTTTGCAAACTATGACAATGGTTATCAATGGCTTTAATTGAGAGTAATTCAGAAACAATGTCAATTACACTATTAGTTATTATCTTCAATTGTTTACTTTATTGAGAACAATACAGATATAGCCGTCAGAAAATTTAATTGACATACACAGTGGTGAGAGGGGCGCCACGGTGGTTAGATGTTAACTACCTCGCCTGGTATGCAGAAGGTAGTGAGTTGGATCCCGACCCTAACGCCTGTTGTATATTTAGAGTTTGCGGTGTCTGTCTCTCTCCATGGTCGCGTGGATGTTTCTCCGGGTCCTCTGGTTATTCCCTCCACATTTCTTCACATGCTTCTAGAGCATTTGGCTGCTATAAATTTTCACGTGATAAGCCACTTTAGTGAGTTATAATTTGTGGCCAGATCGCTTCTGAAAAAGAGCTACATCGCTCATTGAGTCCTACCTGGTAAAATAAAACGAATCCGTTTTGTTGGTTATCGATAACAATCATTGACTGATTTCTGTTCTTATAACAGAACTAACCCTAACACTTCACAAACTCGGCACCGACTCCCTTCACCACCCCACAATGACCAGCGTCGTGAAGTATGATCAAACGACCCCCATGACTGACTCGGCATGCGGGGACCTTCATTCAGCAGTGGATTGACAAAATTGCTTTACAACATAAAATTTTAATTTAAAACCTCACACTTAAGTTTTAGTTTTATGTTAGGTAAGTGTTCGTGGTCGCAATTGTCTGGCGCTTGGTGAGCATTGCCATTTGAATGAAAGTGGCGAGCACTTGGATAGGACATACGGAAGGAAATGTAGATCGATTTAAAAGCAAATCGAGTGGTTTCACTTTACAGCGCCATGAGCCCACAGTCGTGGGTCTCGCGACGCAGCGCACACCCACAACACAGAGATGATTTTGCTTGTGGTCAGGGGTAACGTTATACTATACCCCACCCTTGCAAAAGAGGCTCTGTTTCATGTGTCTGAATGGGTTTTATTTCATCCACAGATTAAATAAAACGATACTTCAATTGGTCACACGTTCAGAGTGACTCTTTGCCTCCAGAACCCCTGACTCTCTCATATTACGGGTGCCATGGTGGTGAGATTTTATCTTCCTCTTCTGGTATACAGGAGGCAGGAAAAGGGTCACTTTGCAAATAACGTTGTTCAATCTCCCAACGTGAGAGGTCTGGCGTCTTATCAAGGTGCGGCTTCTTGCAGGAATCCCAGTCGTGGCGTCGGAACAAGATGGACGAGTCCAAGCATGAGATCCACTCGCAGGTGGACGCCATCACCGCTCACACGGCTTCCGTCGTCAACCTCACCGCAGGTACTTGATAGGTGGTTTGTTGTTGTAAGCATCTTTGTTTTTGTGCCGTATGATGTCACAGTATTTCATCACTCTACCCAGGTGAGTGTAAAACATCTGTAATAAAAAAATCACAGCCATTCGTCATTTCCACATACGCGTGAAGGCCTCCCCTCATTGTTTCGGTCGTGTTGGGTTGTTGAACGACACTTTTCCACGCTGGTTAGTGTGGATTAATGAAGGGGAGGCTAGGCCAAGGGGAGGAGACACAGGACCAGTTCATTTATTCACTCGCCACTGATGCTACCCGTGGCTGGGAATGGAACTCGGGTGAACGGGTTCAGAACACAGTACGTGAACCGCTGTGCCAACACTCCACCCGGATTGGTATAGCTGTTGTTTCAATTGGACAGCAGTGATTCTCTTTAAGCAAGCAGTCGATCAATAATAGCAACACTTGGGTGTTGCCTGAATTGGGAAAAGAAGTGTTAACGAAGGCAATGTTAACGTTGCCTTTCAGGCAATCTCAAGGGTGTCCCTATCATCAAGCGGTGTTGTGTAGCACGCGTAAACAACCCCCACGAAGCAACATGGCATGGGGGAGGCCTTCATCCAACAGTGGATTGACAGTTCTGTAAAGAATGTCTTTATTATTATCATCAATTTACCATGTGAATATTCATATTAAGGCAGTCCATTATCCCTCCGAGATCCATAAAGCGAAGACCATTTTGTGAGAAGCAAACACGGGTCTCCCCTTCGGCAAGGCTGGCCTTGCCACAGGAATGCGGAATTTAACTTGTGCGCTTCTGCAGCCATTCCCAAGATTCCGTGACCACAGGTGACCTCCGTGCCAATATCGTAGCCGCGTTGGTGACCCATGGTGGGTTCTGAATGTGCTGTCGCCGCTGCTGCCGCCACCCAGGAGACCCCGCAGACACGGACTACACGGCCGTGGGCTGCGCCGTCACCACCATCTCGTCCAACCTGACGGAGATGTCCAAGGGCGTGCGCCTGCTCGCTGCGCTACTCGACGATGAGGGGGCCAACGGGCAGGACCTGATGCAGGCGGCACGAGGCCTCGCGTCCGCTGTGTCCGACCTGCTCAAGACGGTCGACCCCAGCACGGCCGAGGTGAGAGAGGAGTTTTGTGCCGAGCGGCGAGCGATGGGTTGCCGTGGTCAGGAACTGTTTTCACAAGGTGGGCGGGATGGCTGAGGGTGTAAATGCCTTCTCAGAACACTTTAACTGGAAAATCTGTTTTAAAAAATTCGACTGGGTTTTTAGCTGCTCTTGAGTTCTCAAGTGGAGTGCATTGATAGGTTCATTCCATGGTCAAAAAAACCTAATCATGTTAAATTGTGTTTTTTTACATACTTCAACGTATTCCATATCTAAACGTAAAAATGTATTGTAATTGCCATGGTGTGCTTGTGGTGTCGATACAAATGCTTCTTCAATGTCATTCAGAAGAAATATAGATGTTTTACAGTGTTGTACTCTGATACAAGGTGGTGTGCTGATCGCTGCAAGGATTCCAGTTGTAATTTCTTTATCCCATGGCATCTCTGATAGCACAATTGCAATTTAATTGGTGCAAGCTGCTCCGTGGAGCCTAGTTCATGGTGGACTAGGTGTGGCATTTACATTAGATGTGTGTTTTGCAAACCAAATAATTCTTCATACCCAAGCACATGTTCATGAATTTCCTTGCTTATACCATGTACCAGCACATGTTGCTCTCATATAATGTTTTCACTTTGTTTGTATTCGTGTTTGTTTTGTTTACGACTGCTAAAAAATCTAGTTCAGGGCCCTGTACTCTTTCTCTGCAATGTTTACGTCTTTGTATTATGTATTTGTTGCTGCTGTGCTCACGCACTACGGATCTCTCTTGTAAAATAGCAGGGCAACTGGCTCAACAGAACCATCCGTGTAACAAATCAAGTGAACTAAAATAATGTACATATGATCGCACACTGTATGTGAATGCATGCATGTACATATAGACCGGGTAGTGCTTAACCCTGAACTTACACATCACGTGTTCAAATCCTAGCTGAGGGGTTAACTCAGCCCATCAATTAATCTGGGTTGATTAGAAAGATTATCACTTTTTCCGAAGTCACAATTAATCATCATATTTATAGACTGCCTCCTGCGATAGGAATGTGAATTTTCGCCATCAGCTCAGATTTATGCCACCCCGATGCTCGTTAAAGTTTGAAGACACTGATTTTGAAAGAAATGTGTGAGGATGAAGTTCTCTGACCTTGAAGTGGAGAACAAGTCACGGATAAAAGGTCATCCTGACCTCATGTTAGTCACAACCCTACCTCTGTCACCTAGCCACCACATAATGTTATTCTGTAGCTTGCATAGTAGTCGGCCTTGTAGGTATGGAAACTCTGAAAGTACAGGTCTGAAGACCCAAAACGGATTCAGAAATCTGAGGCCAGTACTTCTGTTCCCAGAAGACTCTAAAACATTCACTACTCATATGATCATCAGTACTGATCAATACACTGCTAGATGAATTCCTCTTCAAGCAATGGCCATCTCGCAACGGTACATCGAGCATCTACACATGAACTGCTTTCATCATTCCATCTCCGTGGTTCACACTCTGTTGGGCACGTTTCTTTTATCATCTGCCACCCCACATTTTGCTTAACTATTAGGTGGTGGAAGAATCATGTGCGTATGCACAAACATACTTATAAAAAGCAATCAAAAGTGGCAGGAGAAAAATAAAAATAACACCAGCATGACGTCGTTGTTAGGTATGACCGACCTTGCCTTGTTTACCACTTTTCATATCGCTAACACAGCAGCCTTCAAGCAAACGGCTTACTTGCGAGTGTTTGGAAATGAGGTCAGGGGCCAGTGTGTGCCGGTGCTATTTTATTTATTTGCGAGCAGCAGGTGTTTCCTCGGCACGTGTTGTTGTAAGTGCTATGGCCACTTCATTTGGACCTAATCCAGCTTCGCTCCTCGTGAGTTTCTGAGTCGTGCGACTTGACGCACATCCACGCAGTGCAAATCACTGCCGCTCGGCTCGAGCCTCTACTCTCTCACCGTGAGCTGCACTCAGCGCTCGGAGACTGGGCTGAAGTTATGGTGATTTTAAAAAAAAATATTCGCTGCATCTGGGAATCAGTGGGCTTTATCGAGTGTTGGTACGTATGTATGTATATGTTGAACAACCGTGCTAATCGGAGGTGCGGATGGGCACAGGTGTGGATTGTGAAATCGGAGTGCTGTTTGCTCTTAACCTCAAAGTGTTCGGCTGCCTGACTCAATCATGCGCTGACCTGGGGAATCAAAACGTGTGATCTCGTCTGGGAGTATTAGCACATCCCGGAATGTAAATATGAACCTTCCCTCCACCAGCGACCACCGCCACCAACTCTGCCACAACTGACGCCACCCTTCCCCTCGTCTCGCCCTTGCGCCATCTTCAAGCTTGGCTTGGTGTCCCCATTCATGCGTCACCATTCCCACACAGCACCGCTTGAGAAATACAATTGAAGACACTGCTGTGTTTGCATTGGGGACCTATTTTTTTTCCTGCTGATGGAATCCATTTGCACATTTTTTTATTTTAACTGTTGAACAATCAACAACTTCCAGATAAAACCAAATTATCTCACTGCTTAAATTAGCAGGGGGATTTGGAGAATCATCTCGGCCAATCGCCATAACCGCCAGTACGTGACATTCCACATTCTTGTTGTTTAGGTCAGTCTATGTCAGTCACTCTTGACTCCCCACGTAACGGTGCTTATTTTATCACCCCAGGAAGTAGGATAGTCTGAGATATCCACAACATGGATTTTAGCTTCTGATTGTGAGTTACGCATAATAAACCTCAGCACTGCTCAGTCCGATAGGATGGCATCAGACGTGGCTTGACAGGTATCTTATTATGTCTGGGAAACGAATAAAAAAAAACTCATCGCAGTTGATGGCTTGAGCCGGACAATTTTTTAATCGCAAGCAAATTAGAGAATGATATATCGAGTAGTCTCTTACAGTTTAAGGATCAGCAGAGTGATTGTGGTATTTAATAGTTTTGAAATCACAACTTTGTTTTGGGTACGATAAACCAAGGCCATTAATACGAATTTACTAATTGGTTCCACGTTTAAAATAAGACACTGCCTGCTTGTGTTTTGTTATAGAAAAAATATCCCCACACATACGTAGCCTGTAAATAGTTATTATATTTATAAGATATGTAATTAATGCATCATATATAATTAATACGTAACATGTTTACGTTAATGTAAAATAGATCATTAATATTGCTATATAATCTATCTAAGTAATATATAATTAATTTATGCATGTATGGGTTATATATAACTATATTAATATCTAATAATGTTTATAAACATTTTCTTTATTATTTATCCCAGTTCTCCTTTGAAAAAAAGATTTCTCATTGAGCACTCATCTGGTTTGAAATAAGAGGTCACCGGGTGACTCAAGACAATTTGACGTTATTTTATTTTGTTTGTCTTGCCCTGTGTGCAATCGCTATTTACTTACGGTGAAAGTAATCAATATATTTCTGAATTTGTGTCTAGCATTGGGTGATGTCCATCTCCATTGGTGACCCTGATTCATTAGGGAGAGTTGTACATGTTTATGGCGGTAACCTGTTTAAATAAGGACTACCTCTTTATATATGTAATTGGCAGGTTGGCAAACATCTGACATTCCCCTCCTAACAATAACAACAATGTATCAAAGTAAAACATGAAAGTGGTTTGTGTGTTCAAACAAGCATGTGGGCAGCATTCACATCCTGTTTACAGTCCGGAGCATGTAATGAAAGTGCCACACTTTTATGGTGGGAATGAGTCTGTTGGCAGAACAATTATACTGTTCATCTTCCTCCACAGAGCGGCTCATTCTATTGAGGGCCCTGTGGGAGAAGTAGCAGATTGCAAGTTGCACACTCTGACCATTGCACCGCCGTCGAGCCAGATCATTTGTATATTTGTTAAATGCAAGAGAAATACTTAGCTCCATTTTTATGGACATATAAGGCATGGAGCGCAGTACCTCACGATGACACATTTGTTCCGTAGTCCGTTTTATCTGCGAAATTCCTCAAACCAAGTGGCAGGGTAATTTTAATAGCACAGTAACAACGTAGATCAAAGACATCTCTTTGCCCGCCGAGTGTAGTATTCGAAAACAAATGAATGTTTTTTTCATCTCCGTAAATGCACTCAAAGGTGCCTTTAACTCGGTGTTAAACAGATGGAGCGGCTGAGTAGATAACGCAGCGTTGTGTCGAACGGCAATCACAGCGAGACGTGATAATTACGTAATAATATTAATAATGCACATCCCTGTTTGAATCTCCTGTTTGATGAAAGTCTTCCGACACTATGATGATTGCCGGTAACACAGACAAACTGCAGAAATGTCGAATTCTTTATATTACATTTTTACATGAAGAGTTTTACGATTGTAATTGCACACTTTACATTGTTTTCACGTTCACCCATTCCGATGACGTATGTGTACGTCATCAGTTTTTAATCAGATTCTGTTCTGATGACGTGTGGGTACATGTACGAACAAAGAAACTACATCGAAACTAACGAGCAAATCACCTGGAGATAGTGAGATGTCCTTAATTAAGAATACCAAGTGAGCTGAGTTAAGTACAGAGAAGGTGGTCTTACCAGTGAATAGTTGCAGACCTTTAGAAACAGCCTGCCTCAGCAGCTTTCCCCCTCTTTTTTTCTCCTGATGACGATCGCTTGCGTTGTGATCGAAACGTCGTAGTTTTTTATTTATTTTATTTTTTTAATTTGAACCTATCTACGTGACTTTACCGAAAGACCCAACGAATATGAATTCCTGCAGTCACGAAAGCATTAAGTTCAGATTAAATATATATGTTTGGTGAGGTTTTTTTTCCGCTTTGTAATTATAATTTTGTTTCAGGGCCCGAGGGAATGTGGAATTCCCATCATTGGCTTCACGCCACTATTAAGAATCAGTGCCTTCACATTGCTCGCATGAGCAGGGAGACACTTTAACTTTCCTGAACATAGTTTCTATCTCACGCCCTTTGCTATTGTGCCACAATAAATTCAAGCTCAATTCCCCCATGTTCCTGTATTAGGCTTTGAAATTGACCAAGGAATCCCTTTACAAAAGAGCATTGTGGTCCCACCGGGCTCTGACCTGGTTACGCGCAACGCATACGTGCATGCATAGACACATACGGACGCAGACTCAATTTTCCTGCACATTTAATCAACACCGCCGCAGATAAAAACGTGCAAATTATAAACTGACATCTTTCACAGTTTGCTGGTTGCCATCCCCTCTGGGAACGTTCACCGCCAGCCACCCGCAGTCCTGATTGGCGAGTTGTAGCGTAAGAGGGTGTGCGTGTGCTTCTGTGTGTGCGCGCTGCTTATGATGATTATGACGACGATGTGCTTGGTTTTTTTTTTTGCTATGATCATTTGTCATTGTCACCGCAGCCCCGGCAGAGCGTTTTGACTGCGGCCGGGAACGTCGGGCAGGCAAGCGGGGAGTTGCTGAGGACAATCGGAGAGGACGAAGCCGACCAAAGCTTCCAGGTACCGCCCTTCTCACCTGGTCTCTGGTTTGCCCACCCATTTGGTTTGTCCATCTGCCCGCTTGCCTACTTGTCCATCTGCTTGTCCACTCACTTGCCCCTTCCGCTGCTCACTCATCCAGTCTCGTATCCGCTTGCTCGTCCTCGCCACCGCTTGCTCACCTGTCCCTGCCCCGTGTTTATTCTCTTGCTCGTCCACTCATCTGTCCACTTGCCTATCTCGTTTCTCGTCTGCTCGCCTAGCCACTTGTCACCTCCCTATCCACTCACCCGTCTGTTTACTAAGCTGCCTGTTGACCCACTCCTGCACTGGCTTGTTCGCCTGCCTATAAATGTGTTTATGTGTGGGCCATCTGTTCACTAATGCGCTCATTCATCCGATCGCTCGTCCATTCACCTATGCACTCACCCGTCCACTGACCCCGCGACTCACTATCTGCCTCTCTAACTGCCTGTTAACTGTCCCACTGGCTCTACCTGTCCTTAAATGTTTAGATTTTCCAGCGTTTTGAGATACTGGTGCATTTTTATATATACACACACAATAACGACAACTTCTAAAGCACCTTAACATGTTAGGCCATTACAAGGGCACTGAACAAACAACAGAAACATTCGTCATTCCAATGAACGTCAGATATCGTGTCACTTTTGACTGTTGAAAAGGTTAGCTTTTGAACGATAGCCTATTTGTTTGCTTTATCAATGGAAATTTCGTGGAATCCTATACCCGGAGCTACGTTCGGCGTTTGCTTTCTGTTGGCTTCTGTCCTATTGCAGCCATCATCCCTTAAATCCCTCTCGGAATTGTGCTTGCCCACAGCCTTCTATTTTTAATCCGTTTCCAATTAGCCGGGAGTGGCTGCCTCTGTATCGTTGTGCCAAGTCACCGTGATGCTTAGTGTTTTGTTAGGATCGTGTTTGCATAAAAAATGAATGCAAAAACACACGCACACATCCTCAAATGCACCAAATTTTCACTGTGCGTTTTGTTCATTCCCTTGCTGATCCATTCTTCTACATTTCCACACATGTTCCCCTTGCTAAAGACGCTCCTTGTGCTCGCAGCTGGTTTGAATTGAGAACGCGAGCGGCTGAATTGCTTAATCCAGTTCAACTGCTGCTGTCATGTCATGCAGTGGATGTTTATTTTGTTATTTAGTTTTAGCTCAAAAATCTAGGGTCGACTCGGCTCATCATTCCTGTTTTGTTTGCTAAAATTAGTACCACTTTTATTTGGTGGTTGTCCTATGGAGAGACGGTCCTCATCCATAGTAATGTCGAGTTTCCACCACGCGTTCAGGTCTGCGTTGAGTATAACGATGCTTTTACTGTTTGATGTTTAATTTGATTAATTTGGAATTTTATGTTAAACTTAGCATCCTGTGACTATCATGATCAATTATATTACAGTACCGTTTTCATTTGTTTTACAGCAGTATATGAATGCTTTGATGATTCCCAGCAGAATGTGTACGTCTGTTCAATGAACTGAATTGCTGAAGCTTTCAAACCCGGTTTAGTTTCATAACTTGGATTGTTGAACTGATGTAAAAAAAAAGAGATCATAAATACCAAGGAAATAAATGTGAAAAGTCAACAAAGACACGATTACAATCCATTTTTTAAAATAGTGCCTATGGTCAGATGAGATTATGAATGTCACAGAGGCTACACTCATCACCATTTGGGCCGTGTGTCAATTGGAAATTCCATATTCATCTCTCTGGTGACATCTTAAAGATATCTCGAGCTCCCACAACATGCTGCTCATTTCCTGGACTGCATACAGAGAGATAATGGGTTTGTTTGACAACAGGAGGCACTTTGTCTTCATAAAAACAGTGGAACGTTCAATGAACTTGAGTGGGGTGGCTCGACAATTTTGTTCTTCTTCCTACGAGTTGACCTGACCCACTTGATGACCTGATCGGCCCAGGACATGCTGATGCAGCTCGCCAAAGCCGTGGCCAATGCAGCCGCCACCCTGGTGCTCAAGGCGAAGAACGTGGCTCAGCGTACCGAGGACCCGGCGCAGCAGAACCGTGTGATCGCCGCCGCCACCCAGTGCGCCCTCTCCACCTCGCAGCTCGTCGCCTGCACCAAGGTTAGCCACTTATGTCGTCGTCGTCGTTGTTGTTGTTTGTTTGTTGTTGAACGTTGCTCGAAAGGGAGGGTCGAAGCACGTTGTCATCTTAACTATCACAAGGCGTGGAGTGGTCAGCCACCCCTCGCGAGTCAGTGGTCTATGATTCGGAGTCTTGATTCAGTTGTAACCAGAAAACACATCGAGGAGGCATTCTGCACATTTGCACACACACGAAAAAAACCTACGCGGTGGTAATTTGAGTATCTGTCTTTTGTCACATTGTGGTGAACATTGCGTCTTTATTCGTGACTGCGGTTGTCACAATCGTCAGTTGCGTGCAAAATATACGATTTGATAATTGCTTTTTGCATGCATGATTGGAGGCGTGTCTCTGATTAATTTTTCAAAGGTCACCAGCTTTAGTTATTTCTGTGCATACTTGTAATGTGTCGCTTTTGACCAAACTACCCAGAATGCACATGCTTTCATAAGGTCTTGGAAGCTAAGTAGGCTTTAGTTTCAACTGTGCGTGGAAGGGCGACCACCATGCACTGTAGGTTGGTGTAGGCTTTGGGATTCGGTGGTGGGCAGCAGCGGCGCAGTGCCACAAAATCCATCGTGGTGCTGGACTTCTGTCCTCCAACATATACGCTCCCTTCATAATACGCTCTCTACTTTCACCAACCCACACTGACTAGTATGGTAAAATATAGCGAGGTACAGGGGCTACGTGGCAATCAGCAGAGGGTAGTACAGCAAAATCAATCGTTCTTCTTTGCTGCCACGTGTATTCTCCGCGCTTTCACCAACCCACGCTGACCAACCTGTGGGGAAGTGCATTCGAATAACCCCTCCCCCCCATGACCTACACAACGCCGGAAGGCAGCGTTGACAAAAATGGTTGCCGCGCGTCAGAGGTCACAACCGGGTACGCGATACCCGTACCCTACCCGATACCCGGCTACCCGTACCCAGCTGGGTACGGGTACGGGTACCCGTTTGCGACCCTGGTGCGGCCGGGTATGGGTACGGGTAGGCCGTGAGTCACTGGTGAGTAGCCGTTTGTCACTCATTTCGGGTAGGGTACGGGTAAGGAATCAAAACCCGTTTGCGACCTCTGCCGCGCGTGTCATCCGTCGCCCTCTGCAGGTGGTGGGTCCCACCATCCGCTCGCCGGCGTGCCAGGAGCAGCTGATGGAGGCGGGCAAGCTGGTTGCGCGCGCCGTCGAGGGCTGCGTGCAGGCGTCGCAGGACGCCACCGAAGAGGAGGAGCTGCTGCGCCAGGTGGGCGAGGCCGCCACTGCCGTCACGCAGGCCCTCAACGACTTGCTGCGCCACGTGCGCCAGTACGCCGCCAGCCTCACGGGCCGCGCGGGCCCGGGCGGACGCGTTGAGGATGAGGAGGACGAAGAGGAGGAGGAGGAGGAAGAAGAAGAAGACGAGGAAGAGGAGGAGGAAGAAGAGGAACTGCAGACGGAACCGTACGTCCAGGCCACTGACACCATCCTCACGGCCACGGAGAACATCTTCGGCTCCATGGGCGACGCTGGTACGTGAGGTTTCAGCGGTGCATTATAATTCGGCTCTTTGCTGCCACTGGTTTTTTAGTTGTACACACTACAGCACGGTAAAGGTGGTGGGTCCCTGCTATTCCTTATTCTGTCCACTGTCTGTAGAACGACCTCCACTGGAGGGCGCTATACAGAGGCACTCTAGGCAATATTGTGGCTTGCTTCTCCACGCTGGTCATACATCTTGGAAGAGGTGGGGGGTACTCGCACTTGACCACACCACACCCAGCCTGCCAATCGACTAACTGTCGTGTGCCCATTTAGACTGCTGGGTGGACAGAGGTTCAACGAACTTGGACTGTTGTTGCAACTGCTTTGTCGAGTGATCAAAGCGAACTGGCGACTTCACGCTACTCGTTACGCAAAAGTCTCGCTTCACTGTTGCAGCGTTCTTAATTATATGTTTCAGAATGGACCGAGCCTCAATTTGGATTCCAAGCATCCATGTAAATTGTGTGTAATAGTTTTCTTTAGGTCAAGATGTAAAATACACTTCTATTCAGTGAGCCTCAGGTGGTCCCGACATGAAGTTGCCACCTCAAACAAAACATCGTGATTTTGATCGACCACAAGTTGAAATGTATTCATTTGTCATATAATACAGAAATCAATGTTATTTACGCCCCATAAATATCTGTTTCTGGTCCTTTGGGCAGTTCGAAGCCAGCGGTGGAAATTCCACATTACCTCCCCACGATGACCACTGTTCATTACCCTCAGTCAAGTCGAAGTTTGTCCGCTTATCTGAGTCACGGCGTAGCAATCGCTTATCTCCTTTGGTGGCCTTGAGCCAGAAAAGAAAAAAAACATTCCACTTTCCTATCACAGCGGCCACTTTATGCCCAGCACAACCACGGTGGACTTGCTCAAAAAGTGGTATTTAATTGGCCCCAAGAGCAATGAAAATGGGCTGAGTTGGTAACCAAATGGAATAAGAACCGATTGTGAGTTAGGTGATGTTATGCCAACCTGGGGAGTGGTGGGGTAGCTGTTAGCGCTACGCTGCGCTAGGAACCCGGTGACCCGAGTTCGATTCCCGCTCACGGCCAACACCAGTGACGATTATCTGATCCTGGTACCGTGTGTAATCATCGCCACTTAGGGAGATAAAGGCGGCCCGTGCGTGGTGTTAGCCACCCATCCCTTCGTGTGCCGTGCCGGCCTTCATAGGTGTTCGCTAACAGCACTTGTCCCAACAGTCTGTTAGGACTATACGGGAGATCTGTGTCTGTATTATGTGAACGCTGCAATCCCACCCAGCCAAAAAGGCATTCACAAACACCAATGCGGGTCCCGACGGAGAGGCGCGGCAAACTCCTCGTGGCGACCGAGTGGCTCGGAGGTCGGAGAGCTGAGCTGTGACACCGCTGAGACCCCCCGGTGTGAAATCCAGGCAGCATCCTTGTTTGGTTCAACTGGGATTTTAGAGTGTAATGAATGGATGATTGAAAACTAATTTTTTTAAACTGATTTTTGTGTTTAGTTTGTTGTCCTTCCCCCTGTACACCTCCGATTAGCACGGTTGGCTAAGTAGGATGTGAAAGAAGCTCAACTTATGTACATACATGGTCTCATCTCATCCCCGGTTACAAATTACTGCACAAAAACACATTTCAAATTAACTTCTGAACTTATTTTGCTAATTCCAAATATGTTGATAATAAAATCGCGACTAGCATTACTCTCAGAGGTGATCGCAGAGTGCTGAGGATTATTGTGTTATTCAGACATTATTCGGGGATCATTGCATCGTTACATTTCTTTTGAGATTCTCAAATCCTATTGAAATGACCATTGGGCCCAGGGAGCAATCACTAAGTAGGTTATGCTAACCCATGAGTTTGTTTAGTAACACTTTTTAATTATGTAAGAGTTTTCTGTTACTCAAAAAAAATAGCTAACTGTTCCTTCTTGCAATTAAATACATGTTAATTGGGAAACATTTTAATAAATGAATTCTCATTTTTGGCCCATGGTGTAAAGTGCAGTCTCCAACTATTTTTATCCACTCGATCTCTCTTGCCTCTGTTGATGGGCTATGTATAAGGCTGTCATATTTTTCATTTCAAAGCACTGTTACCGATGAACGTGTTGAGATTTTTTACGTGAATCACAGGGATCACTTGAAGGGATTTCAGCGATAGCTCTGCGATATCCACTTCCGTGGGCTGTCCTCTAACACAAAGGATTGTTTGCATGTGCGAATTCTTTCGCACCTTCCGTAGCCAACCATGCTAACCGGAGGTGCGGGGGAAGGACAACAAACTAAACATTAAAAGCAGTTCAAAATAAAGTAGTTTACGTATCTATGCATGTTGAATTTGCACTGCTCTGTGAAATATCCAAAATGTATTCTTCCTCTAGTGACACCGAAAGCACAACGTTGTGGACGCTCCATTTGCAGGCGAGATGGTGCGACAGGCTCGCCTGCTGGCCCAGGCCACGTCGGACCTCGTCAATGCCATCAAGGCGGACGCCGAGGCCGAGCAGGACCAGGAGAACGTCCGTAACCTCCTGGCGGCGGCACGGGTGCTGGCGGACGCCACGGCGCGCATGGTCGAGGCCGCCAAGGTGCTGCCCCCCCCCCCTTCGCCGAATTCACTCGACAGGCCTTTAGGGAGAGCACATGAGAGACCTGCCTGAGGGTAGTGGTTAGCGCGCTGCGCTACAAACCTGGCGACCCAAGTTCGATTCCCGCTTACGACCAACACCAGTGACGGTTATCTGAACCGGTCCTGGGCTTGCCCTAGGTCGACTCAGCCTCAAATGCGTACCTGGTGTGGTGTGTAAACATCACCACCTCGGGAGACAAAGGCGGCCGGGTGTGGTGTTGGCCACCTTTATGTGCCGTGCCGGCCTTCGTACGTGCTTGCTAACAGCATTTACCCCAACAGTCTGCTCGGGCTAGATGGGGGATCTTTATTTTTTTCTATATAGAGTATATTGAGCTATCCCAAGCCCAGCCTCGGTATAGGGTAAATCATTTTTGACGTTTAAGCTGATTCGCCTTCTTTACGAAATGATGAGGTGTGTAGTCGTAAGGGTCTTAAACAGAATGCATGGAGAAGGTGACTGAAGCTGAGTTGATGATGATGATGATGTTAATGCAACGCTGACTCGCTATTAGTTGGGGACTGTGTTAAAGTAGTTTATTGGATGAGGTCGGCTCATAACGCATTTAGCAGCACCCGAATTGAAGCCATCTTTAATCCGCACCCCATGGTGATCTGCTGCTCTGCGTACACACAAGCGTTGTGCGGCGACACAGCCAGCGCAGTTTCACCGCGGGCTAATGCCGGAGGATCTGGACCAGGCTACCAGCGGCAGATGTTCGGGATCCATCCTTGAGTCTGAGACAGTTTGGCAAAAGACTTATAACAGCGTTGTCATCCCAAGGCGCTTTCGCTGTGTGATCATTGCGCATTCATGATGGACTGGATTTATACGAGTGCGCAATAGCAAGACTTACGAAATAATAAAATATTTCCAAGCTGCCTTAACGTTATCTCCTCTGTCCCCTTGAGCACGTGGAAGCAGTGACCCCCCACCCAGCCCCCATGCTTGCCACGTGTTGTCAGTGCACTATCATATTCTTAGGTTTTTTTCGGTAAAGTCACGTGGGTAAAAAATTAAAATTAAAATCAATAAAAGTAAAATAAAATAAAAATAAAATAAAATATGAAATTTTACTTTTATTAATTATAATATTTTACCTACGTGACTTTACCGAAGAAACCTAAGAATATGAATCCTTGCAGTCACGAAAGCTTCAAATCTAGTGCAGTATCACTCTGATACAGTCCTGTGTTAGTGCCACTGTTAGAACGTCAAGCTCAGTGTTACTTAGCTCCATCACGAATATATTTGTTTACTTAGTGTGAACGTTCATTGATTTATTTCTCTGGAGTTTAGCATTGTTTATTTGTACTTTTACTCCATGTTCGCGCGTATTGCTTTTCTTTAATCAGTTTCAGCATGAATTCGCTTTGTATTTTGCCAGCTGGACCAGAGCTCTCCCCCCAACTATTAGACCGGCGAGCCGAGGTTTTTCCATACATTTGCAGGTCAAAGACGATCGCTTAAAAACAATTCTAGGTATCCAAGGAGCGCAGCAGCCATGAATTATGTCATGCCGTTGGTTTGCGCGTTACCCTCGTGTGTATTTTTTTGTTGGTGGCAGGGAGCGGCAGCCAACCCGGAGAACGAGGAGCAGCAGCAGAAGCTGCGGGAGGCAGCCGAGGGCCTGCGCGTCGCCACCAACATCGCGGCACAAAACGCCATCAAGAAAAAACTCACCAACCGCCTCGAGGTGTGGTATGCACGTTGAACTTCTTTCACGCCGTACGCGGCCAACCGTGCTCATTGGAGGTGACCTCCCCGCTCCTCGCACCTGATCGTCGCTCTTGCTCTGGCACGTGCACGCATGCACGCGTGTATGCACTTACGAGCAGTGACGGTTCTGGGTTTTTCTACAGCTGCCAGGGCTGTGTGTGAGTGTGTGTGTGTCTCTGCGAGGGGAGTGGTGGTGCAGCGATTAGCGCGCTGCACTACGAACCCAGGAACCCGAGCTCGATTCCCGCTCACGGCCAACACCAGTGATGATTTTCTGAACCAGTCCTTGGCCTCCCCTAGGTCGACTCATCCTCAAATACCTGGTGCAGTGTGTTAACGTCTTTGTCTGCACCTAGCCTGGCACGAGAGCTCCTTAGTGACGTCACCCCCACTTAGTGGTGGACGTCGGTTCTTTTTGTGTGAAATGAGCTCGATTCCTAACATCCATGGTGATTGGTATCTGAACCACTTCTGCGCCTCCATTAGATCAGCTCAGGCTTACATTTCCATCTGGTGAAGTGTGAACACATCGGGAATTGATTTCTGAATTTAATCTTTGTTACCATTCATCAAATGGTAGTGGGGTCAATATTTAACTCCAGATAACGAGTAGCTGACGAGTACACATCAAACACCTCCCCATCACTTCCTGCCGTCAGTTTGCGCGGCTGTTTCTTGGTCAACATTGGGCCTCTGAGGCCTACTCGTAGAGTTTCTCACCACCTGGCTTTTTCAGCCTTCCTCTTGGCTGATGACCTCTGGATAACACCTCAGTGCCTACGATACCTTCCTACCACATTCAGCTCTGGACTTTGAATGTGCTTTCTCTTTCCTTCTGTGCAATTCCTAGCATGGATCATATAAACTGATACCCAAAGGCCGGAAGCTTCTTTTCTGGTTTCTTCACTCCAAGCACCTGTCTCATGCTTTTAACGCTGAAATCAACCACTGTCCTCTTCAAAATGGTTTATTAATTCCATAAAAAACCTGTCATGAAAACACAATACATCTACAACCTCCTCATAGCAACGTTCTGTTTTGCTCATTGGTGCCTATTTATCTCTCTTTCTCTTCTGTAAGTTGTCACATGATGGCTGACGATGAGGCTGGATGACCTCCACTCTTTCGTGCTACCTAATTCGCCAATTTAATTTTGGTGGTGGCTTCCGTGTAATCGAATGGAGCCTCTAAGCATTGCTGCCTCAGCATTGTTCAGCTGGCTCGGCATTTTTGAACCACCCAACCACTTTTGTGGCTGATTAGGTCACATCAAAGGGTATTCTTGGCATCGCTACAGAAATGCCGTAGCTCCATCCTGGCGATTAAGTTAAAGTGTCTCTCTTGGCGGGTGGCACTTGTTTTTTTATGTGGCTCTGCGCCAACTTTGGAATTTCTGTTCTCCGTGGTTATGGCCAGTCATTCCACGCCTGTATATTTGGAGTTTACATGTTCTCACCATGGTTGTGTGGATTTTTCTTCGGGTCCTCCTGTTTTTCCCTCCACATTTAGAAACATGGATTAAGAGTATTTGGCTGCGATAAATTTCCACAAGATAAGCCACTTCATTGAGCTATCATTTGTGGCCAGTTCGCTTCTGAAAAAGAGTTATATAGATAGCCCAGTGGTCCTTACCTGGTAAAATAAAAATGGCTTTAGAATTCCCACAAGAAGTGCTCTATATTTGTATCGACCCTTGAGGAATGATGGGCTGAGCCAACTGCCCACCAGGATTTAAGCATCTTTCTGATTGCGATTTGAGCACCCACACCAGAGCGCCGCCAACCGGGATTTTAACTCCGCTTCGCTGTTGCCATCATCGCGTAGATTGTAACGCAGCTCGTGTTGCCATCGTCGCGTAGATTTTAATGCAGCTTCGCTGTTGCCATCATCGCGTAGATTGTAACACAGTTCGTATTGCTATCATCACGTAGATTTTAATGCAGCTCGCGTTGCCATCGTCGCGTAGATTGTAACGCAACTTCGCATTGCCGCCGTTCACGGCCATGCACGTCGTTTCGTCGCCCTGCCGTTCCAGCAAGCAGCGAAGCAGGCAGCCGCTGCCTCCACGCAGACCATCGCGGCAGCGCAGCACGCCGCCTCCTCCAACAAGAGCCCCAACTCACAGCAGCAGCTGGTGCAGAGCTGCAAGGTGAGCGAGCCCCCCCCCCTCCCCCCCATTCGGGAAGTGGTGACCCACCGTGGTCCAGAAGTCGCCTAGCCTGATGCACCTAAATGTTAATAGGTGCGTTTCTTTGCGATGAAACGGAACATGTAATATTTGTTATGCAGTATTCCCTCATTATTCACGACTTGCTATCTGCGATTTTGACTCTTCGCAAATCGCATCTGAACTCTATACAAATGCATCGAGAGAGAGAGAGTGATGAGAGACAAAGTGATGAGAGAAAGTGATAAGATAGAATGCGATGCAAGAAAGTGATGAGATAGTGATGAGCTAGAGAGGGATGAGATAAAGAGATGAGATAGAGAGGGAGAACTTTTCGAAGCTTTAGAAGCATCTGCAGACGTTGCGCCTTCGATATTTGGAGGCCAATGTCGTTATCTGTGCAATGTGATATTCATGAGCATCTCCAAAATGTATCCCTCGCGAGTAAAGAGGGAATACTGTAGATACAAAAATCTGACTTGGTCCCAACACCCATAACGACTTCAGCAATTGCTTTGGCAATGGCCAAGCAATGGACTGTTGTTGTGCTTTGCCTCCTGATTTAACATATAATTGGTTTCGATTTAAAGCTTTCGTGACTGCAGGGATTCCTCTTCTTGGTTCTTTCGGTAAAGTCACGTAGAAGGGTAGTAATAAAATAATAAAAATAAAACATAATAAAATAATTCTCACGACGTTTCGGCCACAACGCAAGCAGCCGTCCTCAGGTGAAGACCAGGTCTGTCGTTGTGGCCGAAACGTCGTGAGAATTATTTTATTATGTTTTATTTTTATTACTTCCCTTCTACGTGACTTTACCGAAAGAACCAAGAAAATATAATTGGTTTTCATCGCAGTTGTCAAGCAGGTGCTCTAAAGTGTACAATATAGAGCTGCTAGCAACCAAAGAACGCGAGAATGGTGAGTACATGAAGGCTGCTTCCTTGCCGGTATTCTCTATGATTGTGACTCCGTGTGAGAGTATTGTCTGTGATAGTTGCAGTAGCAGAAAAACAAGCGGGGCAATAGATCGAAAACGAGAGACTGGCTGCCCTGAATATGTGAGCGGTGAACCATCGGTCGAGCGGGCAGCTTTTAATCTGAGAAGGACTAGGTTTTGCTGCTTCTCCGCTGTCGTTGTCTGTGGTTGTGACTCCGCGTGGCCCATCGTTTGCGACGTCTCCATGGCAGGTGGTGGCGGACCACATCCCCCAGCTCGTGCAGAGCGTGCGGGAAAGCCAGTCGACCCCGGACAGCCAGCAGGCCCAGCAGAGCCTCATCACGTCCAGCCTCGGCTTCCTGCAGGTAACGCGGCATATTCGGTCTGTGTGGACTTCATTTATGAAGAATTATTAATGAGATAATGCTATGCATAAGACAAGGTGATTTTGAAAAACAGAAGCACAATGGGAAGTCCGAGCGTGCTTTGCATGCCAAGGTGACAACACCATTCCTGCGTACATTCTTGCACACAGCCTGCAATGGAGATGGTGCCATTTTTATTTTAGGCTGCAGCAGAACAACAAGGCAAGTGTGTACCGTTTCCACCCTCCTTAGAGCTCATCGGTACATTATAGCCATCGTTGCCTACTGCTGCTGTTTGTGTTGTTGATGAGGCACATGTTGATCAGTCCTCCCCCGAAACCGTGGGGACCATTTGGCACAAGCCTACGAGCAACAGAGACCACATTCAGGCATTTTCTGTTGCTAAAGCGATGGGTTTTCTCATTAGCTGCAGGAGGAAGGGCTTGAATTTAGATCATATTGATTTTATGACCAATTCAGTGGGCATAGCCTCCCATTACATGTCTTTCTCCCAGCTTGTTTTTTTTTACTACACATGGGTACTGGCATCTTATGAATGTAAATCCGGCTGGCTGAACTATACTGGGTGGTACTGTGGGGAGATCACTTGACTTACAAATATAGAGGTTTTGAGTTCATATCCCAAATCAGCCCATCATCTCTGTTGGGGTTGATAAAATAGGTACCACCTTTCTTTGGTGTTTGAAAAAAAATCTACTGTTGAGAGTGCTTGTGATAACCAAACCCTTGATAATGAATGCTTAGTCGTTATTTGGCGTGAAATCTGAATATTGCCCTTGTACTCCCTCCAAATGACAGATGTACGATTCAAGTGGAATCTCATTGTCATATCATGTCAGTACTCTCCTCGGTTGAACACTCAGTGCTCTAGTTCTGCATAACTAGACTGACATCTGGATTTATGACTGAAACCCTTCACCTGGTTGGTAATAAAGACAAAATTTGCACAAAAAAGGCTGATAAAAGTGAAATTTGTCTGCACGTACAAATTGGGCCGTACGTGTGTTCTGCTGAAAATCCAGTGTTCTCTCTCTGAGATTAGAGGAGGGGGAACACCCTCGTGGGTATACCCAGAGTGGAGAAGGAGCAATGACTTCCGTTCGTGCGTCGCAGCACCACGGGGGATGGCGACGGCAGTGGGTAGATCACGCGCTGCGCGTTATTACGGCGACGATGACTCACCGCTCGCCCGACCGCCTCGGCGTCTGTTGCGCTGCGCAGCCCGGCAACCATCTGGTGGCATCGGCCCGTGCCGCCGTGCCGACGGTGGAGAACCAGGCGTCGTCAAACCAGCTGGGCACTTGCGCCAAGAACCTGGCAGCCTGCCTGTCCGAGCTTCGCGCCGCCGCGCACAAGGTGTGTATGCCCGGCAGAAGGCGAATTAGCAAACCGTTGGGTTTTTCTTCTTGGTTCTTTCGGTAAAGTCACGTAGAAGGGAAGTAATAAAATAATAAAAATAAAACATAATAAAATAATATAATATAATAAAATAATTTGATTATTTTATTACTTCCCTTCTACGTGACTTTACCGAAAGAACCAAGAAGATGAATCCCTGCAGTCACGAAAGCTTTAAATCGAAACGTTGCTTTTTTGTTGTTGTTACAGGATACATTGACATACATGGTCATGTGATGCTGCGTTTAGAGCAGGGTTACTGGACATCTGTGAAAATGAGTTTTATAGCTCACCAGATTCCTCCGGTATAAATAAATATTCTGATTCTGTTTTGCCAAGTCCAGCCCTCACGACTCACCACCACGCTACGTCTTTTCGCGTTTGCCGATTTACTCGACATCCGCATACAAACTTAACTCATTCTGTGCTGATCGTGCCCGTTGATAGTTAAACACGTGCCACATGTCGCGCGAAACAATTAACGCGATCTGTGTTAATGGAGCCAATTCAAATTAAGACTGAGATCTCAGTGTGTGTGTGCACCTGTTCCACGTGATGCAGACAGCCTTAATCTCTGAGCATGTTACACGGGACGTGTTTAACACTCATCGGGTAAATAGGTCATTCGGAAAGACGCACCGTGGTGGAGGTTGTGGGGACTGGAGTTTTGGAAGCCCTGGTTTAGAGCATGCAGCTTGCAGTCAAAACTTTTCAAGTTAAAAATCACATTCGGGAAGTTGCTTCGGCTCTTCATTTCCTGAGTTTGATTCCCAGCCATGGCTAATATCAGTGGTGAATTACCTTTGTACCAGGTCTCCCCGTCACCAGCCGACACCAGCATTGTGAATAATGGTCAAACTAGCCCCTTGACCGACATGGCATGGGGTGGTAGCGCATGTTGAACTTATTTCGCACCATACGAAGCCAACCATGCTAATAGGAGGTGACCAGCATCAGTCCCTGCTGCATTTATCTCTCTGGTGCTGATGTTTACACACTGCACTTGGCACTCATTTAAAGCTGAGTCCACCTCTGCTGGAAGGTTCTCCTATTGTTAACCACTAATGTTCACCATGGCTGGAAATTGATCCCAGGTGGCCAGATTTCTTAGCTCAGTGCGTCAACCGCTACACCACAGCTCCACCCCACACACCGTGCGTGCGGGACCCGCGCGGCGCACAGTGTGAAACCCGCACGGTGCGAGCGGGTTTATCTGAGCGCCGTCTCTGCGTGGCGCAGGCCCAGCAGGCGTGCAGCCCCACGGAGGGGCAAGACTCGGCGCTGGAGCTCGTGCGAGCGCTGGAGAATGAGCTGGAGGAGGCCAAGACCGAAGTGGCGCAGGGGCGCCTCAAACCGCTGCCTGGCGAGACGGTGAGGGTGCCAGCTGGGCCTCGGCATAAACCATTTGTCACTATTTCAGAAGTTTTTTTTTTTAGGTAAGGCCCACTGAGCTATATGTAGCTTTTTTTCAGGAGTGACCTGGCCACAAATGATCGCCCGACGAGAAGTGGCTTATCGTGCGAATATTTATAGCAGCCAAATACTCTTAAACGCATGTTGATTCTAAAAATGGAGGGAAAAACCGGAGGACTCAGAGTAAAATACAAGCGACCACGGGGAGAATATGAAAACTCCATATATACAGGCGTCAGGGTCGGGACCGAACCCACAAACTCCTGTATCCCAGGCGAGATAGTTAACATCTTGCTACTGTGGGACGAGCACGACAACCCCATCGGCCGATTGATACTAATGGATGGCAGACAGCGTCTGAGTTTCTCTGGAGAGTCATGGTGCGTCCTGTGCCCTGCTGCCTCGGCCGTGTGTTTTAGCTGGAGTCCTGCTCTCTCGAGTTGGGTTCCGCCTCCAAGACCGTGGGCTCTGCCATCGCACAGCTCCTCACTGCCGCCTCGCAAGGAGACGAGAGCTTCACCGGTGGGAACTGGGCGACGATTCCCAAACAGACGCACGTTCGCTCACACACACACGCGCACACACGTTAATTAGTGCTACAGTGTAACCAGGGGGTGTGAGAGGCACTTCCGAATATCGATGGGAGTATACGTGACAGCCAGAGGTCGCAAACGGGTTTTGATTCCTTACCCGTACCCATACCCGGCCGCACCAGGGTCGCAAATGGGTACCCGTACCCGGCCGGGTATGGGTAGCCAGGTATCGGGTAGGGTACGGGTATCGGGTACCCGGTTGCGACCTCTGGTGACAGCCCTCTGTGTGAATCCGGGGAGCAGGAAACCATGGCGCAGTTAGTCAAGGCGTGCCGGGGGGACTTGTCGCCCTGCACATGCTGCAAGAGGAGGCTGTCACATGGCTCTGTGCCCACGTGGACTGATGTCCACTCACATACAACATTGACAAGTTATTTATTTACTTACTTTCTATCTAGTGCTCTTAACTGTATGACAGTCACGCGTAAAAGCATTCGCTAAATGAAACCTAGTGTTCCCTTCTTGAAGCTCACTGCTCCGAGGTTTTCACGAGCATCGTAAAATCCAGCCGATTGTCCGCTACGCTTAAGAGTATTCCACAAGCAGTGTGTCGGGAAGTTGCTCATTGAAATATCAGTCGATGGTTGATTCAACCCATCATTCCTTACAGGTTTATTATACATTTTTTATAATTTTGTGCGAAGTCAATTAATAAAATAAGTGGTCGTTATTTTGGGAAGACTCTTATAAGGAAACCACTGTTGCATCCCCGAAACGTGGTTAAGTATTATAACTTATTGATTTGAAGTTCGTTTTAGAGAGGTGGTGTGCAGAGTTTTGACACTGGTCGGAATTTAAACTCAGAACTTTAAAGTTGTGAGTCCACTGCTCTACTCACTGAGTTACATCCCAGCCATTCCATGGACCTTTCCATAATACAAACATAGACCATGATGTGCACATACTCATGACTTGTAAGGGCATATTGTTACATCACGCTCAATTGTGTGCATGCCAAATGAGAGCTAGTGACACCATCATTTACTACAGTTAGAGCCACAAGGTTGCTGCAGTGGGGATAGCAGTGGCCTTTCAAAGTTTAAAAGTATGAAATATATTGTTGTTCTTTCAGTGAACTTATAAAACAAGGAACACATTTTTAAAAGTATTTTTTCCTGACACTGAGGAAAGAATGATCTTTGTGTTACAGCCTACTGATCTTCTTCAGGAATGATTGAGGCTGTTGTTAGCTTATATACATAAAAGGGAAATTTGTGAATGTGTGTCTGTTCGAAATGTTTAGCATACTTCCCGACATGCAACAAACTTGAAATTTGGCATGTGGGTAGCTTCCAGACTGTACACAATGCAAAAAGTATAAAAATAGACTTTTGTTTTTTGTGGGGCGGGGGGGGGCGCAATAATAGATATATTTTGCACAGCAAGTGAGTGGTGACGTCACATCTATGATGTCAACCGCATGCGGCAGCGTCACGCAGTGTGCCTGCTGACGTCACACATCCCCCCCCAACCCTTCGCGTAGGCGGTGTATTAGGGGCCGTCCATAAATGACGTCACACACCTAGGGGGGGGGGGGAGGGGGGTCAGAGATTTGTGACGATGTGTGACAAGGGGAGGAGGGGGGGGGGTTGAGAAATGTGACGTCACGTCAAAATGCGCAACTTTCAAGAAATATAAGCAATAGAATTGTTATAACAACACTAATTTTGATTAATTTTCATTAATTACTATTTGATTATTTAAATTTACTAAGGTCACCTTTTCTTTATTCTATGAAGGAGCATTTTGCTTCTCCATGGGAGAATGGAGAAGCATACATTTTGTGAATTTGTTGAATGGTTGTTATTAAACATTTATATTTTAATGATTCTACCAGGACTTTTCATTCTGTGGAATGAATATGATTGTTATAATTGTACTCTCCATTTTGCTTCGTTCTGCTACAAAGTTACAAGTATTTTTTATAGTTATAATTACTTTTAATATTTTATAATTATAAGAGAATTTCAATTTAATATTCTGAACATCTGTAGCTTTAGTTAGACCTTGAATATTTTCAAGTGAAATTTATGCTAAATATCAGCTTTCCCAACGCCTCCTTTTTAATACGTGATGCCGTGTGACGAGGGGGGGGGGGGTAAAAAATCTGCCAAAATCGCGTGACGTCATTTATGGACGGCCCCTTAATCCAACGCAACAATCCAAGTCTCGGGCGAAGCCGGGTAGTAAAGCTAGTGATAATATATGTTTTAATGGGTGGAGTTAGGTTAATGGGGCTTTAAACAGCAGCAATTGTTCGAATAGGGTGGTTGCTACTGCCAGGTTTAGTGAATATTTATGTCAAAAGGCTTACATGTATATTTTGTAATATATTTTAGAATTTAGATATTGTTAAAACCAGTGGGAATAAGTCCCTCATTTAACCAGATAATTAGTTAATTAGAAATAAATTTGAAAGCAAGATGAGGGTTAAGCATGAGAGTTTGGATGCCTACAATAGAATCAGAATACGTATTTATTTCAACTGGAGGAATCCGATCAGCTATAAAGCTCTTTTTCACAGATGTCCAATAGGACCTGCAGGGAAAGCTTGGGGGTGGCTTTTACTGTCATTGCAGCCACGTTATGGAGTCCAAGTTGCAAAACTTAATTTCAGCCGGGTTGACAATCAGGATATTAGTTCCATACTCGGCACACAACATCCAGGATCCCTCTCGCTATGATTGTCTCTACTTAGTCATGTGCCTACTGCAGTCGACCAGCGACACAGATAATGTTCAGTGAGACGTTAATTCGTGACAAAATGTTGCACAGCTTTCCTTAACACGAAGTATGTATTACATTGAACTTCTTTCACACCGTACGTAGCCAACCTTGCTAATCGGAGGTTCGGGGAAAGGACAACAAACTAAGCACAAAACGCAGTTCTAAATAAAAGAGTTTTCGATCTAGATTTAAAAGTGCATAGCTCCAGTTGCTTTCTAATAAAAATGCGTAACTCCCATCCATCAGACCGGTGGCCTTCACAGTCGCATAGCATTTTTTCCATAATAGAGGTCTTTTGGGTTAGATCGCGTAAATATATAAAAATCCGCCACCGTCCGACACAGCCAACTCGTAAGGGTTGTCACGTAAACAGAAGATGCCAATTCGTCACTAGAACAGCACACCGGTGTGTTGGAGAGCCAAGCCACAACATTTACAATCTGAGTACGACGTTTCGCCAGTAATTACAACTAGCTTCATCAGGCGACAGCCAGATTTGTGGAGAAGTCCACCTGTTTCATTCCTTATATAGAGGCGTAGATGTGGTAACCACACTTCTGTGCTCTTGCGCAAAGTGGGGGGGGGGGGGGGGGGGGACGGGATTAATGATATTGGTCGCGAAAGCCTACGTGTTAAATAGCTTTGTTTCCTCCAGATTTGTGTAAGGCGGATCAGATATCACTTGCAACTGGTCGGGAATGAATCTCTATGGTCGCCAGGTTCGTAGTGCAAACCGCTGCCCCACTACTCCCCAGAGGGGACTTTGAATCTGAGCATGGTTTGAGCAGAGGGCCTGGTCAGTCGGTGATTCTGCACACCTGGCAGTTGAGATGGCTGTGGAAGATGTGTATAGGATGTACCTCGAGTCAGGTGCCTTGGGTAGTTTGTTTTTCAGGCAAAAATCATGGTACGCATGTAACTTCATCTTTTTATTGTTGCGTTGAATCGTGGCGTTTAGAGTGCCTTTGCATGACACTATCACAGCTCCTATTGTGAATTTTCTGCAGTTGGAATTTTATTTTCTTGGATTAAAGAGCTGTTGTTTAGTCTGTGCGCATGTGGGAACACTAGCCCGGTGCTTTGCAGGCTGCACTGTGATCCTGGCAACATCCTGGACATTTCTTCCCTGGCCACACATTACAGAGACAAGTGTAGTGTGAAACTGTTCTGGGCAACCCCTAGGACAACCCAGTCTCAAATGAGTCCCTTCTGTGGCATGTAAACAGCAGCAGCACTGGGAAGACAAATCCAACCGAGTACGGTGCTGGCTACGCAACGAACCCGTTCGTGTGTCACACAGTTTTTAATAGGTGGCTTGTTAACTTGCCCCTACAGTCTAAACGAGGGGAGGGGGTGTGATTTATATCTGTATACATATGCGTGTACAACAAAAAAAACACATTTCAAAGTCTTAAAAAAAAATCTAAATCTTCTCGGGAGGTTGGAATGTGGATCAGAATGAATGGTTTGGGTCGTGCCAAAAACAGCAGCTGTCAGCTTTTCCAGCCACAAAGTCTCCGAGCGGCCCGGACAATGCGCGGATTTCCTGTCGGGCCTACACGGAGGCCGTACGTCACTCCAGGGCACATTTGCGGAGGTGTTTGCTTTGAGCGTAAATTGTTTTGCGGACAAGCGCTTTGAGTGTTGGTGTTTGTTTATCAAGCGGCAATTTGTGGGGAGCCAGACATTGTCATTTTGTAGCAAAATAAATCAAACTTAGCCCTGTATTTCTTTTTTGTATTTATAAAACACTTTTTTTACGCGTGCGTTTGTATAAATTTCGTGTGGGGAACGGTAGTGCGGCGGTGGTTAGCGCAATGCGCTGTGACTCCAGCGGCCCATGTTCGATTCCTGCTCACTGCCAATATCGGCGATGAATATATCTGAACCGGTCCTGGGTGTCTCCTCGGTGAATTCGACCTTAAAATGAGGACCAAGTACGGTGTGTAAACATTAGCACTGGGGAGACAAAGGCAGCCGAGTGTGGTACTGGCCACCCACCACCTGTTGTGTGCTGTGCCCACCTTAATAGGTGCTCGCTATCACCCCATATAGCCTCCAACAAGTCTGTTGCAGGCTATATGGGGGATCTTTGTATTTTTTGTGCAAGTGCATTCCATATTAATTTGATCATGTAAGTTATATGTTTGTATGTATTTACGTATGCCTGTGTTACTGTGTATGTATTGCCACACTACAAACCTGGATACCTGAGTTTCATTCCCAGCTACAGCAGACATAATTGACAAGCCTTATCCGAACATAATTGACAAGCCACGGTCACCCCTAGGTCGATTTATCGTTGAATGCAAACATCGCCATTGCAGTGACTTCTCCAATTCCTCATGGGTCATGTTGTAGGTGTGTGCTACAGGCCATGGAAAACCCGGGCTCTTTTAGGGAAATGTTCTCTTGCAGTCATCACTGGCAACACATTTACCATGAGCATCTGTATCAACATGGTACATCAATGGCATAGAGTGGTGATGTTATGTTTCACCAAATAAAAGAGTTGATTGAAAATTGTATTTCAACATAAAATGGCCTTACAAAGCACACTACCTCAGGTAGTCACATGATCTCTGCTTGTGATGTGGTTGTAAGTTTCCTTCTCAGTTGCCCAATAGGAGGAGCAGCGATCAGACTTGTCCAGATTTATGCAATAAAAAATTATACTTGACAAAAGAGATGCGGCCACTATTGCTGGTGATGAATATTCTGCGACGATTACGGTAAAATTGCACAAGTGTATAGTGGCTTTTACAGCACTGGTCTATATAGTCTAGAAGGCCAAACATTGTCTCTGTGCTACCTCTGTGTTTGTGTGTGCACGTGCGTGGGTGCCTGCGGTAGTGTAGTGGTTTGCGCGCTGCGCTACAATCCCAGCGACTTGAGTTAAATTCGCGCTCATGGCCAACACTGGTGACAATTACCTGAACCAGTCCTGGATGTCCCCTGAGGTAGACTCAGCCTCAAATGAGTACCTGGTGTGGTGTGTAAACATCCATCACTAGGGAGACAAAGGCGGTCAGGGGTGGTGCCATTCACCCACCCCCTCGTGTACTGTTGCCGGCCTTCATAGGTGCTTGCTAACAGCACTTGCCCCAACAGTCTGTTCAGGCTATACGGGATAACTTTGTCTTTGTGTGTGCCTGATCACGTGCATCTCCCCCTCCCCCCCCACTTCTGCAGACCACGCGGCACATGAGGCGGCGGAGGCCCTGCGCGGGTTGGCCGCGGCGGCCCGTGGGGTGGCGGCCAACACGGCCGACCCCCTGGCCCAAGAGGCCGCCCTGGAGACGGCGCGCGACGTCATGGACAAGTCGGCCAACCTCCTGCAGGAGGCCCGCAAGGCGGCCGCCAACCCCGGCGATCCCGACAACCAGCAGCGCCTCGCACAGGTACGCGCAGCTCCGCTCGGGCCCCCGTCTCGGCTTCTATGAGCCACTCGAAGAGGACCCTTGACTCCTGCAATGGACGGCCGTCATTTTCGCACTCTTCTCACAACCCTGTACCCGGAGCGCTACAAAGCAAATCCACTGTTTTACGTAATAAATAAAAGAGCAGTGTTCTTCATTGCTTTGGCCTGCGGGCCACTGACGGTCCCTGACGTGCGGCCCCCGACAATACACAAGTGTGAAAACAGCCCTTGCAAGCGATGTGGCGGCCCTCACACTGATGCCTTGTCGGCGGAAGTGGCCCCCCCTATGAAAATGAGTGAAGAACACTGGGTCAGAGCAATTTCAAATGAACAGTGTCAGTCTTTTGCATTCGTGACTACCGCCTCTTCAGTGTCGCTATCTAGTAAGCGTCTTCCGAACGTCTTCCGCAGTTTCAATTTTATGTTCATTTGTTAAAAATAAATTCCCGTTTTTGACGGTTGCCCAGCTAGTTTCGCTGGCAACGGCCCACAGCCACTAACAACAGTTTTTTTGTTGGGGTGGAGAGGGGAGCCCAGCCAGCAGCCAGCCAGCCAGCCAGTCAACTTTTGAGGCATCGATTACGTTTAATAGTAGTACGGTGTATGTGGGAATTTGTATCTCAATTGTGATTGTTGTCAACGTGGTGCAGTGGGGAGAATAAACGTCCCGACGTTGAATATTATTGAATGACCAGGTTTGCTAATTGCCCTTATATTTACACGCAGTCAGTAAATTCACGACTTGCAAAAACATTTAAATGGCAGTAAAGGTTGCGTGTTCAGTTTTTATCTTCATACAAATATTGGAAACATACAAGTTATTGTTTACATTGATTTGCTAATTAACATTTTCATCATTCTAAAAGATGTGAAAGTCAAACACCCCTCCCTTATATATAAAATAAAACATAGGGCAGAGCTCATTGTGAAAATTCCACATTCTCATAGCAGGGCCCAATCTATCCATAGAAAAAACACTGTGATTTTCCACAATTTTAGTACCAATTGTATTGCCCTCAGAGGGATGATGGACTGAGTAAACCCTCAACCAGAGTTTTTAAAATGCATCATTTTGTTTGAATTTCGACCACTCTGCCAACAGTGCCACCTGGTGGTGTAACATTGCTGTTTTCGATAGCTATGTTTGATTCAAATCTTTAAACCTCTCATATCTTGGAGGTGATATTTTGTTTTGTATGAATTCCACGTTGGTTTCAGAACAAAATAGTTATTAATATTGGGTCTCCTTTCCAAAGGAGACATATTTCAATGGGCTGTCACCCAGTCACAACTAAACTAATGGATTTCTCAATTTATATTATGCTTCGGATGATTACTGAAGATGAAAAGCGTCTGGTTTTGTTAAAAGCCTCCTTTTAACCAACACGCAGCTTATGACGACTTTTAGGGGTAATTCATTATTTTAATTGACGTAACTTTTAATACACTTTCTTTGTTGATTGTACGTTTCATCACGAGGCTTCCAAAGCATCACATGCTGCGACACGGGCATTAGTATGCTGTCGGCACGCTGTGCAAGAGGATACAATTGAAAACAGGAAGCAGCTTGTATTGTCCTTGACATGTGTGCCACATGGTATGCGCTTGTGTGCTTGCTTGAGCTCCTCGGTTGTATCGTGTGCGGATGTAGCAGCGCAATGTTTTGCGCGCACTGCACTAAAATCCCATTAGCCTGGGTTCGATTCCTGGCTGTGCACATTGAGAGGGGTCAACTGCTTGTGCAACTTGTCTTGTGCTTCCTGTAGGGTTACTCTCAGCGTCGAATGGGTGTCTGTTGCCGTCTGTAGACGTCAGCTCCGGGGAGATACAGATGGCCTGTCATGATGGTGGTTCAAACCATCTCTCCCAACTGCATTGCTGGCCTTAATAGGTGCTCGCGTACAGAGCTTGCTCCAACAGTGTTTTATTTACCAAAGGAGCCGTTGTGCCTTTGTTACATATCAGTGAAAAAGCTGTGGCATTTGTTAACCACATCACGGAATGGGAGTATATCGTGTTGTGATTTCTGTGACACAGGTTCAATTGCTGTTGATGAAGATCAGTGAGATTTGATATTCTAAACTTAGCAAGGGCTTTGCTAAAGTTTGGTATAAATTATTGGCATAGAGCAATTCACAGCAGTGACTCATTGGAATGTGATGATTAGGGGTCACGGTTCAAATTAAGAATAGATTATAATTTTTGTTTCCTTAGTATTGCTATTTTTATTTTTGTCCGTCGTGTTTTGCAGTTTCGTTCAATCAATTGGCCTGAATATATCATGAGCATACCATTTGCATGCATTTTTTTAAATTAAGGTTATATGTAACATTTTCATACTCACCATTTCATGCATGTATTGTAAATGTAAGTATCTACGATTATCAATGAATCATTGAGTAAGTCAGTGGCTGCTAAATTAAACGTCTTCCACACTTTGTGTGACCCTCGACAATGGGAGACCAAGGGGCCCCTGTGACCAGCTGCATAAAGCATCTCAAGTGGAATGTTTCCTGACTTTGTTATTCAAAAGTAAATTTAAGACCGCAAGAGTTGAAGGAACTTCTTCCTTTTTTCTGGGAAATATTCACCTCAAAATTTCACGCAATCCGCCATTGCATCTAACCTCGGTAATCACGTGCACCCCAAACATTCCCGTGCTGTGGCTCAAGAGGCGAAGTCAAAACAGTTCCCTGCTCACACGAGCAATGGGGTCCGTGGCCATCTCCATTGGCAGCCCTGAGCCGGTGGTGAAAGCTCCACATTCTCACGGCAGGGATCGGCCTTTGCATTGGATGGCCACTACTGGTCCCAGATGGGTTTTTTTGCCACTGCAATGGGATTTGAACTCTCAACCTTCCAGTCGTGAGTAAAACTGCTCCTATCCACAGCACCGCCCAGCCAACAGGAATATGTGGTCGCGAGTAGCACTTTCCCCAACAGTAAAGCATTTACAGTGACAGTCCTTGCCAAATTCTGCAGTGAAACAATCGCGTTGCCAATGCTGATCGGCTAATGGCATTCACCTTGTGTACCGGTGACTCCCATTATTCTCTATTTGGCCAAAGCATTACAGCTGTGTCCCACGCGTGACTCTACGTGTCAGTCTGGAAATTCACTTCGTGAACCCAATTTGAAATGTAGAACTCGCTCATCGCAACGCGTTTGACATGGCGTGTGTGCGTGACATTGCGCGCGCGCGCGTGTGTGACATTGGGTGCGTGCCATCGCGTGCTTAATGCTGAGTATGGTAAGCGATGGTGCCGTGGTTGATGCCTTGCCATACGATTCCTTTAACCTGAGTTCCATTCCACAGCCAGGCACGTACCGAACGTGCATCCCTAGCTCACCTCAGTCTCACGTGAATTGAGTACCCAGGGGCCTTAGCACTGGGGCGGTAAAGGAACCACGCGTTGTACTGGCCAGGACACCCTTGTGCAGGTGTTCTGTGCTGGTTTCTACGCACCCCCTGCGAACAGCCCTTGCTTGTGCAGTCTATGAGGCTAAGGTGTTGGTCTCCGTCTCTGTGCTGCTGAGCAGGTAGCCAAGGCAGTGTCCCTGGCTCTCAACAACTGCGTGAACTCGCTGCCGGGGCAGAAGGATGTCGACTCCGCGCTGCGAAACATCAACGACGCCAGCAAGCGCCTACAGGCCGACTCGGTGCGTCGCACGTGGCTCCCCCCCCGCCCCTCGCTCGTACGGCACACGAGCCCACCTGTTCAACTGTCATCAATCAACCAGGGCAGGGAGTCATGAGACTCGGTGACGGTTTCTTGGGTACACCAGCAGAATAATGAAATAGTTATCGATGGTAATTAAACGCCGCTGAGTAGTGTGGCGCTAATTGGCAACGTGGCGCTGTGGTTGTCGCGCTCGGCTCGCACATCGGACAGTCGTGAGTTCCAATCCCTGTCGGGAGTTTACGAGGAGCAATGTTTCACTGCTTTGTGTGAGAGCTCTGAGAAGGATTGTTTAAGGGTGCTTTCTACATAATTATTATGACAGTCTCAAATGTGGCATTCTCTGTCTTTTGACAAGATGCTGATGGCACAATTGTAATATGATTTGGGGGGGGGGAATTAAGACAACATTTTTTGGGAGAGTGTGAATGTACGTAATTGTGTCTCAGATAACATTGTTATTAATCAACTTTCATTGTCATGCTTTGCTCCCGCTGTTGTCTGCTGGCGAAGCCGCCCTTGAAAGAGAGCCGTATAGCTCGTGGGCTTTATTGGGAAATGAACGTCTTGACTTCCACAAAATATAATTTAAATTCACAAGAACTCTTCTTCTTCTTTCGTACGGCTGATGTAGATGCAGAGCAATGACTACAATTTCACATTCAGGTGGTCAAGCCAGATAACCGCATCAGGAGCTGCGCAGTGTGTCGCTGTGATGTCTCCTTCGTATTTGTGGATTGGGAATGCTCTTCCTCTCGTTATTAGGAAGCCACTGGAGCTATGCACTGTTAAATAATCTAGATTGAAAACTCATTTCTTTAGAACTTATTTTTGCGTTTAGTTTGTTAGCTTTCCCCCGCACCTTCCGATTAGCATGGTTGGCTATGTGCAGTGTGAAAGAAGTTTAACATAAATACATACATACACGTTGTATGGTCTGTTCTGGATAACCACAGTCGCACACTGGAGCATTTTAAATGTTCCACATCCACACAAAACCATGGCAGACGCGGATACCCGATGCACAAATGGGAAATAAAAAACAAACAAAATCAACAAGAACTGTCTCTCAGCATCCACTCACTCGCCGCCTGCCACGCCGTGTCTCTCGCTGTCGTCACGGGCCGTGCAGTTCCCACCGAGTGGCCGCTCGTACCACGAGGCGCAGAGCGGCCTCACGCAGGCAGCCGCCGGCCTCAACCAGGCCACGGGCCGCGTGGTGCACGCCTCCCACGGCTCCAGCCGCGAGCTCGCCACGGCCTCCGGGCGCTTCGGCCGAGACTTCTCCGACTTCCTCGACGCCGGCATCGAGATGGCCGGCCTCACACAGGTGCGGCAAAGCAGCGGCGCTCATCGGAACCGTGGTCGCAGGTGTCGGGAGGGAGGGATTGCTCGCGTGATGATTCATCGATTTAAAGCGTTTGTTACGCTCACGATGTAGTCAACAAAAAGATTGTCTTCCCGAACGAATTCCTGCTGCTGGGAATTTCATATTTTACTTTGATTTAAAGTTAAGTTATGTTTGTGTAAGCGAACTAATTGTAGACAATTCAAGCCGTTTTTTTTATTGTTGGTTGTCACATGACCCCGCAGACTAAGGAGGACCAGGTGCAGGTGATTGGGAACCTCAAGAACATCTCGGTGTCCTCCTCCAAGCTTTTGATGGCAGCCAAGTCGATGGTGATTGACCCTGCAGCCCCGAACGTGAAGAACCAGCTTGCGTCTGCCGCCAGGTGACTGCCTGTGAGGGTGGCTGCCTCTGCTGCTCACGATGCAGCGTGAGCTGCGGGCATTCGTTAAGGAAGGTTCAATTCAGAATCAGAATGTGTATTTATACTGGAGGAATCCGATGCGCTATAAAGCTCTTTTTCACAGATGTCCATTTGGGGTGGGTCAGGACTTTACAACAACAAACAGTAAAAAAAACAGAGTGCTAAATTTCGGAAAGGTAAATAAATCACTTTAAAAAAAAATACAAATAAAACTAACCTATGTTTTATTTTGCCAGGTAAAGCCCACTGAGCTATTAGCTTTTTTTTCAGAAGCAACCTGCTCAATGAAGTGGCTTATCATGTGGGAATTTATAGCAGCAAAAGAATCGAAATAATCTAAACGCATGTTTCAAAATGTGGAGTGGAAAAAACGGAGGATTGACTAAACTGTCAACTGCGGAAATAGAGCGAGCCAATGACCACACCACTCGAATCTCGTTAGATCTCAGAAACTAAGCGGGGGTTGAGCTTGGATAGTCCTTGGATGGGTGACCACCATTACCCAGAGGACGGGTGTGTAGTAGGCGTTGTGGGCAGTGGGGGGCAGTGGAGAGAAGTCCATTGTTGTTCTACACCTGCCCCAGACTCACCAACCCAGACTCAGACGTGATTACATCAGCTGGTTCGGGCCATTGAGCTAAACAGCTCCCCTTACAAGGACGACCGCAGCACAAGACTGTTGATAGTGGTGGCAGTTACAGTTCCAGGACATTGCATGGTGGGGTTCGAGGTCAACTCAGCCCATCATCATTCCTCCAAGGTGGATAAATTAAGTAATAGTTTGCGGAATGTTAGCAGTGACTGTCCAGTGTCTCTACTGTCCCTTTCATGGAATGCCCACAGCTGGTTCAGGCCAGATTACAGAGTTGAGTGCCACTCTGTTTGACTTGACCATTGACGTTGACTTGCCTGTTGACTTTTACATTCAAACCAATGTAAAGAAAGGGTGCAAGGACCACAATGTTAGTGGTAGAATTAGCTACCCCAAGCCAATGCCCTAAGTCTAGCCCTGGCTATTCATAGAACCAATCTCTGGTGCTTACTCCTCGCCCTCACCAAATCCCTCACCTCATGATCTGTCTAGGATTAATGAAATGTGTATCATTTTATGGGAAGCTATCAAAGATTGCCCTTTAGATAAACTTTTCCCCCACTAAAGGAATGTGGAATTTCCACCAATTGCTTAGGAGCCACCAAGAGCAATGAGTTCCGTCCCATTGCTCGTTTGTGCGTGGAGACGCTGACTTCTGGCTCGTCGCTGTGCCGTGTTCCCAGGGCAGTGACGGACAGCATCAACCTGCTCATCAGCATGTGCACACAGCAAGCGCCCGGCCAGAGGGAGTGCGACAATGCCCTGCGTCAACTCGAGGTGACTTTCGCACGGCCAACGTGGCAGGTTTGCCCCTGGTGTTGAAAAAAATAAAAATCCGTTTCATCATCGTCAGCCACGCTCGATCCGCTGCTCGATGCAGTCCTCCCCAATCCATTGCCATCCCTCGTGATGGTGCTGCGATGCAAAAAATTCCACCGAGCAGCTGCACGCGGACTGATCTCATCGCTCCATCTCTGCGGTCGATGTCCTCTTGAGCGTTTTCTCCCCTTTGGCTGCGTTGCGCTGAGACTTTGGAACGCACTGCATCTGTACGTAAGGAGGTCCATGTGTGTTGCAATATACAAATATATTATTATTATTAACTAGCAGCATTTTCATACGAGGCCTCGCTCACTCTGTGCAATTTATTGCTGCAACCCCCTTGCGTGACACGATTCCTGGACATGGGGAAAGTGTCCAATCGTGGCATGAGTTAAAGAACATCTGTCTTATTACTTAGTCGCAACATTTTGCAGTCGGTCCAAAAAGTAATGGGAAGCAAATTACTTCTCCTCGATTTGTTTTTTTTGTGCAAAGTCTGTAAAGCTGCAGTAAATCCCTTCAGTCAAGAAAGGTTCTTCAACCTTTTCCCAGTGGAAATAATTTTGGCCAGCGATGAGAGTTTACGAGGAAAACAATTCCAAGCCACGTTTTGTTGTTGTTGCTATTGCATCAGCCGGTGTTTTCATAGCGAGCAAGACATACAATGACTTCCAACGATAGCAAAGAGTGGGACAAAGTGGGGGGGGGGGGGGGGGGGGGCATTTGTGGAAGATTTATTGACAATTTTGATTTGAAGCTTTCGTGACTGCAGGATCCGATACTCTTTGGTTCTTTCAGTAAAGTCCCATAGGTAGACTGTGCAACAGCTGCCAGATCTAGCATGAGGATTTCTATCTACGTGACTTTACCGAAAGAACCAAAGAGTATGGATTTATTGACAGTTTCACAAAAAAATATGGTTATGCTTGTAAGGGAATATAGCTGCAAATCCTGACAGATGCTGGAGTGCTTGACTTTAAAGATTGTAAGTTACAATCCTGGTTCGGGAATAATCTCGGCCCATAATGCTTCTGGGACTGATACAATTACTGTATTACCACTTTGTGGGAGGTTAACGGTGGTCAAATAGCCCAATGTGGAATGTTCACTCCTGAATGAGAATCGACGGAAGATGGTACAATCCCTCGCTTGCTTGAGCAGTAGGACACTTTGACATCGACTTTGCATCCCCGGGCCCAGGAGTGTTCATCCAAAGCATATTGTCTAGCAGATGGACATCTGAAGTTGAGCATTAATGCACAGCATGTGAGCATGCCGTGCTGCTGTAAAAGCCACACACAGTTCCTCGCGTGTAACGCGGATCTGCGAAGATTGCGGCCCCCCGGGGGTGAGTAGCAAGTGAGATAGAGGGTTAGCGCAGTCGGAGCAGGCGGGCGGGCAGGGGGGCAGGCAGATTTCCATTGACTACATCAAGCATTCTGGAAGATGGGGACCTCATTTGCCAGTAAAAATATGATAATTGGTTCTTTACCCTTCTATCTGGCAACAAAACTGACACCTTTTTGCAAGGAGTCATGTTTGCATAGACCGCAATACCTGCAGTCATAATACAAACAAAAGAACATAACTCTGATAATGTGCACTGTCCTTGAAGTTGATTGGTCCACACCCGAGACAGCTTTCCTTCGAGCCTAGGTCCAAACCATATGAGACTAGGCTCGAAGGAAAGCTGTCTCGGGTGTGGACCAATCAACTTCAAGGACAGTGCACATTATCAGAGTTATGTTCTTTTGTTTGTATTATGACTGCAGGTATTGCGGTCTATGCAAACATGACTCCTTGCAAAAAGGTGTCAGTTTTGTTGCCAGATAGAAGGGTAAAGAACCAATTATCATTCTGGAAGAGTAGAGGGTAACCTCGAGTGTTGAGAGTTGGCCGCTTGAAGGGCGGCGCTCGTAAAATCAGTGGCACTGAAAAGGTTCAAGGGCTCGACCTGAGGTGGCTACCAGAGGAGGAGCCCCCCTGACCTTTGAATGTAAGTGCATGCAGAGGGTGCTCGAATGTTCTTGGCAGGATCCGGTGAGCAACTTTGACATTCAGAATAGGAAGTGAGAGGAAAGAAATATGGATGTATTAATGGTGCGAGGGGTTGGAACGAGGTGGATGAGGTCGAGCTACCAAGACATTCGAGTGACACTCCGTGGTTAGCGTTGAAGGGGAGCACCGAGAGCGCGATGTGGGATTCTCTACGAGCAGACCTTGGAGGTTCGGTGTTGACTGTGCAACAGCTGCGAGACCTAGCAGAAGGATTTCAGGGATGGTGATTTCATATCAACGACATTGGCCGGAACAACCTCTTGACATTCGTGTTCAATGGTCTCATGGTTTGGTTGGCATTTTGTGTTCTGTTGGAGCTCTCTGGCTGACTCTAACCCCCCCCCCCTCCCCTTATTCCACTTACAGGCTGTGCGTGGGATGTTGGACAATCCGACTGAGCCGGTCAATGACCTTTCCTACTTTGACTGCATCGAAAGTGTCATGGACAACTCCAAGGTGAGGGCTTTACCGTGACACAGCACAGAGACAATGCTGCGGTGGGATGGATGGGTGGACACATCGCCGTCCTCTTTTATATTTGGTGTCCTCTTTTCTAACTGAACAGAACATGAATGTACACTGGGCTCAGAGGTTCTTGCCTGTGGTGCAGGCACTTTGAAGGCGTGGTTCAGTACATTGTGTTGACACCCAAACTCTTTATGCCCGAGGTGGCTAGTAGGTGGCAGTACAGCAAACAGGCTCCTGGCCTGTGTGTTTGTGCGGATTCTGAGTTGTCTTCCCAAGTACATGTGGGTTTTTCGAAGGCACCTCCGGGTTCCTTTCCCGAGGAATTGGAAAATCGTCACCAATATGGGACTTACTTGAAAATGTATTGTGACTCTCAGTGATGTTTTGTTAAATAAGGATATGTCATTTTAAGAGTAGTGCATACATTCGCGTATGGGACCTCCATATAAACAGATGTGTTTATATATGTTTCTCCTCTATGGGGCCGTCCATAAATGACGTCACGCACCTGGGGGGGGGGGGTCAGACATTTGTGACGATGTGTGACAAGGGCGGGGGTTGAGAAATGTGACGTCACATCAAAATGCGCAAGTTTAAATAAATATAGACAACACGTTCTACTTATCTTCTTGGTTCTTTCGGTAAAGTCACGTAGAAGGGAAATAATAAAATAATAAAAATAAGCGTCTTCCCGACAGACCTGTTCTTCACCTGAGGACGGCTGCTTGCGTTGTGGCCGAAACGTCGTGAGAATTATTTTATTATGTTTTATTTTTATTATTTTATTATTTCCCTTCTACGTGACTTTACCAAAAGAACCAAGAAGACGAATCCCTGCAGTCACGAAAGCTTTAAATCGACGTTCTACTTAATTAAATATACTTTTTTAAATAAATGTTTTCTCCTACAACATCAGAGTGCAGCGCCACATTAAATACGCACTACAATGACAATAGTTTAAAGCGATTTGAAGCATGTTTTATTTGCGGGGTTGGGGGGGGCAGAGCTTTGTGACGTCATATTTGAGGGTGGGGGTCTGACTTTTTGTGACGCCGTGTGACGATGGGGGAGGGGGGGGGGGTCAAAAATCGTCCAAAATCGCGTGACGTCATTTATGGACGGCCCCACTGGAACACGTTGGCCTGCACGTTTGAACAGCGATGAAACTGAACATTCATATTTAGCATCCATGTTACAGCAAGCGGTGAGCTTTAACAATGCTCCACGCATGTTTCTGTACACGTTGCAGAGATAAAACACCTGCTCTGGTTAAGCATGCTCCGTAGCGGTCGTGCTAAATTATTCAAGTCAAATGTCAGGCACGGGGACACTTTGACTCTGACATTCATGGTTTGGTGAGCACGAATTTAGTTGTTTATCTGGCTTAAGATGTTGACATATTTGCCCATTTCAATTGGGGTTGCATTTCTTTTAAAGAGACAACATCTCTTCTGTCTCATTTGTACTATTTATAATTATTTTGTGTTGTTTATATAGTTTCATTTGCTCCTTTAGCTTCAGTGTTAAAAGCATATAAATGGAAAAATGACTTGCATTACATTCTAAGTAATAGATTCTCCCACGCGCGATCATTTTGACCGTAAGAATACATTTTAAATTATAAATGTATTCATCAGTGCATGCCTACTTATTAGCACAATGATTTATTTAAAAATGCTGAGTGTGTTAAGGAATCATTTAACAGCGTAGAAAGAGATACTGTTCCGACCTTGTGCTCGCACTGCATCCACTTCATTTCAAAGTGGCATCAGAAGAACAAGTGGTTAGTGACTGGAGCAGTATTCTTCTTTGGCTGAATGTAGATATATCCATGAGAAGGTACGGCGGTGTTTAATGGTGCCCCCCCCATCATTCGCTGCTGATACGGTTGTCTCCGATGAGGTGTTCTTTGTGCCTGATATGCAATTCCGGGCCATCAGCTGTTTGGAGAGTTGGAGCATTATATATCACTACATTTTCACACTTATTGCTTCCTTTTTCAACACAGGGAAAACATTAACGTAAAAAAAACACTCGGTCTATTATGTCAGATTAGATTATAAATGCACCTTGCACGGCAGCAAAGCATTAAGTGCTTTCACAATCAGTTGAGTTGGCCTTTGATAACCCGCTGAGAGGTTTCACAAAAGTGGGGTCTATTTACCAAAGGAGAACTGGTATCGGTACAAATGATGAATACAAAAACAAGGGGCCAAAGTGCCACAATCCGGGCCCAATAATGCAAGGTGACCGCCAACAGAGAGAGAGAGAGAGCTAGATTAATGATCATACGTGAGCCTTGACAAGCTGATTAAATTGGGTTAGGTTAATGTGAGGTTGAGAAGGCAGATGTGGAAATGCCAAGATGTAGAGCCAAAGCTAACACAGTCTTATCAGGGATTATATTTTTATTATGCATCAAGTCCATGATATTATTATAACACTATTCTTCAGTTCCCTAGGCATGTCCATGTGTGTTCCCTTTTGTCTATCCACTGCTGGATGTGGGGGCCACCCCACACCGTGTGAGTCATAGGAGGTTATCTGGTCAAGCCCGATCATGGCGGTCACTATGGGTTGGTGAATGCGGTGTACATAGAAGTACAGTGCAACAGTGGATTTTTCTACCGTGGCCTCTGCTGCCTACAGCAATTCCAAAGCGTCAGTTGAAAACTAACAAATGAATATAACACATTCGTCAATAACACTGCCTTAAAATAATTAAATATGTAATTGACGACGTTTTGGGCAATGGCTCTTCTTCATAGCGCGTAAATAATTTGATAGATGTGCGTTTGTGCACCACTGCCCAATGCAGCATCACCAAATAATTTGTTTCAATTAGAAAATTATATTGCTTCGTTTTAATAAATTTCAACATTGGTCATTCTAGGTGAAATCTGGCCTTGCCATTACATTTTCTAAGCTCCAGTGATCTTGGTAACAAAGCATTGCGACACAGCAGGTATCTTATTAAACATTTACATCAATGTGTTGTCTCCCCTATTGGGATACCCTCAGTCATGTGGTTGCAATGTTTGTATCTCAAGAAGCTTCTTCACTGCAAGGCCTCGTGGTATAAGTGCGGCAGCATGCAGGAGCTGGAAAGGACTGGCTGTATTGTACAGAAAATTAAATCACGAACTGTAAATGGAAAAATAATTAAGCCACAGACGTTTAAAGATCTCAAAGCAGAAAGCGGTTTACAAAAATGGGGGAACAACCTGGATGTTGCAAACATGTGCTTTTGTGCTGCGCTTACAAGTGAACACACAAATTAGGAAATCATGGTTAATGGACATTGTGCATTTTAGAGTAATGCCCTACCTACTAAGTAAAACTAAGAAATATAAATGAGCGATTCTTATTATTCAGTAAATGCCTCAAATCCCTAATATAACTTAAAAAAATAATTTGCGATTAATTAACAAACAAGTGTCTGTTGCTACAGAAAAACAAATAAATATTTAGTTCCAGCAATTCTATGAACCTTGTGAAAAAAAAATTTCCAGCAGCACTTTTTTCTGCAGCAAATTCTGGGCCATTTCTTTTACTTCCAGTCTCTTTCGGCAATACTCCCGATGCTCATAAAGTCAACACTCGATGAGAGTTTTGACTGCTTAAACAAATGCTTCTAGAAAACACTGATCCAGAAAGTACATTGAAGAATTGACCTAAATGTTATTTTTGTGATGGTCAAACATACCCTCAACTTTTTATTTTATTCACCACAACTTACTTATACAAAATACATTTACAATAAGCGTGGTAGGAGAAATCTTCTCGGCCGACCTGTGTGGTTACCTTGTTTGACTTTCCTTTATAACGCGTTGGGAATCGTGTGTGTGCGCGTGCGTTTATTTGCGTGTGCCGTAGGTGCTGGGTGAGGCGATGGCTGGCATCTCCCAGCACGCCAAGACTACCGATCTGCCTGCATTCGGCGAGTCCATCGGTTCCGCGTCAAAGGCCCTCTGTGGCCTCACGGAGGCTGCGGCCCAGGTGACGATACAGCAAAGGCGGCCGACACTGTCAGCTTGGGCAGCTCGGCCATCTGCAGCCCTTTGCTTTGCGTGGTGCCGCGATGCAGACGAGTGGGACAGTGATCAAATCATGAAGACTTAATTCTGTCGCTTGAGCCCATTCATTCCGAAATGTGTCAGTAAATACACCTTAATTATTGTCCATTTAACCTCGTACATAACCTTATAAGTGACCAAAAGACATTGCGGCATTAAGCCAAGGCTGTAAAAATTATCTGCGTCCATCCTGCCATCGCCACTGGTCGTTTAGTTATTCTTAACAATCCGCAGGTCTCGTTAGGGTCATGGAATGCGATGCAGAGAGAGACTTCTGGCTCTGAGCCTACCCTGCAAGCAATTCAACCTTAATCCTAAACCTCTTGCCTAAAGACTTAACCCTACCCATACTCCAAGTGAAGTTGTCCATATAACCCTACTTATCTAAACACCGCTCGAACTCAAGTAACTGTCCCCACCATTGGGACAGGGAATTTGCACCACTGTCTCAAGGCCACCGATGGAAGTGAACGTTTTACTGTTAAACAATTTTCATTTTCCTTGACATCGACGTTGTCTGGTTGAGTGGCACTGTCGCAGAACGTTCTAATTACAATTGGAATGTTGTGAATTCATATCCTAGTTGGGGGCCAACTCAGCCCATTGTTCTTCCAGCATCTATAAATCGAGTACCACTGTTTGGTAAATTAACTGTGGGTATTCCGCTAAGGCTGATCCCTGCAATGGGAATGTGGAATTTCCACTGCTGGTTGAGTGCCGCTAAAAGAGGCGATCCGCTGCCCTCTCGCTGGTTTGAACTCGAAGACACTTTGACTTTTCACTCTAGACTAATGTGAATATTGAACTATTTTTTAGAATGACATTGCTTCACCTTGTGGCATGGGCTCCGATGGCAATGTTGGGACCAGAATTTAGTCTCGCTCTGCAGTTCCTTTCCTTGACCCCTCTCTCTGCCTGCGATGTTTAACGTGTGCAGTCGGCGTACCTTGTGGGCGTTTCGGACCCAGGCAGCCGACCCGGCCAGCAAGGTGTGGTGGATCCGGCTCAGTTTTCACGCGCTTACCAAGCCATCCAAGTGGCCTGCCAGAGCCTTCTGGACCCCGCCAGCAACCAGTCTCAGGTACCATCCCCTCGTCACCTTATTTCTGAAAGTCCGCAATGCTTCTGAGCCCAATAAAAAAAATTTAATCAAACGAGTCGCTCTTTATCGTTAAGATTCCCACTTTGGAAGTCACGAGTTCAAATCCTCGGATGGGGTCAACTCAACCTCATCGTCTTTGTGATCGATAAAATGAGTACTGCTTTGGGAAAAGTCAACAGTAATTTCCCCATGCAGTACCTGGTCTTTGTCATAGGAATTAGTGATTTTCAACACTGTCTCAGGGCCATAAATTAAGACAATCGGCGCACAAACCTCTTGTCAGAGGGAACCCTTTGACATTTAATCAAGTACTGTCGATCATAAATAATCTCAAAAAGATTTCAAGTTAATCTCTTGAGCCGTAAGTAATAATAATGACACGAACAGAAACGATGAAGATTGAATATAAAATAAAGACATATTTTGTCAAAGTATTTTTAAACAATCTTTGTTTCAGTATTCTGACTGATTTGTACAGTTTATCTCTACGGGTTTTTTTAAAAAGTCAGAACAGGATAAGATCTTTGTCTTCATTTACCCTCCTACATCTCCGTACTCCCTTTCCCAAACCCCCCCAACATTCCCTGCCTCGCAACCACCCCCCCCCCAACTCTACATCCCGCCCCCTCGCCGAGCGCAGGTGCTGTCAGCAGCGACGATCGTGGCCAAGCACACGTCGGCGCTGTGCAACGCGTGCCGCGTGGCCTCAGCGCGCACCCCCAACCCGGCCGCCAAGCGCCACTTTGTGCAGTCTGCTAAGGAGGTGGCCAACAGCACCGCCAACCTGGTGAAGACCATCAAGGTGCGTGAGCCCTTTGACTCTTACGCTAGTGGGTGGAGGGGGGGGGGGGCTCGGCTCGGGGATGTTGGGTCGAGCCGACCACCGGCTAGTAATTGAGTCGAGCGCTTGGAACCGCGGCGCCATCCTGCCACGAATTTTACTTGGGTAGAAGTGGGACTGGTGTTTGTGCGGGATGGTTTTGATTCGTGTTGTTGCTGTTGTTGTTGTTTGCTCCATATCGTCCGTGCTTGATGCGGCTTGTGTACAAAGACAGTCATCGCATCGCGCGCTTTCAGATGCGCTTCTGCGGCCGTCTGGAATGCTCTTCTTTATGATATTACGAAGCCACTGGGAGCTATGCACTTTTAAATCATCTAGATTGAAAACGAATATCTTTTGAACTGCTATTTGTGCTTAGTTTGTTGTCCTACATACGTTGCAAATGTGAACCCGCGCGTCACAGGCACTGGATGGGGACTTCTCGGAGGAGAATCGTGAGCAGTGCCGGACGGCCACGAGCCCCCTCCTAGAGGCGGTCGAGAGCCTCGCCGCCTTCGCCTCCAACCCGGAGTTCGCCAGCGTCCCTGCACACATCAGCCCCCAGGTCGGTCGCGACCCCAGGGTCAACCGCACACACATTCTATGACACGCCGGACTCCGCCACGCCTGGGCCAAGCCGGTTATAAGGGAGAGATTTGTATCATCGGTGCAAAAATTTGGCCCTTTCTCGAAAAACAGACGTGCGTTTTTACACTCTCATAAAAAAAAACCTCCATGCTTTCCGGTTCTCTCCAGCTTACCATACATCATATTTGGTCAGGAAAAATGCACATTTCATTACACGAAGGCTTGTTGCTCTATTACTGTTCAAATTAGAGAGGGGAAAAAAATCCCCCAAAGTGGGTTTGTTAACTACCATTACTGTTCCAAAGGCCTGACCCACTAGGCCACCAGACGACGATGTCAGAGCTTGGGTGCTTTCTGGAGGGTCTGAAGAGTTGCTATGCCAGTGTGTGCGTGGAAGTGCCTGAGTCTTGAGTGACTGTGTATCCCGCTGGACCCGTGCAGGGCCGCGAGGCGCGGGAGCCCATCCTGGCTTCCGGGCGCTCCATGCTGGATGGGTCCAGCGCTCTCGTGCGGACCGCCCGCTCGCTCGCGCTCAACCCCAAAGACCCGCCGTCCTGGGCCATCCTCGCTGGGCACTCACGCCTCGTGTCCGACTCCATCAAGAAGCTCATCACCTCCATCAGGTGAGGGGGGGAGATGATCACAGACCACCTCTACGTAATGGCAGTGGCGTAGCATGGTTGGTATCGGTTCGGACGTAGCCTAGCGCCTGGGTCTCTCCGGCCCATGGGCCCCCCAGTGCAGTTGCACTGCCCGCACACTCAATCGCTATGCCACGGCACAACATTGTTGGCACAATGATATGGCCAAGGGCTGAGCGGCAAGCGTATTGCCCACTCGTTGGATAGGTTCGCGGTTTGAGCTCAGCAGCCAGCTTGCTTAATGCTGCATGTGTATTAACCTGGGTGGGTGTTTTAACCGTAACTATCCACCATCTGTTTCACAGTGGATGTTAAACATCCAAATTCGATTATTTGAAAATGAGTGAGCCATGTTTGCCGTGGTCGTAGTTCACATTTGCCCAATTTGATACGTGATTCGCAAATTACACGATTGGTAAAAAGCACGACAAATGTGCCCCTATTGTCAGACGAGGGCCCACTTGCAGGGCCAGTGGTGCATACAACTTGTGGCACAACAGGGACAGTTTCCACGGGGGTCACCTTGGCTGGATTGCAGCTGGGCATTTTGTAAAGGTTGAGATGATATGTGAGGAGCTTTAAGTCCCTGAGACATTTAAACAGCAAGGGTCCTGCACACGCACACACCCTTATGCGCGCGAACGTCCGACCCGACAGAGACCGTGCGCCTGGGCAGAGGGAGTGCGACGAGGCCATCGACACGGTCAACGGCTGCGTCCGAGACATCGACCAGGCATCCATGTCGGCCATGAGCAACAACCTCTCGCCCCGAGAGGACGTCTCTGCCGAGGTGAGCCATTCACCCGCAGCACTGCAGCCCCTCCTGCTCCTCCCTGTGGCAGTATGTGAAACTCGGGGTGGTTGTTGTGTGTAGGTCTGTGTGTGTGTGTGTGTATATGTGTGTGTGGATCGGTAGCATAGCGGTGAGCGCACTGCGCTACGTACTCGGCGACCCATGTTCGATTCCCGGTCATGGCCAACACCAGTGACGATTATCTGAAGCGGTCCTGGGCCTCTCGTAGGTCGACTCAGCCTCAAATTATGACCTGGTGTGATGTGTGACATCGCCACTAGGGACGCCAAAGTGGCCGGGCATGGTGCTGACCACCCACCCCCTCATGTGCAGTGGTCGCAAACAGAACTGCCCCAAAAGTCTGTGAAGGCTATATGGGGGATCTTTGTCACATAGCTATTGCGTGGTGGTTAGTCGACCTATAACTGTTCATCTCCTCCCATACAAATTGAAGGATTGTCACAATTTGGGGTGATAATTCGAAAAAATATATGTTTACTTTCGTCTCGTTTGTATGGTCCTCCTTAGTTCTGACCATTAGCCTGAAGGAAACGCTTGTGTAAATGGAAGATGATAATATATTCAGAAGTATGATTGATTCTTAGATCAAAGGCATAGGAATTGATTTTAACCAACGAATTGTTACGTGATTAGTGGGGAACGCAGTCCACCCCATTCCAGTTGGATTGCCATGCCTCAGCCTTCAATGAATACCTTAAATATTCAACACTTTCTAATTAAAGGCAGCTGGGCATAGTTTTAGCCACACCACCCCCTAATGCGCCTTCTTAATAGGTGCTTGCTACCGGCACTTTTCCCCCATGGTCTAAAAGGTTAAAGGAAAGATCACTCTTTTTTTTTATTACAGCTCATGCCATGTGCCTCCCCAAGGCAGTGGTTGGTTATTGCCAGATATAATTGAGAAAAATAAAGATTGATTTCAATAATACTTAATGTAAAATTTGGTGAATGACGGTCATTTCTTGGTTCAGGTCATGACCCTCATATTAGCACAGTTGGAATATAGATCAGTGTTAAAAAAAAAGCAATACCAGTGCATATTACCTGCTATGGCAGGTGGATCAGAGATACTGACAAAGAAGAGAATTTTAAATCAGTGTGTACTACCTGCTATGACACATGCTTTAGACACGTGTTTTTCATACATGGAACAAAAACTAAAACGTGCAAGAGGTGCTTGCAGAGCATAACACTGAGATGCAGAAAGAGAACCACATTGTCAAAGGCCAAACAAAAAAATTCGAAAAATCGTATTGACTGCTAGGAAAAGTCATTTGTTTTGGGCTGGGCACAAGAAAATATTCACAGAAAAGTCAATGGACATTCTCATGCAGGACATGGTTAAAAGTGGAGCCTTGATTGTTAGTAATAAAAAAATATTAATAAAAATGTATGACTGATCATACAGTGGTCACCGACACGCTCCGAATATAGACATAAGAGCACCATTCCAGTGAGCACCATTCCAATGCCCAGGATTTATATAAACGACTTGTTTTCTCTTTCCTTGGTTCCATTCACCCCTCCCCTGCTCTGCGTCCATGATCTGAGCAGGCCCTTCAGGAGCAGCTGATGGCAGCCGTGCAGGACGTGGGCTCGCTGGTGGAGCCTGTGGCGATGGCAGCTCATGCCGAGGTCTCTCACCTGGGCGGCAAGGCAAGAACCGACCCGGCTTCTCGCCATCGTCTGACCCATGCCAAACCAATCTTGCCCCAACCCGCGTCAAAATGCGTGTACTCTTCGCCCGCCACATTGTCCCCACCCGGTTGGTGCAGGTCTGGCCCCCCCTTCTAATGACAGTTTGTAAGTGGGGCCGCACTGCTGCTCTGGGGCCACTCCTGTGATATGATCGGTCCGCTTTTGCCAAGGTCAACTACTGAAGAACCCGTTGGACGCCGCGTGATTAACCTTCGCCAAATGTACTCGGGCAGCTGCCCATGTTTGTTTTCAAAGCAATGCGGTTTTGACCAAATATAGCCAGACATAACTTTTCATAAAAAATGCGTCTCAATCAAACATTTTAAACATCGTTTACCCACCACCACCTACTGACCTCGCCTAAACTCCTGTCCAGTGAAAGTGCACCCTGCCTGGGCCACTCACAAGGCCATTGGGCACTATAGAGAGCGAGGGACATGGGGACATGGGACTGGGTGGCATGTGGCGACATGATTTCTGGAGTTTAGACTCGGCCTGGCACAACACAGGACCAGCCAGCGTTGTGGCACATTTAGCATGGATGTCACGGTGACGTGATGTTAACTACCTCGCCTGGTTTCCATGAGCTCGTGGGTTTGATCCCGACCCTGTCGACCGTATATTTGGAGTTTGCATGTTCTCCCTGTGGTCACGTGGATTTTTCTTCTGGTCCTCCGGTTTTTCCCCTCCACATTTAGAAACATGTATTTCGAGTATTTGGCCGCTATAAATTTCCACATGATAAGCCACCTCATTGACCTATAATTTGTGGGGGCCCAGGTCGCTTCTGACGAAGAGCTACAGTATGTAGCTCAGTCAGCCTTACCTGCTAAAATAAAAATAGGACTTTTTTGTTAGTAACGTGTGCAAAAATGGGATGGGATTGCATGATGTCCAGTCCATCACCACGGTTGTTTACCCCTCTCACGCTCATTAACTTGCAGTGCTGGGTTTTTGGACAAAGTCAAAAGCTGTGGGCGTCTGGCTGCAAACAGCGGGCTCGCTGGGCTTGTGTCTAATTGTAATACAAAGTGGGTACTAATGTGCATGGCACAACATGGCAAAGCATCTGGCAGGCTCGTTGGACGCTCTGCCATAGAGCGTTGTATGCATTTGCACTGCATGGGTAAAATGCGTAGTGTAGGCTGTTGTGCCACCTATGCTGATCACACCTATTGCTCCCTTATGTCGTGTTTGGCTTAGTTTTCAATACAGGTCATTGGAATGTCAAACAAAGAAATTCACCAGTTGGCCCATTGTTCCCTGTACACATATATCAGCGCTTGCAAACACGGACAAACTATGGGTGTACAGTCGAAGGCAACAGCTTAAAGTGTCTCCTTGCCCACATGAGCAATGGAGCAGTTCTCATCTCAGCCAGCGGTGGAAATTCCACATTCCCATGGCAGAGTGCTGTTTCGCCGCAGGACAACCGCTGTTGGCTTTTTCCAGAGTGGGTAGTGCGTTGAATGTGGAGGAGCGAAGGTGCCGTTTATGAGTTGGCCCGAGGTCAAGATTCGAGCTTTGCCCGCCTCCCTCCCGATGGCGAGTTTGACGCGCGCCGTTCACCGAGCTCAGGTCACACTGGACATTTAAACTTTTTTTTTATCGAGTGAACTAACTTCATCTTCCCCGCACTGCCCCCCCCCCCCACATCCGCCGCCCGCCGCACCGCCAGGTGTCCCAGCTGGCGGGCCACTTTGAGCCGCTGACCCAGGCGGCTATCGGGCTGGCCTCCCGGACGGGCACGCAGCCGCGGCAGATGGCCATCCTGGACCAGACCAAGACGCTGGCCGAGTCGGCGCTGCAGATGCTGTACGCGGCAAAGGAGGGCGGAGGCAACCCCAAGGTAGTGCCCGCCCCTTCTCCCCCCCCTCCTTGTTTTGTTCCCACTCCCCCCACCCCAGCTGCCCCCCTGTCTCCTCGACAAACCGATGGCATTGATCGCCAAGAGACCCAACCCAACCGTGCCAACATGTTTTCGGTCCCATTGTTTTGTTGCACTGCTGTCTGTGTTGCTTCTCCGCTGGAAATTCCAAAGTGTTATTAATATTCCAGGTAATGCCTTCCTTTCGGGTCCAGGCAGCCCTGGGACTCGATGTTCGTCTGTGCGACAGCTTTCCTTCCAATGCTCACTCCCACCCTCACCACCTTCTTGGAGAAACTTCCCATGCTCTCTTCCCGCTTGTTGTTTTTCTTTTAGGCTTTATCTTATCCCACGTTTCTCTGAACAGTTGTAACCGATGCGTGCCGAGTCGGTTAGCATGACTTCCGCACGAGCTGCTTGGCCCCGTCCCACCTCTTGCTGTACACAGTCTCACTCTCTACTACTCCTAGGGGCTGCAACCTCTGGAATACAAAACACTAGGATATCATAGAAATGACTAATTGTCAATGCATTATCTTGAGTGGTGTATTACTGTATTGTGCTGACTGACAAAAAAAAGGGCATTTTTTTTTTCCAGGAAGACCCACAGATTTCCTGGAACAGCTGTTTCAATTGAGGCCTCTTCCTATTCTTGAGCTTTGAACGTCATCCTGCAGGCCTTCTCCATGAGAATATCCAGAACAGGAATATACTCAACGTGTGCAAGGGTGCCCGTGCCCCCAACAATACAGAGCTCTCGCGGCGTGTTGGCTCTGCAATCGGCACCATCTAGCGGTGGTATCAATTGGAATGCATTGCGTTTAGAGCAGACATCGTGACAACGTAAGGTTGAAAAACAACAACAACCACAACTACAACAACAAAAAGCACAATAAATCTCTCCGACGTGCTGTTGCGTCAATGGAGGCTGCAGGCTGCAGGTGGTGCTTGCCGCTGCGTGATACGTACATCTTCTGCACGAGACCTTTGTCGTTTGAACAACGGCGCTTGCGCGTCTCACTTTCCTCACCCTTCTCTACGAGTCGCCGGCCTACTTCCCCTGCAGTGCCATTTAACCACCACTGACTGCCGTGTGATCTCATCCCCCTTGTGTGTGTGCAACCTCGAACAGATGCACTTCTGCGGCCAGCTAGAACGCTCCACTGGAGCTAGACACTTTTAAATCATCTAGATTAAAAACTCATTTATTTAGAACTACTTTGTGCGTTTATTCTGTTGTCCTTCCCCCGCAGCTCCGATTAGCACGGTTGGCTACATACGGTGGTGTGAAAGAAGTTCAACAAACATAGTACCTGCCCGTTATTTATCCGATTCATTTTTTTTATCACAAGAGCACAATTACCGTCATGCAAACAGATAAAGACACTTATACTCTTAGTTCTTTCGGTAAAGTCATGTAGGTAAAAAATGAAATAAAAATTAATACAAATAAAACAATGAAAATCACGACGTTTCGGAGGCAACACACGTCTCCGTCATCAGGTGGGACCGTCACAGCCAGATTAGCTGCATCAAGTGAGGGAGGGATTCAAGACACTTATATATTGAACGCTCATATATTGAACGCTCACAGTGAGCGGTGTAATCTCATATCACGATAGGGAACAGCTCCTGCAAAAAGAAGTCGAACTAATCCCCAAGTTATTTCAGTTGAGTTCTCACCCGCACTTTGTGATGCTCTAAGCACCACTACTGCAGTGGAAGAAAACTGAAATCGCTAGTCTTGACAGCTCTGCTACAGAGTTCGCTACCGAACCAAACATGATCTCGACCTGTGGCTCTAACAATGTAGCCAATCAACCACAAGGGCAAGCTGTACCACCGAGTTTATAAAGAATCTAGCCCCAGCACTTTACCATGGTCGCTTTTCTATTTTTGCTTGTCTTCCAGTGTTGCTGTTGCTAATTAACCATTTTGTGTGCCCTGAAAATAATGTTTGTAACAACGAGTCTTCATTATCAAAGCTGAACTAAAACTACAGTACTTGGAAGTTAAACTTAAGATATCTTATGTGTGCAGTCATGAATGGCTATCACCACACTGCGCTTGAAATCTTAGTTTAAAGTCAGGTGGGCAGTGCCTGGATTCAAACCGAGGACCTGTGGTGTCAGCTCATTGCTGCTTCATGGTCGTAACCTCTTGAACCTGCCTGGCTGCTTGCAGTTTTTTTATTTATTCCCAGCTCCCCCGGCCCCTTGCCATAACACGTGTGTTACTGCCATCCCCCCCTCCTCGCCCTGCCCAGGATTACTCGCTGCACATTCACGGATGGGACAACGGCCATGCCTGTCCCCAGATGGTTTGTACCCAGCGCAGTCATCCCCCATTACTGCTGCTCCCTTCCCTCCCATCCATCCACCACCACCCTGACCCCACCACTCCCGGCTCGACCTCTCTGACTGGCACTCACCCTACTAATGACGATCACCTCTTTTCAGTAGCAGACCTTGAGCATGCCCTGTCCGTTGCCTGCACTCCAATTGCCGCGAGCATGTTGACCGCTACTCTCTCTCTCTTATTTTCTTTCCTCCCCATCTTCCCCCCCCACAGCAGCCAGACCAACGCCACTGAACTCTAACGAAAAATATTGGCTTGTGACTTTCTTCTCCACAGAAATAACACATCACCCACCCCCCACTCCCCATCCCACTCAAGCTGCTAATGGCTACGATTCTCTCCACAGCGACAAGATGGAATGTCACCTACGTCTTGCAGGATGTTTTCTTTTGATCCCGCTCTCTCTCTCTCTGCTTGTCTTAGCCAAATGTCCGCAGTTGCCTGTGCGCAGCGTGAATTGACAGATCACGTTCACGTCCGTGCGTCTCGCTGTCTCGTCCGCTGCCTTGCATGGCCTCCTTCATAGCATCTGAACTAAAGACTCTGCCCATCCTTCTGCTCACAACATGCAAACATTGCTTTCTGTTGAAATAGTTAATGGTACACATTTGAGTGTTATACATGTGCTTGCAATATATATATGATGTGTATTGCTTCATTATATCATGCGTTAGCAGTTTACAATGGTACTGTGGTGCAGCGGTTAGAGTACTCCACTTTTAATTGGAAGGTTCAAAGGTTCCAATCTCGTTCAGGTGTCAACTCAAACCGTCATCCTTCCTGGGCCGCTAAAGTAAGCACCACTTTTGTGGGAAGTGAGCAATGGTCTTCCTGTGGATACGCCGTCTCCTGTCATGCTACTGTGGAATTTCTAGCCAGTGGCTCAGAGATGAGCACTGCCCGCCCCATTGCTCTTTTGAACATGAAGACATTTTTTGGTTTTTTTACTTGGCTGTGCAGGTTGTTTAGTACGTGGCCTGTGTGCTAAAGTCAGCAATAGTTGGATAGAAATTATAGCGCGAGCTGACCGTTTTTGTATTAAACAGACGTGATTAATCACAACAATAATTAAGGAAATGCTTTTAACTTATGGATGGAAAGAGTGCATAACCACATTTAATATAAAATATGTTCATCTCCTTTGGAATATAATTACTAAGAAGTGTATTTGGCTTGCTTGAATATTTGTCAAGTAAAACTACCTGCATTTTACGATGAAGCAAGACAATTTAATATGCATGCACATTTGAAAATGATTTACCTATTTGTACTGTTTTTTTTGTAAAATGCAAGTCCATTGTTGTCAGGTTCGGTTTTTTTCGTTTGCACATGCAATGCATTTTTCTTTGACTGTCTATCCTCATCACACATCCAAGGTACTGTGCACTTCAAAGTGTTCAGTAGACTTTAAATCCGTGTTCTGTTTGGCTGGTATCCTTTGCATTACAGAGAGTGTCTTATTCTTTCACACAGTGTTGCTTCGCCGTCTTCACGATGTCTTTACTTCTCCCAGCTCTCATTTCCAACTTGTCATTTTGCCGCGGGTGTCTCATAATACAATACTCGCACAAGGAAGGCGTCAACATTGTTTCGGGCTGCCTTGCAGCACATTTAATTCACGGATGGATGTGTCGGGGGATATTTCCGTGCACCTCTACAGTGTCTCTTTTGCCTGCTCGTGACTTCTGATAGCAAGAGTCAGCGTGAAACCGTTCATCGCGAGCTTCCTGGGGGTTCATTGGGCCTAGGTTTTTTGTGCTGCGGGAAGAAAAGAGGGGAGAAAGTGAAAATTGAAGCATCCTTGATTTTGTTCAAATGTGGTTGATCAAGCACGCACGTAGACATGGGAGCTTTAGGACGAAGAGAGATCTTTGCCCGCAAGCTTCAGCATTCCAAGATAATACAAAAAAATGTCTAACTGCGTAGCTGTGGAAAACTGGCATGCTGTCAAAATGTGCTGCATGCTTCTGAGCTTCATCTCGGGCTGGCACAGCGCAATATGTAAAGAGAGCTTCACTAGAGAGGTTTCGGTGGGGGGGGGGGGTTGGGTGGGTCTCGCCAAGTGATGTTCCACAGCTACAGATGCGACAACAGTTGAGATGACGTGCTGCATTTTCAACGTGAAAGTTCCCTTTAAAGGAAACACCCAAGTGACTTGGTCGACGTATTTCTTGCATCGGAGCAAACAGCCGACACCCCCTGAAATCCTTGGTCTCAAATGTGCCTTTCAGCCATTGTGGTAGAACACGATTCTAAAGCATAGAAAGTGTACGATCTAATTACGGATGACAGTAGTCGCGCCAAGAAAAACATTGTCATTTAATTCCATCTCCTGCGGCTCTGAGCACCAAAACTATAATTTTGTCAGATAAAGAGAAACTTTACGACCAAAACAAACTAGAGAGTGCCACCTCCTCGCGCAAATCAAAGGCCAATTCATGTGACTTCAGAACTAGTTCTATGATATCTCCAAAAGGGCTGTGGCCTGACAAAACGCAACACACTCCTCAGATTGCTGCGATTGCTAATTGGATGTCTGCCTTGTTGCTCCATGTGCTTACCCACTTTACCTGCCACAACGGTCTGTTGATATAGATAATTTAATTATTTCACAACTGGAAAATTTTCCACCATGTGGAGCGAAGCGTCGGACAGCATACGAACGGCATACAGCACAACTACAAAAGCACACCAGAGAGCTCTATAGAGCACAGCCGCAACAACCTACTCAGTCCTATATCTCGATTAAAACCAACCTTTAAAGGCTTCTTCTGCCAAACCCCCTGTTCCAATCTTCTGCTGACTTTGCACTGTTTCTGTCTCTCTCCCGGTCACCGCAATGGGCGTGATGGGAGCTCGTGGGTCCTTGACCGGTGTGCGTGCCCTATGCCTCCTCTCTCCGCTGGGCGTGTTGCAGGCGTCGCAGGCCCACGCTGCCATCGAGGAGGCCAGCCAGCTGATGCGGGACGCGGTGGACGATATCCGCGCCACCCTCAATGAGGCGGGTTGTGACGGAGGCGAGGTGGGCGGGATGGTGGAGACGCTCACTCGCTCCCTCAACCAGGTGAGTGCCGCCCTCCTTGCTCACTCGCTCACTCTCTCTTCCCGCGACTTCCGCCTCTCATGCGTTGTCTTCCCGTCTCGCTTTCCTCCTCCTCTGTCTGTACTACAATGCCTCCTTTCCTTGCCTGTGTTGTGTTTGTCGTCTCTCTCTGTCTCTTGTGTGTCTGTCCTTTGCCAACCTTCTTTACGTGTAAAGACATTCAGTGAAAGAGAACGCTTCATGACCGTGCCTGATGTAAATTGCAAAGCCTCGTTATTTTTTTGGTAGATGTAGAGGGTCCTTTTTACATTTCATTTTAATTCTTCCACAGTACGCATTTATGACGAAGAGATTGACATTGATGGCTAAAGTGACATTTTCTGTTTTCTGTTATGCTGCCACAAAGGAAGCGACTAATGTCATCAAACTACATGGTCATTGCACGTTTCGCGAACAGTGCACTGTCACTATAAATATGAAGGTATTTTTCTGCAGGAGAGACTAAAGAGCCATTCTCAGTCCATTGCCAATACATCAAAATGGTTATCTTGGTAAACCTGTTCATTGTGTATCTGGTTATTGCTATTATCTCTGAACCTTTGTCTTCATGTGTACCGATGTCTACGTTTCCGTCTGTCTTATGTCCTATCTGCCTCCTCTTTTTTTATGTTGCTCTTTTTTTTTCTTAACCTTTTCATTATTACCATTGACATCATCATCATCATCAAATCTCTCCACATTGCAACCACCATTAACAATACAAAACCTGGTTACTTGCAAGGGGCTGTGGGTACAGCTAATTTCATCATGTCATTTCATAAGCATTTCATCCAGGTATTTTGATGTTCTTATTAAATATCAGAATTATAATAATAATGATAAAATATAAACTTGGCAGGCCATCACTTAGAATAATCCTGCTTAGTTTTGTGACTAAGTAACGCACGGCTCTTGAGGCATTTATGGATGGCCATCATCCATTTTGTTTTCAGATGCGTGGTTGCCCAGTGGTTACCGCTATGAGCCTGGTGACCCGAGTTTGATTGCCGTCTATGGCTAACATTGGTGGCGAGTGGTATTTGAACCAGTCCTGGACCTCCACTTCACCAAGCCGTACCAACTGGCCAGCGTGTTAAAGTCGGCTCATAGAAGCCGCCCCCCCTAACCAATATAGGTTGGGAGGCCTTCACGAAGGGCTGCAAATTATTATTATAATTATTGTTGTCCATTTTGCCTGTTACTGGAGTGTGCCACTAATAACGCGACACACACACACACACACTGTGTACATGTTTGTTCATGTCTTAACCGCATGGCTGACACCCTGGTGTGGGGCGGCTCTAGCTGGAGGAGGGCTCCCCCGTGCAAGTGGAGGGCAGCTTTGTGGACTATCAGACTGTCATGGTGAAAACAGTGAAAGCCATCGCGGTGACCGCACAAGAGATGGTGAGGGCCTCCTCTCCCCACTTTCTTCGTATTAAAAGGGGTGAACAGGTGCAGTCCGGTGGGGGGAGGGGAGGGGGTTGGCTTGGGAATGAATCAAAGGAGGAGAGGGCTGAGGTTAAGAGCGATGGAATAAACGTGCAGCCAGAAGGCGCTTGGTGTTCCAGTCCCAGTCTTGATGAGCGAATGGATTTGTTCAATGCTGGGCGAGGGGGACTTTATGGAAACAGATTGGCTAATTACGATGTGCAGGTATTACTAAAAAAAGCCAAATATATGTTTTAATTCAGCAGACGGTAGACAATATAAAGAGGGAATTGAGAGAAAGGTTTCATGAAACAGGAGTTTACTATGAGGAGTAGTTGCCACAATTGGGTGCTAATTACTACGAACGTTGGCGATCAGCCAATACTTTTCACAGCTATTTCTATTGCAGTATACGGTAATGAAGTGTCTCCCTGCCCATTATCATCGGTGGCCCAAGGCCAGTGGTCAAAATGTCACCTTCCTGTGGCAGGTGTCGGTCTCCGTACGATAACCACCGATGACTTCTCACAAGGTGGCACTAATTTCATTGACCCTCGACCGCCCGACGCTAATTTCTCAACAGAGGCGTGACACGCTTGGCCTGTTTTTTTTAAAATAATGATTGCAGATTATATTCCGTGGTATTCTTTCAGTGAAAAGTATACACTGTTACTTTGCTTGGAGAACATTACGTTCCAACACTGGTAACGAGGGCCTAAGAGAGAATGGAAGTGGCAGAAGGAATGAGAACGAACGAGAGGGGGTGAGGTAGAACAGAGAGGCACCGAGGGCTAAAGCTGGAAAGAAAAAAAAACTTCTCTGTTTCTAGAGTTTATTTCGTCTGGCATCACTGAGCTGGAATCCCACACGGGTGCTCACTGCTCAGCATGGTAATTCATAGAACCAGCAAATCTCGGTACTAATAAGCGGTGGTGTTAATGCCCGTGGAGTGTTCCATCGTTTTGACATTCATTTGCATGCAAAAGCAGCGTGGCGTCGAGTGACGCTGGCTGGCAATGTCCATGGAGTGTTTCCATTTCAGTGGCGTAACCCCAACATAAATAAACGAGCGCTGGGAAACAGTTTCGCGCATTTAATTGTGTACTTTTGAATGTTAAATAGTGAAACAAATATGATGTACTATGCTGAGTATAAATATGATTGTTTTTGGTGAATTTCCTTGTAATATGAAGTGTCACCTTCAGGTATTAAATTATATCTGCATACTGTATGTTTTCTAAAGAGACCGCTGGAGTAATTTTATTGTGACCATAACCACATGTTGTACATTCAGCCACGTGGTTCTATGAACAGGGCAGTTGATTTGGAGAAGGCCGTGAGTTAAAATCCCAGCCAGGAATTCACTTAAACCAGGGGTGGGGAACGTCCGGCCCAAGGGCCGTATGACGCCCGCAAAATTATTTGGTCTGGCCCTGCCAAGGCAACCGCAGGCGGGACTCGAAATTCAATAAATCTAGGAGCAAACCTGCTGGAGAAGCAGTTGCGAGTAGCAACATCATCACTACCAGCTAACATCACACGCCTCGCCAAAGAGAAGCAGTTCCAGCCATCGCGTTAGGGGTGAGTTAATTAAATGTTTGACCAAATATAACAGGCACATTTTAAGTTGATAATTTTGAATGGCCCGCGTATGATGTTATAAATATCCAAATGGCCCTTGGCAGAAAAAAGGTTCCCCACCCCTGACTTAAACGAAGACACAACACAAAAGCAAACATCTCTCTCATCTTGTAGTTACGTACTCCAGTTTGTTGTCCCGGGCTATCCGTGGCGAAACTTTTTTAATGACAAATAGACTTTAAGGTTACAGTTGGCAGCACTCTCGTGGCCTCACTACAGTAATGTTCTGTTCTAGAGTACGGACGTGACACCAAAGTGTCACCAATAAGTGTGCCTGACCAAAGCTTTAAAAACCTAGTTTCTTATTAATAGAATCCCAAACTCATGTCGAGCGGCCAATGACACCCAAGCAGAGCTATGCATCTCCAAGACAACAGCTATTTGTTGTTGGGATTGTGTCTTCCTTTAAGCTAAACGACTGCAGTAGCTAATAAAAGGGACACATGCTTAACGCCAGGCATGTGTGGAACATAGGTCACCAAGTCTGTGAGCAGCCCCGAGGAGCTGGGTCCACTGGCCAGTCAGCTGACTGTGGACTACAGCCAGCTGGCCCTGCAGAGCCGGCCGGCTGCCGTTGCTGCCGAAAACGAGGAGGTGAGGGCTTTCTTTCTTTCTTTCTTTCTTTATTTCCCTCCATCCCGAGTGAAAGAAGGCCGACTTTGAATACTCATCGCAGCATTGGGAGACCATCAAGAACCTTGTAGAGCAACCAGCTTGAAGGTGGTGTAACAAAGATCACCCGTGTAGCATTACCAGGCTCTTTGTGCAGGTGCCGTTAGCGAGCACCGATGATGGCTGGCGTGGCACATGAAGAGGTGGGTGGCCAGCATCGTGGCCGGCCACATTTGACTCCCGAGTGGCAATGGTCACACACTGCACTAGGTGGTACATAATTGAGGCTGAATCAACCGAGGGGAGGCCCAGGACTAGGTCAGATAATTGTCACTGGTGTTGACCGTGAGCATGAATTGAACTCGGGTCACCAGGCTCATAGTTCAGCGGTCTAACCGCTACGCTACTGTATTATTGTAACACGTACACACAGGGAAATGCACGCTTCATATTTGAAGGTTAGCAATGCTTACTGTGCGTGCACTCAAGTGTTTGGCAATAATATCACGCTTACAGCAGTAACACAATGTTATTACATATATACGAATAGCGGTTGTTCTAGGGAATGAGGCCTATTGCCATAGGAATGTGGAATTTCCACCACTCAATCAGGGTGCCAGGGTAGATGATGGTCACTTCACTGCTCATTTGAACAAACATTCAATTACATTTTGCCTTTTGTATACGATTCCGTTTCCTTTTTTAATTTCAATGTCACTTCTGAGCGTTTTAAAGACATTTTCTTGAAGGCAGAGCCATGGAAATTACGGGCGACTGCACCTTTCGCTTGTGTGGGTTTGCACACGTGTGCATGCATGCATGCATTCATGCTCATGTACAATCGTAAAGATATATCAATTCATAGATTAGAACCAATTATTATGCTCACAATACATGTACACATCCAATTTGTAAATATTATATACAATAAACAACCAGTGCTTTTAAAGACACTGTAAAAAAATATATGAAGACTTGAAAATGATTCATTCTTAACTCGAATCGCGACCCTGAAAAATTACAATTCATCTCATCTCTCGGTGGAGATAATTCGTCACATCGTTAACTCGCAACGTGCGTGCTGAATGAACCACACGTACACACCTGTGTGCGCACACTTGCGTGTGCAAGCTAGCTGGCACAGTGGGGACCAGAGGTGGTGCATCTTTTATTCCTCTTGGTCCGTTAACTCAAAACACGTGGGTCTGTCCCGTGACCACCTGCAAGCGAGCCTACATCACTTTACGTGGTCTCAAACTACACTCATTACACACAAAGTGCTTGACACAAATAAACCACAATACCTTGCTGATCTCGTCAAGGAGCATAAACTATCACGCGAACTAGGGTCATCCTCGCAGTGACTTTTGGCTAGCCATCGAACAAAGACGGTCACTGCATCTGACAGTTTCAGATGCGCTCCTGCGGCTGTCTGGAACGCTCTTCTTTCCAATATTAGGAAGCCACTGGAGCTATGCACTTTTAAATCTAGATGGAAAACTCATTTCTTTACAACTGCTTTAGTGTTTAGTTTGTTAGTCCTTCCCCCGCACCTCCGATTAGCACGGTTGGCTATGTACAGTGCAAAATAAGTTAAACATGCTCTCTGGTTCTTTCGGTAAAGTCACGTAGATAGAAAAAATAATACGTGACTTTACCGAAAGAACCCGAGAGTATGGATTCCTGCAGTCACGAAAGCTTCAAATCAAGTTAAACATGCTTACATGCAAACCACACCTAGCTTGGCACAAATGTTGTCTCGATGTCATCGTCACTTAAGCGGACGAACGTCGACTGCTGTTGTTGACCTTTCTTGTGCAAATCCGCGTCTGTCCTTCATCCGTCTGTCCTTCTCTTCGTCATCTCTCCGTCGTCTGCCTGTCGCCTGTCCATCATCTGTCCATCATCTGTCATCTCTCCGTCGTCCGTCCATCGCCCGTCTGACCGTCTGCGCTCACCGCCCCCCTCCGTCCGCCACCAGGTCGGCACCCAAATCCGCGGGCGCGTGCACGAGCTGGGCCGCAGCTGCGTGCTGCTGGTGCAGCGGGCGGGCGCCCTGCAAGGCGACCCGGACGACGGCTTCGCCAAGCGGGAGCTGGTGGAGAGCGCTCGCCGCGTCACCGAGAAGGTATCGCTGGTGCTGGCGGCGCTGCAGGCGGGAAACCGCGGCACCCAGGCGTGCATCACGGCCGGCAGCGCCGTGTCGGGCATCATCGCAGACCTCGACACCACCATCATGTTCGCGTCGGCCGGCACGCTCAACGCCGAGGGGGAGGAGTCGTTTGCCGACCACCGGTGAGCGTGTGTTGTGCGGTGCTAACGTGGGTTGCGCACGATAGCAGCGCTGTTCTTCCATCCAGCCTAAATCCCCGAGTGTGAGACGCTGCCGTGGTGTGGTGATTCCGCACACTGGGACTTCCATTTCAGAGGTCACCAGTTTCCGCGGTAATTGAAACAATGGTGCAAGGTTATCAAATAACATCCCGCCTCTCTACCGCCAAGCTGTGTAAATGGTCACACTGCAGTGAGTCGATCGGGCAGGCCTGTGTGCGGTGGCGTATAGTTTGGATACTCCCACGACTGGCCAGAGTAGGCCAAAATCCTGTCGAGAGGGCCTCTTCTTGAGCTCCATCTCGTGAATGCCCCTCGGCCGTTAGTGGAGTGAGCCAATACATTTCAGGGCTACACCTGAAAACATGCAGAAGATTTTCACGACTCACAATTGGGAGGTTTTGAGTTTCCGTTTGGGCTGTCAACTCTGCTTATAGGTCCTCCAGGGTCAATAGGATAGGTACCACTTTTTCGGAATGCCTAAAGTGGTTGCCCTATGGGTAGACTTGCCCTTGCCAGGGGAATGTGGAATTTACACTGCTGGCTCAGGGGTGCCCAACAGATGTAATCTCCACACTACTGCATGTCAGAAGAGGGAGACACATTGATTCATCCTACAAAGACATTGACCATTGCCATGGGAATTTCGAATTCTACTGCTGATGCAGAACAGCTGACGGAGATAAGCAATACCTGTCAGCATGAGCAAGGAGCTAGGTCGGCTTGACTTTTTCTACTCGCTTGTATGGCCTGCATTGATGTAGTTGGTCAGTATCCAATCTAAGCTTGGACACATGTGAATTGCAGCAATTTTAATTTGGCAGACTCACAATGCAAACAGCCTGCAGCAAAGGCAGCTTGATTAAATAGGGTTGGGCTAGAGTTGACAAGCATTTTGAGTTGAGTCGGCTAATGTGGGTTTGGAAATATAGATGATGTTGTACTTCTTTTGCACCGTACATAGCAAACCATGCTAATGGGAGGTGTGGGGGAAGGACAAACTAAACACAAAAAGCAGTTCTAAAGAAATTCGTTTTAAGTTATTAGCTCCAGTGGCTTCCAAATGAAAGGAATCCACTGGAGCAATGTGGATGAAGGAAGGCAGCTCCAATGACGATTGGAGGGAGGATATTAATGAGGGTGCTCTGTCTTGCTTTTTTACTTACGTATTTATTTATCACAGTTGCAGACCACGGGCCCAAAGGCTCAACATGCCCAGTAGCCAGCAACAAGAAACTGTGTTGTTGAAGGTGTTGTAGATTAGAGTTGATGTGTTTCTTGAATTGTGAAAAGTTATACGATCGGAAGTCAATAAAAACGACGATAATGATGATGATGGTGAAGCTTTCGGAGCTTGACAACAATGAGGCGAATGTGTCGGGCTGGGTAGGGAGAACATCCTGAAGACAGCCAAGGCCCTGGTGGAGGACACCAAGATGCTGGTGGCGGGGGCGGGCGCCAGCCAGGAGAAGCTGGCCCAGGCCGCGCAGTCCTCGGTCGCCACCATCACCGACCTGGCTGAGGCCGTGAAGCTCGGAGCTGCGAGCCTCGGCTCCCACGACCCCGAGACGCAGGTGCCGATGGCTGACGGGCGGACGTGGTAGGTACTCGTAGTTCTTTCGGTAAAGTCATGCAGGAAAAAAAATGAAATAAAAATTAATAAAAAATAAAATATAAATCACGACGTTTCGGAGGCAACACAAGTCTCCGTCATCAGGTGGGACCGTCACAGCCAGATTTGCTTGATGCAAATCTGGCTGTGACGGAGACTTGTGTTGCCTCCGAAACGTCGTGATTTTTATTTATTTTTTATTTATTTTAATTTCATTTTTTTACCTACGTGACTTTACTGAAAGAACTAAGAGTATGAATCTTTGCAGTCACGAAAGCTTCAAATCTAGAAGGACGTGGTAGGGTTTGCCACCTGCTCTGGGTTTTCTCAGGATTGTCCTCTGTTTCAAGTGGCTGTCCTGGGAAATCTAGTATATTTTTTAGAACATAAAAATCCTAGCTTTTGCCAGTCTTGCAATAAATACACCTTTCAAAACAACGCTTTTATTTGTAGTTCTTCCATCTGGGGCGTATTCCTCCCGTGATACGTCCCGGATCTTTGTACCGCAGAGGTGGCAACCCTAGCGTACGATGGGGGAATGCAAGGGAGTGCAAAGACGAGGGTCTTGAGAACTGTGGACACTGACTGAGAGGATTAGGAGGGTGAGGGTGTGACAGCGCAATGGGATTTGGGCGATGGAAAGGTTAGATGGGTACGCAGACGGATGAGTGGAGCTTTTGGAATAGTAAAAACAATTTGCGTGGTATACAGTGGTGGCGTGTGGCTCCAGTTTGCAGGTTTACCAGTATTAGGCGACGTGTACAGGTGGATTAAGCAATTCACTGTGGGGGGTGGGACGGTAATTTTATTTTTAGCTCTTTACTATTTAATATAAGTCAAGCGCACTGAGCTATTAGCTATTTTTTTCCGGTGCCCAGGCCACACAAGATAGCTCATCAAAGTGGCTTATCATCACGTGGGAACTTATAGTAGCAGCCAAATAAACTAAATGCATGTGTCTAAATGTGGAGGGCAAAACTGGAGAACCCGGAGAAAAATCCACATGATCACCGCAGGAATAAGATATGAACTCCAAATGTACAGGAGTCAGAGTCAGGATCGAACGCACGACCTCCTGCGTATCAGGCGAGTGAGATAATATCTCGCCACTGTGGTGCCCCATGGAGTCGTCGGTGGGAGAGTGACCGACCGGTGTGTCCACATCTGACCCAGGTGGTGCTGATCAACGCGGTGAAGGACGTGGCCAAGGCTCTGGCGGAGCTCATCAGCGCCACCAAATCTGCGGCCGGAAAACCTTCGGATGACGCCTCCATGCACCAGCTCAAGGGAGCTGCCAAGGTTGGCCTCTGACACCCAGCCTGACACCAGTGCATGCGGTGCTGAGTCGGCACACCTGCAGCAGAACGAATAGGCGTGACGCAATTCACGCCCTTCCTCAGCAATGTGATGAATTATCAAGGCCCGGGGGGGTCGCAACTTGGGAAATAATCGATAGCTAGTTTGTCTCTTGTTTACTCTCTTGTTTGTATTGTTTCTCGTGCGTTCTGCTTTGATTGTATATACCGTTTGCGTAAATGTCTTGCTCCTCCTGGATATTTTGCAACCTCATGTTGTGGTGTTTACCTTCGTGGTCCTCATTCTCCACTCAATCCCATCCTGAGCCATCTCCAAGGTCATGCCACAGTTTACTTAAATGTACTATTGATTTCTGCACGTTGTGAACAATGTTATCTAAATTGCACAGTTCACTGAATCTTTCATGAGCATTGGAACAAACTCTGATTGATGAATCGATGAATGAATTGCAGCTAAACTATTTTATTTTACCAGGTAGAGCCCAGTGCACTATTGGCTATTTTTCAGACGGTACATGGCCACACAGTGCCTGTCATATGTGGCAATTTACGGTAGCCAGATAAAAAGCTACGAGACCACGGGCAGATAACCACTTGAACTCCAAGTATATACAGGCACCGTACGGGTTGGGATCGAACCCACGACCTGCGTACCAGGCGAGGGAGATAACATCTTGCCACCCAATAGTTGAATTGTGTACAAATTGCCTTCATTAGCAACCACGTGTTTGCATTACAGCAGCTGATATTTGCACCCTCATTGTGTGTTATCAGAGGGATTATTTCCAATGGAATTGGAGTGGAAACACGCGTGAGAAGCTGTAATTAGCTCCAACTCTGTATATTTAATTTTGTTTACATTTTTTACCGCAAGGTATTAATGAGCTCAAGCTGTTGATTACAAATGAAAACCAGGGACTCATAATGCATCACATTTAACATTGCAAGTGTTACAACTGAAGCATGTATAGCGCGTCACATTAAAACAAACTGGGAAGCCAGTCTATGAATAGAGTTTCCATTGGGTTACAGTATCTGACTCACGAAGAAATGTGTACGCCTCCTATCCAAATTATATTACTAACAGTACCAGTCTGACGTTAATCAAGGAAAGCGTAACCGAGTTTCAAGACCTTTTAATGAGGTTCCTGCACTGAGATATTTGGACATTTTGCATAATCAGTGTTATGTATGTATGTCTGAGGAAAATTGAATACTTGGAACAAAAGCCCCCCATGTGTATGAGAGAAGAGAGCTATATCGGTGACATAGTTGCTGTTCTAGCTTCTTCCAGCTACGTCATAGCCTTGGATTGCTGGGATCCTCACAACTGAGATGATTTCTGCATGAGCCTCCAATCCAACATCCAAAGTGATGAATTCTAGACTTGCACCAGCACAACACCACCTTGAATTGAACCCAGGATGCAGTACTCATTTAGTGCTCTGTTTTGACCATTATAAGCCACCTGAGCAACCTCGAAAACTAAATACATTAGCAAATGATTGCAGTCGCTTTGTCCCTTGTGAGATATGATTCCCTTTAAATGCTCTGTAATTTTAGAATGCATCGCCTTGGTAGTAGTATTATTAACGTGGTTATCCTCTGCGCCTGTGTGTGTGTATGTGGGGAGTTGTAGTGTAGCGATTAGCGCGCTGCACTATGAGCCCGGGGACCAGAGTTCGATTCCCTCTCATGGCCAACACCAGTGATGATTATCTGAACAAGTCCTGGGCCTCCCGTAGGTCGACTCGACCTCAAATGAGTACCTGGTGCGATGTATAAATATCGCCACTCGGGAGACAAAGGCGGCTGAGTATGGTGCTGGCCACCCATCCCCTCGTGCGCCATGCCGGTCTTAACAGCACTTTCCCTAAAAGCCTGTCAAGGTTACACGGGGGACCTTTATCCTCATTTGTGGGATGCGTGTGTCTGTGGTGGCAGGTGATGGTGACGAACGTGACGTCGCTGCTCAAGACCGTGAAGGCCGTGGAGGACGAGGCGACCAGGGGAACGCGCGCCCTGGAGGCCACCATCGAGTGCATCAAGCAGGAGCTCACGGTAGCCACCGCAGAACCCACCTCCCCCCACCTGCCCCCCTCCACCCTGCCCCCACGCCCCCCCCCACGCCCCCATGCCCCCCACCCCCCCACCTGCCCCCCTCCACCCTCCCACACCCCCACGCCCCCCCACCATGCGTTTAGAGTATTTGGCTGCAATAAATTTCCACTTGATAAACCACTAAGTTGAGCTATCATTTGCGGCCAGGTCGCTTCTTTTAAAGAGCTTTTTTAGCTCATTGGGCCTCGCTTAGTAAAAAATCGTTTAGTTTTTAAATTTTTTTGGTGTAATTCACTGCTGTCTAATTTCCATTGTGACCTGCGTTCAATTCCTCACCATTCACACCAGCAGCAGCAAGCGCTATTCAAACCTGGCAGGGCTTACCCCAGGATGCCTCCCCTTGGTGTGCCGTGTTGGATTTCATAGGGGATTAACGTAATAGCAACTTGTGTTTATGGCTAAATATTTGTCATTTGAGGCATTTGTGAACTCCAATCTTGGTGAGCTCAATTCAATGCATGGCCATGCACCCCAGGGACACTGGTTGGGTCTCTGCTAGGTCAACTCGACCTAAAATGGTAACCAGATAGAGCATATCAGCATAAGCACAGGGGTTGGGAAAAAAATGTGGCTGTGTGTGATGCCAGCCTGTATCACTCCACACGCATGTGTTGCTGCCCCTTTATAAGGTACCCATTGGCAGAATTTTGTACCTATCTACAGTATATATATAAAAGGGAAATTTGGGAATATGTGTGTCTGTTCGAAATGTTTAGCATACTTCCCGACAAACTTGAAATTTTGCATGTGGGTAGCTTCCAGACTACACAATGCAAAAAGTATAGAAATAGACTTTTGTAATTTTTTTTGGGGTGGGGGGGGGCACAATAATGCATATATTTTGCACGGCAAGTGAGCGGTGACGTCACATCTGTGATGTCACCCGCATGCGGCAGCATCACGCAGTGTGCCTGCTGACATCACGCATCCCCCCCCCACCCTACGCGTAGGTCGTGTATTAATCCAAGACAAGAATCCAAGTCCCGGGCGAAGCCGGCTAGTAAAGCTAGTAATCAATAAAGCTCGACAGAGGCTCTTTGAGTTTTGACATCGGTGACAGAATCGACTGCAGGTAGCAAACAAACACTTGGTGTTTTTTTACGAGTGACTGATTGATGTTCCGCTGCCACGTGTGCTCGCGCACGCACGCAGGTGTTTGAGTCCAACGACAGACCGGTGGCCGCCTCCACGCCGGAGGAATTCATCCGCATGACCAAGGGCATCACGCTCGCCACGGCCAAAGCCGTCGCCGCCGGGAACTCGTGCCGCCAGGAGGACATCATCGCCACGGCCAACCTGAGCCGCAAGGCCATCTCCGACATGCTGTCCTCGTGCAAGGTGCCACGCGTAGCCCCGGGCACAACATTCTTCGATGTGGGAGCGTGCCAAAGATAGGGTACACAACAACTTGGGAGTTTAAAATATGATGCACCAGGATAGTGGGACACCCAGAGGTCAGCGGTGTGTGAGAAGAATTAATTACGTTAGAGTGCCTTTCAGAGCCTTTTGATATTCTCCTTCCAAAACGACAGCGGTCTCAGCAAGAATTGTAACCTAACAATGCTGGGTGGGGTGGTCTGAGCTCACTCGTCAGCTTTTCCACAATTCGCATTCATTTACACTCCGATATCCATGAGTGCCGTTTCCTATAAATCACACTCTTTGCGTAGCCTTGGGCATCTTGTCTTGTTTCCATGACATATTGAGTTCTTGCCAGACTTAGAGAAAATGTTTACATGCCACAAAAATAGGCCCGTGCTGTCGTATACAGATTACGGCTTCGGGCCACGGCTTGAGTTCTTCCCAGCCATGGCCCAAGGTGCCGTAACCAACCTCGGAATCGGTCACGGGTCACTCGCTCTACGACACGTGGGGTTATGGAGGAGGCATGGAGCTAGAAGCATGGAGATGAGGAGCAGGGGGGGACAGAAGAGACCACGCGAAAGAACGTTGCGACTGACGTGGGTCACGTCCGTTTCTGTCGCATCTCGTGCATGTGCAGAGGGCGGCGTACCACCCGGACGTGAGCGAGGACGTCCGCTCCAGGGCTCTGCGCTTCGGCCGCGAGTGCACTGTGGGCTATCTGGAGCTGCTGGAACACGTGCTGGTGGTACGTGCGCAGCCCTGACACGTGCACTCATTCTATACTCTCTCTCTCTATCCCTCCACCCAACGCCTATCCGTGCATCTGCCATCGGCACGTGCTGGTGGTACGTGCGCAGCCGTGACATGCGTTCACATTCTGCACTCTCTCTCGAGCCCTGCAGCCAAACCCTCTTGTATGTCCCCCATGGGCAGTAAATGCAGGAGGCGCGTGCCACGCAGTCAAATGCGGCATTCTGAAAGACACCTATGGACATATCCATTTACAGCTCTTTAGTCAATCGACTACTCGATGTGGTTCTGGGTTTTCTTTTCTAACAACACTTCACCATGCTGGTCAGCGCTGGTTGGTGAATGCGGGGAGTATAGTACAGCACTGGATTTCTGTTGCACTGTCCTTTGCTGCCTGCAACGTAACCCGTAGACATCTGTGTATAAACATTTTAAATCGGCCAGCGTCTTCACTATGGCCGATTCGATTGAGTTCACGTTCAATACAGTAAATGTTTCTTTGCTCAAATGAGGACCGGGTGTTGCTCATTTGATATGGCAACCCTGAACCAGCTGTGCAATTACCCATTGCTATGGCGGGGGCCGGTCTCCCCCAAGGATAGCCACTGCTGACTATTGACAAAGTGGTATATATTTTAACAACCCCAGAAGGATGATCGGCTGAGTCAGCCTTCAACCAGGATTTGAACACGCAAACCTCCGCTTGCGAGTCAAGCGCTCTGCCACATTGCCACCGAGCCAGAGTAACATCATCATGATCATAAAACTAACATGCCTTTTGTCATTCCACTGCTGGATGAAGACCTTCCCAAGCTATGTTGATGAGTTTTTTTTTTTACCATACTTCACCATGCCGGTCAGTAGTGCGGCCATGTGAACGGGAGACCCAGAACTGGGTCAGATATCGCTCACTGCTCTTGGTGACGTGCTCTTCAGATACCCCGGCATAGTGAGCGCTGTATCACAAACCAACCGTTATCAGGAGTCGAACTTATAATGATTACTTATTTAATCATTGACCATTTAATGTAATTTAAATGTTAAATATCTACAATTTAGTTCGTGGGTTTATTTGGATATACGATGGTCGTTTCTCATTGCGGCCGGGCGTGTTTAATCTTATTAATTCCAAACTTCTTCTCCTGCCTGCAACATTTTTACTTGCCATGTATGTTTCATTCTGTAACGTTGACGGCGCATTTTCTAACTATTATGTGCTCATTTTTGTCTCATTTCCATCCCCTTCATTAAACATGGCAGCCGGTGAGTTGCATGCTGGGAGTTGTGTGTGCCGTGCTTCTGCGATCTCCGTGATCTTTGTTTGGACTTTTAACATGATCATGTTAACATCACAAATTTTTTTTAAGGAAAAAAGAAATCAAATGAAATTCGAGTGCAACAGAGCTTGCAGAAATCATGCAATAATAATAATATAAAAATATAAAAAAATTAAAATCCAAAGGATTGTACAATGTATTTTAAATGCAGCCTTTCTGTTTGCTATTGTACATTAATGGAAGCTGTATGGTCAATTACTGATTTTAAAATGCTAAATTATAGCATGTGCTGATTACTGATATTTTGAAGAGCTGCATGAGTTGTTCAATCTAATGGCTATGTTGTTACCTATATATTATTGCCCAACAAAGTGCTTTATTTTAAAATCAAAAAGCATGAGTGTGAATGTGAGCCGTTTGTGGTCTGATGAAGTCATATTTCTACAGGGGGCCCCATGAGCCACACATTTCCGCTGTGTGATTATGCAATTGTTCTTGGATATGATGGAATATACAGAACAATTTCAAACCAAACAACACTGGAACTGTGAAGTTTCCCAGTGGCTTCCGTGATTCTCTCAGTGCTTGATTTTTGCCTCTCTTTTCGACGATTTTGCTCATTTATGTAAAAGCATAACCTCTCACTGTTGTTATCACAGCAATGGATCGACACCTCAGTCATTCACCAACATTTTCACATGGTACTTTTTCGCAATCCTTTGGTTGGCGCCACAAAGTCAGGTCAAAGTGTTTTTCCCTGCTCAAAATGAGCAATGTGCCAGTGGCCCATCTCAACTGGTCGCCGGAAAACAAGTGGTGGGCATTCTGCACTCACACTGTGGGGGCCAGCCATGACCTCAGTCGTATCATCCCAGCTCCCAGTTGGTACTGAGTGAACACGTTCTCTTTGCGGCCGCACAGAACCCAGACACCGACACGAACTTTGACTTAAAACTTCGTGACTGCAGGAATTAATATTCTTTGGTTCTTTCGGTAAAGCCTACGTGACTTTACCGAAAGAACCAAAGAATACTCACGCGAATATTTGGTTATATTTTTACATTTTCAGAGGTATGGAGTCCTGCACTTGGTGCTGTGTGACCCATCCTTTGAGTTATGTGCATTGTGCGTTCCAGCGGTGCATAGGGTATGTGAGCTTCACGCCCTTGGCGCTCACCCACCTTTGAAGAGCTGTTAGTGTTGTACGGCCTTCAAAAGAGGGCCCATCCGGCTTTCCAAGCAGCGTATAGCCGCATCAAGGGGGCGTACAGGTGTAAGGGACAGGCTTTAAACCAGTGCTGTTGAACATCACTCTACCACGGCTGTGGCAGCGACCTGGGCCAGCGGGGGGCGGGAGTGTCTCTGGATGTAGAGCAGCGGTGTGGGCCACACCGCATACGTTTGCACGGCATTACCGCCTTGACGTGCCGTCCTCTCAGGATGGATGGTTTGGTAGGACGGTACTGTCAGCTGCGGTCCAGTCATGTATATCTAGTCAGGGTGGGCCGGCTTGAATTTACCCACCTTCAGTGTCGGCCGGCTCTGGTACCGGTTCACTAAATAACGACCCGCAGCTGGGTTGATATTGCTGAGGTAATAAACTAGGATTTCGGAAAAGTCTTACCTTAATCCGGGTTTTACCAAGTAGTATCACCCCTGGCTTGGCACCCACCCGCCTACCCCGCTTAGTTCTAAGTTGATGTGTTGTCGACCACCCAGGTGTTCATTCGGGGATGTATCCCCTCCATTACACGGATGAGATACCTCTAAGAAAATGTCAAATGTTGAAATATTCACAGATATTAGCGAGGATGTCTGGGTTCTGTCCTGAGATAATGCTACAAATAATACCACAAAAATGTTTTTGCCACGAACATGTCACGTTTCATCTCAACCCGATGTGGATGGTGGGCCAAGTCCAACCCTCCCGAACCAGGAATTACATTCTGAACCTTTTGTTTGCGGATGGTGGGCCAAGTCCAACCCTCCCGAACCAGGAATTACATTCTGAACCTTTTGTTTGCGGATGGTGGGCCAAGTCCAACCCTCCCGAACCAGGAATTACATTCTGAACCTTTTGTTTGCGGATGGTGGGCCAAGTCCAACCCTCCCGAACCAGGAATTACATTCTGAACCTTTTGTTTGCGGATGGTGGGCCAAGTCCAACCCTCCCGAACCAGGAATTACATTCTGAACCTTTTGTTTGCGGATGGTGGGCCAAGTCCAACCCTCCCGAACCAGGAATTACATTCTGAACCTTTTGTTTGCGGATGGTGGGCCAAGTCCAACCCTCCCGAACCAGGAATTACATTCTGAACCTTTTGTTTGCGGATGGTGGGCCAAGTCCAACCCTCCCGAACCAGGAATTACATTCTGAACCTTTTGTTTGCGGATGGTGGGCCAAGTCCAACCCTCCCGAACCAGGAATTACATTCTGAACCTTTTGTTTGCGGATGGTGGGCCAAGTCCAACCCTCCCGAACCAGGAATTACATTCTGAACCTTTTGTTTGCGGATGGTGGGCCAAGTCCAACCCTCCCGAACCAGGAATTACATTCTGAACCTTTTGTTTGCGGATGGTGGGCCAAGTCCAACCCTCCCGAACCAGGAATTACATTCTGAACCTTTTGTTTGTGGCCGAGCTTTCTCACCACACTGCCACAGAGGCCAGACGAACAAGGGGGACCGCCGTTCCCCGTCAGAATCGCACGATCACAGGTAGCCCCCTTGCTCACACTCGCGGAAAGGCGTCCCCATTCAACGGAGATGCTGGCAGCGGTTACTTCCAGCCCACGGGTCGCCCAACGAGCAGGCGACAGCTGCGTGCCCTTTCATTCACGTCACATTCGCACCCCCCCCCCTCCCCCGCTCCCTCCCAACACAAACCCCCCACCAAATCCAGATCCTGCAGCGACCCACGGCTGAGCTGAAGCTCCAGTTGGCTGCCTTCTCCAAACGCGTCGCCAACTCCGTCACCGAGCTCATCCAAGCAGCCGAGGCCATGAAAGGTACGTCGGGAGCGCTGGCGGTGAGCGGTGGGCGGAGGGTGGGGAGGGAGGGCGGGGGAGGAGGTTGGGGTGGCAGGGGAAGGGGCTGTGCACACCGCGTGCTCGCTCTGCCTCCGCTGCCTTGTAGGGGTCGTCAAACGCAGGGACGAGTAGCGACCGTAGCGTGGGGGTTTGTGTCGTGAGTAAAGATAGCTTTGAGGGATCGCAATGGGTCGTGTGCACCTGAGAGATGTGGAGTATGCAGATGATATAAAGGTTTTGTTAGCTTTGATCAGGAGATCCCTCCTCACGTGCATGGAGCAAATGATCTCACAGCAGAGTATATGGGAAAGTGTAAATTGCAACTCATACTGAGTAAAGTAAGTGAAGTTTTTTAAAAAAGAGATTTCAAAATCCTGTGAAGAATATCCTCCGTAGCCTTTCGCTGACACGGAATACGCTGCACTGTGATGTTTTAGAATGGATCCTTCATCTCGTGTAATGATGCCGAGAGCATAATTTGATCAAAATTGGTGCAAAAATATAATTTATAATTTGAGCGTATCATTAGTTGGGCACGTGTGTGTATTGGAAGAGGTTTTGTGACCGAGGGTTTTTTTTTTGTGGGCACCCAAAGTGAGCAACCAAAAGGAAGGGTCCGAGCCATGTGGTTGTCGTACACTACGTGAGCGGAAGACTGAAGAGGGGTGTTTTTTTTTCTAAGACGTTGCGAGAATTGTGGGATCTGGCACAAGGAAGCTGTGCTGAGGTGTCCTCCCATTGGCCCATGGTGACCTCGACTTTAATAGCAGGTTGTGCCCCATTAATATTTCTCGAGGTAAATGATCATTGCGTTGTAAAGTGGGGGGAAATACAATTAAGTGTAGTCGGACCTATGTTGCAGAAAGGGAAACCTACATGGTGGAGAACATATTTGACACACGTTATTCACAAACAGGAATTGATTGGCTGAATGTTGTCAAAATTTCTGAAAATAAAGTCTCGGAATTCCCTTCTTGTGAAGAGTTCTTGCATTGAAGGAAACAAAGCACCAGTTTCAGACAAATTAGTTTCTCCGTTTGATTCATGTCCATGTATTCTTAGGTGGTTGTAATTGTATAGTCATATTTTAGAGCTATTCCCTGGCATGTGTGTTTGTATCTGCATGTCTGTGCGCATCCATGCATTGTACACGTGCATTACTGCTTGTGTGCCTGCATGTATGCATTGTTCATGTGTGCGTGTGTGTGTTATATTCCTTACTGGATGCATCATACACTTGCCTACGTGTTGCACCTTATGCGTTCACATGCATGGAGGGCAGTGGCGCAGTTGGTTAGTGCACCGCGCGACGAACCCAGACACCCGAGTTCAATTCCCGCTCATGGCCGACACCAGTTGGCGAACATTTGAACCATTCATGGGCCTCCCCTAGGTTGACTCAGCCTTAAGTAAGTACCTTGTGCGGTATACAACCATCAGAGAGACAAAGGCGGTCGGGCGCGGTGGTGGCCTTCTTGTGCCGTGCTGGCCCTCACAGGTGCTTGCTAATAGCACTTGCCTCAACAGTCCATTAAAGGCTATACGGGGGATCTTTGCATTCCTTCCTATGTGCATCACACATTTGCCTGTGCGCATGTGTGCGCTTTCTGCATTCACATGCTTGCACGCTTGCACGCCTGCGTGCACGCCTGTGTGTCTGTGTGCATTACATGTGGGTGCCTGCCTGCCTGCCTGCCTGTGTGTAGTTGTATGCATGCAGATTAGGCATGCTAAGACTCACACACCCCTGGTGGTCCCTCGAACTGTCACGATGTGCTTTCGTAATTAGACTCTCGAATCGTATTTTTTTCCATCATCATTATTACGATTGCTGCATTGTTTTTTTCCCCCCATCTCGTATAGTTTTGTTCAATGCAATCGTATAAATATAAGTAAAGCACATTTGTATAATTGTCATGAATTGTAAATGTTCATCCATTTTTAGACACATGCAAGGAATTGCATTCATTGTGATTGTATTTCATCAGTATTGATGAGTCATGCGTGTCTGCATCCGTTTGCGTGTGCATGCATGCACACACATGTGTGCATGCATTTGTGTGCATGAGTGTGTGTGCACACACATGTTTGTGGAGAGCGGTAGTGTAGCGGTTAGCGCACTTCACTATGAACCCAGCGACTCGAGTTCAATTCCCACTCATGGCCAACACCGGTGACGATTATCTGAACCAGTCCTGGGCCTCCCCGAGGTCGACTCAGCCTCAAATGAGTACCTGGTGTGTAAAACATCGCTCAAAGGGAGACAAAGGCGACTGGGCTTGGTGCGAGCCACCCATTCCCTCGTGTGCCGTGCCGACCTTCCATAGGTGCTCGCTAACAGCACTTTCCTCAACAGTCTGTTAAGGCCAAACGGGGGGGGGGCGGTGGTCTTTGTGCGTTCTTAACTCTGTACAGGCACAGAGTGGGTGGACCCCGAGGACCCCACGGTTATCGCGGAGGCCGAGCTGCTGGGAGCCGCTGCCGCCATCGAGGCCGCGGCAAAGAAGCTGGAGCAGCTGAAGCCGCGTGCCAAGCCCAAGGTGGGGTCACGTGGCACGTGCCCACGACACCACTTGTGCTCTCTCTCTCTCTCGCCACTGCCGCCGCCGCCTCGCCACACCCCTACGTTGTGTGCCTCTTCCCCATGAAGTCCACGGTGGCGAGATGTTAACTACCTCACCTGGTATGCAGGAAGTCCATGGGTTGGTTCCTGACCCCTGTTGTATATTTGGAGTTTGCGGTGTCGGTCTCTCGCCGTGGTCACGCGGATTTTTCTCCGGGTCCTCCGGTTTTCCCCTCCACATTTTTAAACATGCTATTAGAGGATTTGGCTGCTGCTATGGATTTCCACGTGATAAGCCACTTCATTGAGCTATCATTTGTGGCCAGGTCGCTTCTGAAAAAGAGCTACTTACATCAGTGGGCCTTACCTGATAAAAATAAACATAGGTTAGTTTATGGTTTAGTTTTGTCCATTTCTCTCTTGTTTCCATATCATTTCTCAAGACAGTCGTTTAATAAACTTCATAGCGGACCACTTGAAGGCCATTTAATGTTGTATTTTGCAAGGGAGAATCGCAGTAAGCATCTTCGTGCACAAACGAGTCCTGGGATGGCAACTCATTCACGTTGGTGGGCATGAGCCAACGGTTGATGTTCCACATATTCCCCTGTTGGGGGTCAGTCTCCCCACGGGGTGAGCGCTCTTGAATTCCTACAAAAGTGGTATAAAATTTTGATTTAAAGCTTTCGTGACTGCAGGGATTCATCTTCTTGGTTCTTTCGGTAAAGTCACGTAGAAGGGAAATAATAAAATAATAAAAATAAAACATAATAAAATAATTCTCACGACGTTTCGGCCACAACGCAAGCAGCCGTCGTCAGGTGAAAACCAGGTCCGTCGAGGCGACAGAGTCTGAATGAGACTCTCATTCAGACTCTAATAATCTCAGAGGAATAATTATAATTGGAGTCGAACCCCAGGTTGGGATTTGAATTCGTAAACTTTTTGATTGTGTCTTTTTGTTATTGCTCGAATCACTCACAGTGCCACCTGGCCAGTAACATTTACGTTTAGAAGATTTACTTGGGCTGCGCAAAACTTGTTGTTGAACACGTGACACGCATTGCAGAAACCCAATTTTTGGGCCGCATGTTGGTTTTGGACAGTCCCACCCTTGTTGTATTCAGGTTACCCAGCAGCACTCGGTTAATTGTCCATACCTTACTGATTAGCATGAATTAAGTAAAATATTGCCCCAGGCCAAAGCCTTGTTTAAATTAATTCTACTGGGAAACGTTAATTATTCTTACAACCGTTTAGTCTGATAAATTAAATGTTATAAGAGAATATTTTTTACGTTTTCTTTCTTAACAATGCTGAGATCACTCCTCGCGTAGGGATGGGTTGATGGTAATGGTAATTCTATAGAAAACGTTTTGCTTTGCTACAATAGCAGTGTTCACGACTGTTAAAAATAGACATCTGTCAAAGCCTCGTGGACAACAATAGCACGTCGGGCCTGCGCGGTGACGACGGTGACGACGCTGCCAACGGCGGCCGCACGGATGCTGCGGAGTAAATTTACGGGGTCATGTGCTCGCAGAGTCGAGCCAAGAGCGGGGAAACCCGCCCGCTGCCCGTTGACCACGATGCCAGGAGCCTGCTGCCCTGCCGACTGCTGTCTGATATGTTTGGTATATAAGGTTGTATTTGTGGAGACCCAACTATATATCAAACATATTCTCACAGAGGCCTGCCCGCCACATCTGCCTGAACACAGCTTCCTGCTGTACACGTGCCGTCGTTTGCGTTGACCGAAATGCACCCAGCACATGCTCACTCGCACGAGCGGCAGCGATCTTAGGTGGTCATGTCAGGTAAAAGTGCAACAAAATCTATTCGCACATCGACTGTTTGCAAATGAAACTTTTTTTTATGATTTAGTTGTATTTTTTTTATCAAATGTTTGAAGCCAGTGGGCTTCACAATCCACCAGAAAACTAAGACCAACAATTACCCGGATTTAAACCCTATAATGTCCAAGCATTTGTTGTTCAAATGAGGGAAGCTACCTTATTCATGTAACTATAATTCATGTTCTTGTTCAAAACACCTTTTTCATGCTGTCCTGGCACAATTTACTGCATATGAAAATCGTTGAATTGGAATGCTATGTTTTCAAAATAATAATATAGAGATGGCTTTATATTGTATCATGGTTGCTACGGTTTAATATAATACTTGCGCCATCTGTTGGTAGAAGTTTCTTTTTTAATATAGGATTGCTTAATTGGGGATTTTACTTGCCATCTGCCATAATGCAAATTATTGTCTGCTCATATTCGCGTTTGTCCTGATTTGTCCTGACATCCACTTAAAAGTCTTTTCTGATCCCCCCGTTGATCACGATCCACGTGTTGGCCACCACTGCACCAAAAATGATTGCTCGCGAAAGCCTACGTGTTAAACGTAATGTATAAAGTGGAGCAGCAGAGCGAGCTATGTGCTATGACGAAGGGGCATTCCATGAAAGCTCGCCTATTAAATATGTATGTTTCCTTTTTAGGTAGTATTGTTCATGAATGCGTGCAGAGTAAGGATGATAGGTTAGAGACGAGAAGCTTCTTAAATTGAGTTGGGTTTTACGTGGCTGCAAAGACATACGAACGGAGCCCTGCGGGGATAGAAAGCAGAGGAGGAATTGACGAGGTGCAGTGAGGCAGCTGCATACGGTACAGATGAGAGGAATTGAACTGCATAGACCAATGTCCCAGAAACCGGAGAATAGAGGTAAGTCGTCATATGGAGGGAGAGACGAGCGGGTGAGAGATGAGTTTGTGGCGAATCGGTGAGTCTATAACTAATCAGGCATACAGCTTTTTCTTTAAGTGGTATACTATATAGCAGTATCAGTTGAAGTGCAGGCAAGATGAGCAGACAGCTAGGCCTGTAATTCCTTGTACGCCTTGTGGAGTTGTACACACATTACCACCTCAAATCTCATCACTGAACGTCAGCTTCCGTATCTACAAACCTCTGCAGATACTCGCAGAACAAGGTACTGTCCCTGCTTGTTCCAAAAGGAGTCCTGGATTTATGGTAAACGATTGCAAATGTGCTGCATTAAAAATGAACGATTGAATTTGTGCCGTATAAAAAATAACTCTTCGTGTGAAGAGTTATTGCAGACTGCACCTGAGATGTTTTAAATGTTAAACAAAGCTCACGAGAATGGAAGAGTGGGAATAGATCCATGATGTCTTGGCTTGTGTCCCTTGCAAGTCACACCCTTGGTGTTGCACGTAACATGAATGTAAATTTGCTCGTCTCAGATTTTTTTTCTCTTATTCTCTTTTTGCCGCAATAGCCCCCAAGGGTTCCATAACGAAATGTGGCCAAGAATGACAATTACCCTTCGGCAGAAACACCTGTACGGAAATCTCTCCCTGGCCCCTCGCGTAAAGACGAATAAAATAAACCTTGCACCGATGGCAACAAGCAGCGGATAAACCAATGAAAGCAACTATTTACCAGCAACCTCGAGCGGACAGCCAAACAGGGTTAAGGACACCTTCAAGATGTCTATTGAGTAAGATGATGGAAATTCCCATCGCCTCGTCAAAGCTGACCACTAGCGCTCATCGTTCCTGAGTACCGTTTCGTAACTGTGCTCGCGTCTGTGCCTGGCCTGCGCTTGTGTGTGCGCTTGTGTGTGCGCTTGTGTGTGCGCTTGTGTGTGCGCTTGTGTGTGCGCTTGTGTGTGCGCTTGTGTGTGCGCTTGTGTGTGCGCTTGTGTGTGCACTTCTGTGTGCGTGCCACATTGTCCCCCGCCACCTGCTCGCGATCCGCGCGAGCACAGGAGGCGGACGAGTCGCTCAACTTTGAGGAGCAGATTCTGGAGGCGGCGAAGGCGATCGCGGCGGCCACGAGCGCCCTCGTCAAGTCAGCTTCAGCCGCACAGCGCGAGCTCGTCGCTCAGGGCAAGGTGCGTGCGTGTGTGTGGGTTTGTGCGTGTGCGTGCGTGTGTGTGGGGAGCGGTGGTGTGGCGGTTAGCGCGCTGCGCTACGAACCAGGTGACCCGAGTTCAATTCCCGCTCACGGCCAACACCGGTGACGATTATCTGAACCGGTCCATGGGCCTCTCCGAGGTCGACTCAGCCTGAAATGAGTACCTGGTGCGGTGTGTAAACATCGCCACTGGGGAGACAGAGGCGGTCAAACGTGGTGCTGGCCACCCACCCCCCGTGTAATATTCCGCCCTTCATAGGTGCTCACTAACAGCACTTGCCCCTACGGTCTGTTAAAGGCTATATGGAGGATCTTTATCTTTGTGTGTGTGTAACACAGACTATGCAGGCTGTTCACCAACTCTCCATCTCATGCCTAGATGTGAGCACTGAGCCAGTAGCACAGATGCCCAGGGATTGAATTCAGGTTTGAGCCACTCACGATTGAATCATCATCTTGAGTGGCGTGAATTTTATGGTGTGAGCCCAGTCACCAGTGGCCACTCGAAAATACGCTCTCTTATGCGGTGTTTTCACTAAATTAAGCCTAGACCAGCACCGAGAGCTAAAATCTATGCTTACATTTGATGCCTGCTTTGCAACAAAACATTATAATGTTGGCACGTCGTCGAGTCAAGTTGTCTCCTTGCTTAAACGAGTAATAGGGGGGCAGCATTCACATTCAACAGTGTACTCCAGCTGGTGGTGGACGTTCCATTTTCCTCTGGTGGAGGACTGGCTGCTCAAAGCAGTACTAATTTTATCAACCTTGGAGGGATGATCGGCTGATTGAACTCCCTACTGAGATATTAGCTCTCAACTTTCAAAATATATAGATGCATTTTGTATGCTTTTGCAATATATTTTTTTCAAAGACAAATTCTGCAGGAAGCACACTTTTGAATGATAAAATGCAGTCTCTAAAATTATTTTACGTTTTAACACGGTCTTCAAAATAGTTGCATCTAGTTCACAATACGCAAGGTTGCATGGCAATTATTTCACATGTTTTAATTAGATGGTAAAAAGTGTATGATGATGGAACAGCTGCACAGGTAAATTACAATGCTAACACACACACACACACAATCACTCAAGCAAGAACTGCATCTGGTATAGAAAATCGAGGAAAAAATTGTTAATTATATTTCAGAAGGCAAAGTGTCTCTTTCCTCAAATGATTTCAGGGTGGTGCTCATTTGTGTTGCTGGTCCTAAGACAATGGGAGAAACTCCATATTCCTATGCCAAGGACTGGATAGACAACTTCATTTGACGTCCCGCGAAGCACCACACCTCATCGGGTGGTGGCACTTATTTTCCAGACCATGGAGGGCTGATGATGGATACGATTATGGTGGGGCTGGCCCTTACTAGGATCGAACCCACAAGTATTCTGCCAACTGAGCAAGTCTCCCAGCCATAGCAATGGTTATGTTGAACAATTGCGCGGTTCATAACTCACTCTTTTATCTTTTCTTTAGGTCGGAGCCATTCCTGCTAATGCAGCAGATGACGGGCAGTGGTCCCAGGGTCTCATCTCAGCGGTAAGTGGTGTAATTTAGCACCTGCCACCCAACATGGGCATTTTATAATGTCTGTCTTATCACCATGTAATTCACCTCCACGCTCTTTTTCAATCGTGCAATTGGCCATTGCATTTTACATTGTTCAGGCTTTGTTGATAATACGTCAAAGTATCTCTGTGCTCCAAGGAGTGATCGGGTGGCAGCAATGTCTCTTGGCAGCCCCCAACAAGAACAACCATGTTGGCGTATATACCAATTGATAGATTTGACGTCATCTCAAGATTCTGCACTGAAGTAGTTTTAAAAACACAACCTTTCAAGCAACTGTTTTGCGCCTTTGACATTGCCATGGTAGGATCCAATCTCTCAATTGTATTGACCACTGTTTGACTTTCTGTAAAGTGGTACTCAATTTGATCAACTTTCAAAGCATGATAGGTTGAGTCGTCCTTCACAACGGGATTTGATCTAATTTTGAGTCATATACTTTATAGTTCCACGTGGTTTCATTCCATAGTTGATGAAAAGGTTAATTGTAAAAAAAAAGTGTATTTTTTCATATGGAGAGTAAAAGATCGTCTTCAGCCAGTGGAACACGATGTTAAGATATTTTTTACTCCCATTTACCGAGAACAATTTTCGTGCTTATATTCACTTACTGTTTATTTTGTCATGTTATAAATAGAAACATGTTTTATTTTCCATCATTGCCCCCATTAACTTGAACACTGTCCACGGTTGGATAAGTTGGCAGCCCGAAGCCAGTTGGTGCAATGTAGAAATTCCAGATTTCTCATTGCAGAGTTTCATCTCCTAAATAGGATGAACACTTTTCATCTCGCACACAGTTTTTTTTATTATTATTGTCATCGCCATAAAATTATCACAGTTGTCATTCTGCACGGAGCTTATATATGTCTTCTACTTAGTGGAAGACATTCAAACATGTAATTTGTGCCGGCCTATTTTTGCCACCTAATTTTTCCCCCCACAATTCTAAAATCTTTTTACCACCGCTGCAAAATAAAATTTTAACACCACTCCATCGCACAATGTTACAGATGCTTGCCTCTACTCACCAACTCTGTGCTGACCATTCACCCACCGCCACCCACCACCCGGCCCCCCGGGCACGCTGACGCTCGCAGGCACGCATGGTGGCGGCCGCCACGAGCAGCCTGTGCGAGGCGGCCAACGCGGCCGTTCAGGGCCACGCGAGCGAAGAGAAGCTCATCTCGTCCGCCAAGCAGGTGGCCGCCTCCACGGCGCAACTGCTCGTCGCCTGCAAGGTCAAGGCCGACGCCGACTCCGAGGCCATGCGGCGGCTGCAAGTGAGTAGGAGACGACGAGAGCCGACGGGCTCGACTCGCCAACTTCATCTGCGGAGCGACGCGTCGCTGCTTGAATTGCTCGCCGATAATAATTTGGGGGGATGCTACCGCAGCGTATTGAGTTGGCACGCACTGGACTTATGATTCAGAGGTCACAGGTTTCGATCTCCCAGCGAGCAAGTTGAAACAATGGTGCAAGTTTCTTCAATCTCCACGCCGCTGTCCACTCAGCAAATTATAAATGGGCACACCGCAGTTGGTTAATCTGCAACGTGTGGGTAACTCCCACCTCTGTCAGCAAGAGTTGGCCCAAAATACCCTCGATGGGGACTCTCTAGTGCTCTCTCTAATACAGAGACCTCCTGCCAACAGAGGCACGAGCAAGGCATTGCAGGGCTGCACCTTTATCTACTAATTCAGGTGCCTATGGCCTATCAACCTGGAACGTGCCCGAAATAAAGCGCTCAGATGCTCAGTAGGGTTAAGCCTGATGAACAATCCTTGGACCGATGACCACCACGCATGCCAGGCTATTGCGGGTGGCTACATGCCTGTGCTATGTGGTGGTGGTAAGCAGGTTCAGTACAGCAAAAATCTATTGTCATACCGTACTTATATGCTCCCGTGCATACACTTTCTGCCTTCACCAACCCGCAGTATTAACAAAGAAAATAAAAAACGTGCTCAACACAATTAACTGTGAATCGTTTTTGTTTTACTCATGCATTGCCAAACGACTCTCCTGATGCCGCTACCATTGACCCCACGTGCGCCATCCCCCCCACTACCCCCCCCCCATGTCTCCCCAGGCCGCCGGCAATGCGGTCAAGCGAGCATCCGACAACCTCGTGAGGGCTGCCCAGAAGGCAGCGTTCGAGCAGCAGGAGGAAACCAACGTCATCGTCAAGTCGCACTTTGTGGGTGGCATCGCGCAGGTAAAGCGCCCACGTTTCCATCGCTGCGATATGCGTGCCCGTATGTGTGTGTAACGTGCGGTAGTTCAATGTGGGGAGCGGAGCTGCAACGGTTAGCGCACTGCGCTACTAACCCAGCGACCCGAGTTCGATTTCCACTCACAACCAAAACCAGTGACGATTATCTGAACTGGTCCTGGGCCTCCCCTAGGTCGACTTAGTCTCAAATGACTACCTGGTGCGGTGTGTAAGAATCGCCACTCGGGAGACAAAGGCGGCCGGGTGTGGTCCTGGCCACCCACCCCCTCGTGTGCCGTGCCGGCCTTCATAGGTGCTCACTAACAGCACTTGCCCCAACAGTCTTTTGAGGGTTTATGGGAAATCTTTGTCTTTGTGTACCGTGCCGGTCTTCATAGGCGCTACTCGCGAACAGCACTTGCCCCAACAGCCTATTAGAAGCTACACGGTGGACCTTTGTCTTTTGTTATCCGATGAACCTTGATGGGGCTGCCTCGTTGTAAGATATTCTGGAGCAGTAGGAGACTGATGAGCCACTCACTGTCTTCTCAATGGGGAAGCAAGCAGAAGCACCGAGTGGCCATTAGAGATAGGTAATTATATCACAGCTAATGTCGTCCCTTGCTGATTAGACTCGCTTATAAGATTAATTACAGATTACTAATTAATTTGCAGCTCAAGATCTCCAATGATGATTCCGCAATAATGTTCGAGAGTAGTTATACAATGAAGATTACAAATTATAGAGCTTTTGCAAAACCATTTCTGATTACCGATTAAATTACATGACGAGCTATTACGGGATTGTTACACGGAGTAGAGATATTGATTCGGTAAAAACGTCTCCTCACTCATTCATTTTGTCAGCCGTGAGTCAGTGGCCAGGAATTCATTTTCACATCTCTGAGGTCCGTCTTCCCGTAAGGCACCACCGCTGTTGACGTCCCACGAAGTGGTGCACATTTTACGAACCCCAGAGGAGTGATAGACTGAGTCAGCTCCAGATCAGGATTTAAACTCGCTGCCTTTTGATCGATAGGCGAGCACTGTTGTCACATACTAAATAATGTTGGTTACCCTATTTATTAGTTTTAATCAATTAATTCTAAACATGATGACATGCCTCATATGTTAAAGCAATATTCAAGTTTACTCGCTGTCTTTTTTCAGTGTTGTCTTCTCTTTTTAAATCCTTTATGTTAAGTGAGTGAATGTCAAGGAGTGCGCGTTTTCCTTGCCTGACAATTACTGCTTTGCAAGATCAGTTTATTCATCATTGAGATGTGTAGAGGTCACATCCCTTATACCGTTAAAGTATCTTACTTTTGTATTCATGTGTAATGTGGGGCATTGAAACATTTGTGGGTAAGGCATTTTTCTTCCTATTCATTTTACTTTGAATGAATCTTACCACAATGCAGATTGCCTTTTATTGAAATAATTATAGTCGTGAAATGATAAATTAATCTGCGCGTCCTTCAATGTCCCAATCTGAGAGTGCTTGCTAACCCTCGTGTATATGTCCTCTATATATGTGTGTGTATCCACACGTACAAGACATCTATAATTGTGGAGAGCAGTTGCACGTTCTACAGCACACCGAACTATGAACCCAGGGACCTGGGCATAAACAATAGCACAGATGAGACCAAAAGTGGAAATGTCCTGCTTTTAAGTTGTTTGATACATATCCACATCACCAGGGGTCATTGGCATACAGTAGTGTTTGCTATGCCAGCCTTCACACATATGCGGTAACTGCACTTGCCTCAGCCGTATATCGTGAAATGGGGGACCTTTTTTTGTCTTTGTGTACATTAGTACATAATCAATGCCATGGTAAAGGATTTACAAGCACAGTGCAGGCATATCTATCGGTTAATAAAAAAGGCTTATTATTTACATATTGCATTAACCAATGTGGTGAGTGAGCATTTTTAGACTCCGTAGAAACACCAAATGATACCGATATTAAAAATGTTTACTCGCCTGGCTCTGTGCTGTAATTTCAATAGCATGGTTCAAATGAGCATATGTATGTAATCTATAGAAATACTACACCAAGGCACAGTGTATTTAGGATCATTTATGAATACTAGATATAGTGACAGTGAATATACCAAAACCAGTAAGGCATCTAGGCCCTGGAGCGACCATGGGGCAAGGTTGGCTATGTATGGTGCAGAAGAAGTTCAACATACTGTACATGCATGCAAGTGAAAGATACCAAATGTCTCCATGGTCCTTAAGGATCTTAAGTTGAACGTCGTTTCCAAATGAAGTCTAAAGATACACCCTGACAATTAGTCAGTCATGCTCCTCTGTCGATAGTAATTTAAAAAAATCACTGACCAGGAGCAGGAAACGGATTTGTTCAAGGGCGCATGCTTTTACGATTATAGAACGATTGTGATACGTCAATGGGTTGGCCCTGATGTATACGAGATACATACGAGCAGTCTGTGCCTCAGAACGGCACGGACCTTTGATTTGCATCTTGTGCATGCCTGCAAGCATCCAGAGGTAGGCAACAACACACCAAAAGGATATTACTAAAATAATACAGTTCCAATCATAATTGGTTATTGGGTTAGGCCAGAATGATCTGGCCAATTGAAACGAAACCTCATCTCAAATTGATAATTGTGGTTGTGAGAATTCATATTCTTGGGTCTTTCGGTAAAGTCACGTAGATAAGTTCAAAGAAAACAACGAAAAAATAACAAAAAACTATTTTTCTTTGAACCTATCTTCGCGACTTTACCGAAAAGGCCCAAGAATATTAATTCCTGCAGTCACGAAAGCTTTAAGTCAAGGTTGTGAGAATTGTTCTTCAACACCAGTGAGCTGAAACAATGATAATTGTTATGATAAACACTTGCACGAGTTCAACACTTTCATTTGTTTGTCTCTGTTGGGTGGTGGAGGGGTTACATAACACAAATTTGGCCAGACCATTTTGTGGCCTTGCTCAAAAAATAAATATTGAATCATTATTAGAAGCTACAAAAAAACATACTTTTTGAGATAAAATAATGCATGTATTTTACCGGTAGATGAGTTTGCATTATTTTACTTTGAATCTAAAATAATAATTGGAACTTGAAGATGCCAACACATCACTTACGTGGCCAAACGTTCATTAGAAAAAAAACTTTAATCAGCCAAGTAGTTATGAACTGGGGGATAGAGCCCTGGACAAGAAAAATACGTCTTATTATAATATGGTAATAATATGCAATTTCTATATAATAGAATCATTTATGCAGTCCATTGCGTGTTAGGCTGGGTTGTACTGTAGGTAGTGCCTGTCACAAAGCCTGCTTCGAAAGCTGGGTGGTGAAAGAACGTGCATTATGATATGAAGGGAGGAGCCAATAAACTGGCCAATATTAAATTATTTCAATAGCATCGAAGTATCTGTTCGTGCTGTAAGAGCCGATTAAATCAGTTTTCGTTTGAATAGAGTTAATGTTTTAGCTCTTCATTTCCTTAAGTGCAGCGTGCCTCAATGATACATTTCAAGTCGCTTGGTGTTCAAAATACTATCACGCATTGCGGCACCTGAGGAAAGCAGCAAATCGATTTCTTATGTTTGATTAATTTTGAGGTTCTGAGGATGATTTGCTGTAAAGCTTTTATGGTTCAATGACGGCATGGTCAAGCTTGAAAACCTAAAGGAAAAAAGTAATATTTATCGGTTGTTATTTAATTAACAAAAATCACTTGTACCTGAGTAGCTTATAGCTGCAAAGTTAAAATGGTGGCATCCTCTCTCCTCTTGATTTCCAATTGAAAATGCACCTGCTTCCATAACCATATGACCAAAATACACAACCTGCACATCCGCTTAGCACGGTCGGCTACGGTGCGATAGAAGTTCAACATACGTACGTACGTACAACCTCCACAGAGAGCAATGGATAAGCTCATTCATTGGGATGTCCCTTCCCTTTAAATGTGAACCGCTCGCCACCAACAGGTTATCCATGGAGGTCCCAAAAGGTACTTGCAAAAAAACTCTGCATCCGGAGTGAAATCCAGGCCAGGGGACGTTCCCTCCTCTCCTTGCGTAACGTCTTTGTCGCCGTGTCTTGTTGAAGGTTTTCAGAAATGAGCTTTGCTCGTGGAGGAGTGGCAGCCTCGAGAACTATAGTTACTCTTACAGTTACAATTGTGAGTAAGCGGGAGTGTGTGCGCGGGGGCGGCGCGTCCCCATAACCCACACCGTGTGCAAGCTTCCTTCCTACCCGGGCTCGAACATCATTCTCATCACCATCACGAAACCCTCCCCCCCCATCCTTTAACCTCACCCCAAGCACCCAGACGTGGAGCGTTAATGCACTGCAGTGCAGCTGCAGAGAAACCACCACCACGCTGTCTCATCCGCTGCCAACTCACCATCCCCAAGACCAGTTTGAGCTATCAAGGCGCTGGCGAGTCCTAAAGAAATCTGCAGGAGCACGTGTTGTCTGTCAGAGGGCGGAGTCCCCGCGCCGCTCAGACGAGCAATGGGGCACAAGGCATTTTTCTCCATTGGTGGCCCTGAGGCAGTTGTGGAAATTCCATATTTCCATGGCAGGGCTTATTTTTTCCTTAGGGTGACCACCGTTGACTTTCCATAAAGTGGTACCCATATTGCCAGGATTGGCAAAGGGACGAGTTGATCTAATGAGCAGGATTTGAATGCACAACATTTATATATGAAATATTTTAAATTGCTAGCAAATATGCACATACATAATTTAACTGATAAACATTGATAGTCTCCAAAATAAGTATTTGTTCACATTCATGAGTGCTTCCGCAGGCTTTAATTTACTTTGGCCACTGAGGGTTTTGTTATCAATTTGTTGTTTAAATGTACTGGGTTAAAAAATAAATTGTCTTTTAAGGTTAAGTAATATCCTTTTTATTTCGTGTACTCATTTGCAATTGTCTTCGAAATTTCTCGACATTTGTAACACCTTTCTCAGGGTAGATATTGACCATTGCAATGATGCTGTTTTATACTTGGATTTTTTTTTTCAAATATACTATTTCAGTGCGATTGGTTAATTCTTATTTTTTTCGCCAAGAATTGCTCTGTGCAAAATTAGAACATGTACTTGTCTACATATGCTCTAATCAACCTAATGAATGTTTCTACATATATACCATGGTAAAACGTAGTTATTTTAAATATTGCATTTTGGCCAAACTATCTCGTATTACCATACAATGAAAATACCATTAAATACAGAGCAAAGCAAATGAAGGTCACACCGCCAAAGCATCCTCATGGGAAAATCAGAAATGGGGAGGTCCCCTTAACTACGCTCGAACCTGAGCACTTGTACTGCCACAAATGTGCTGAGACCTGAACCAGTCATGGAATTTCTATATTTCTTCAGCAAAGGCCATTCGAACCACCGCTGTTGTTGAACCTCAGGAGGTGCTGGTTCATGTGTGATGGGCCGAGTTGAACCGCATTTGAAATTCAACTTGCAGCCTTACGCTTGTGAGACATGCTATAGACACAGTGCCGCCCACCCAGAAAGTAATTTATGATAGTGAAGGTATAGTAGTGCCACAATACCTTATGTGTATATATATATATTTGAAACCATGTTCATTTGAAGGTCGTACCTGCTTCCCTGAGCCAGCCATGTGATATAACATGTGAGCCTGCCTAGATTGTGGGCTTAAATATGTTTTAAACAATTTAACATTTCTGGTCTTGGTGATTTTATAAACTAATAAGTAACTTTCATGTTTTCGATGGCACAATTTTGTTGTGGCTAACATCCATATGCTGATGTTACGACGCTGTGTGCTTTTCCACCAATAGCTGTTAAATATCTTGTTTTAACAAGCACTTTTACTGCCACAAATGTTAGTTAACTACATCAATCAGAAGTCGAGTAACATTGTAATAGTGATAGTGGTGTTAAATGGTCTGTTATTTGAATTTAACAATCATATATTCCATTTGGCTATTTTATTCACAACTAATATACTCTGCGAAAATGTATTTTAAATCTATCTAAAAATCAGATCTACACTGTTCGATTTGTGAATTGGACATCATGGTAAATAACTACATGTATAGTTTAACCAGGAGCTCGGATGGAGATATCCCTTTGTGCGTATACGATCGTTTTCCACTTGTCCTCCAGTGGAAGCATTGCTTGCCACTTTCAGTTTGTATGGAATCACATTTGTGTGCCTCTCATCCACAGATAATAGCGGCGCAGGAGGAGATGCTGAGAAAGGAGCGCGAATTGGAGGAGGCCCGCAAGAAGCTGGCTCAAATACGGCAGCAGCAGTACAAGTTCCTCCCCTCGGAGCTCCGGGACGACCAGGAGTGAACCAGATGCCCCCCCCTGGCATGACCGACACCGATGCCACCTTGTGGCCGAACAGTCCCACTCTCTCCTCCACCAGTGCCAACTCCTTGCTCTCCTCTGTGCCAAAATCCCTTTTCGGTGATGCTGAATGCCCGTCCTCCTTGTACGTTGCCACTCGTTTGTTTGTCAGTACGCAAGACATGAAAGATTTAGAAGCCCAGTTTGCCAGTCAGGTTGCTGGAGCTTCAAATCCTCTCCGTGCTGAGTTTGACCTCTTCTCCTCCTCTGCCAATTCTTGCCCTGAAATAAATGTTCCCATTGCCAAGTCCTCAGTGCCAGATGCTGGAGACTGCCACCCTGGTTCCACGTCTTTAAAAACTGATGGTACCTCTTCATAAACTGGTGTCTCCCCCACCTCCTGTTTAGGTGGAAAGTCACCCAGTAAAGATGCCAGCCATTAAAGCCTGCAGCACTTGCGGCTTTTAGCCAGTCTGTTGGCAAAAATGATGGAAATGCTTATTATCGCTGAACTCTTTTGGCTCGTTTTAGTTTTGTATTGCTGGGAAAACGTGTTTTAGTCAAATAAAAACAGCACAAATGCAGCTAGAATTTTTTTTTTGCTATTTCCCAACGCTTGTCCACGTCTGTCAGTTGGTTGTTTAGTTATCTCTGAATGTGAGATCGTACATTCTGGGGCTAAAACAAATATACAGAATGACAACCAAAATGATCACCTGTTGCTTTAAGACTAGGTAGCTCATCCACACCTCTTGATTAAAAATGTGCATGTGATGGGCAGTGATATTTCTGTGGATGATGCTTCTGGCCTTCAAATTCTGAAAAAATTGCGATTAACTCTTTTGTGAACCAACTTTTTTTTCGCTAGTAAATTCGCCCACTGATGACATGCATGTATATGCCCACCATTTCTAGTCGCTAAAACTGGACTGAATGAATACTCTGGAATAGGTCAAACTGTTCCCTGGCTGCAGATTTCCTTAACAGTGTGCACCAAGTATGTTCCATGTAAACTAAATAGTGGGTGCGTTAGGGGAGCAGCAGTATAGTGGTGAGTTGATTTCGCTACGAACCTGGTGACACCGAGTTCGATTTCTGCTCACGGCCAACATCGGGGACGATTATCTGAACAGGTCCCGGGCCTCCCCTAGGTCGACTCGGCCTCAAGGAAGTACCTGTTGCGAAGTGCAAACATCGCCACGAGAGAGAAAGGTGGCCGGGCGTTGTTGCTGTGACCACCTGTCCTCTCGTGTGTCGTGCCGGCCTTCAGAGGTGCTCGCTAATCGCACTTGCCCCTACAGTCTGTTCAGGCTTTACGGGGGATCTTTGTCTTTTTGTCTCGTGTGCCATGCCCAGCCTTTGTGTGATCTCTAACAGCACCTGCCCCCAACAGTCTGTTGCGACTATATGGGAGGATGTTTGTTTTTTTGTGTTGTAAGTGTGTGCAAAAAAAGACACTCGCACATTAGCAAACTCTTTCAAACTCTCCGCTCGGTTTCCAACACCTGCTGTGGACATAATGGAAAGTCATAGCCCATCATTGCTCAGCCTTGCCCGAATTAGATTTACCAGCCAAGGCATTGGCAAGTCTTGCAATGATCATGGAGACCCAGGTCTGCCCGAGACAATTGAGTCACGACTACATTGTTTTGAATAAGCATCGTGACAGTTACCTGCAAATGTAAGAAAAGCACTGCCGCTAACACTAACTCCCACTTCGCGTGAAGTGAACATTATGTAACTCTTTATGGTGCTGCCCAGATGTGTTAAGAATAATAAGCACACGCTCATGAGAAAATTACTTTTGCATTGATTGTTTTCCTGAATTAAATGTGTTTTCTTTCTTCGCTTGCTTTGATCTGATTAGCGTTAATTAGCACAATTCAAAGCACACACAAACACCTGCAAAATATGGTAGACTCATTAACTCGTATTCCTTTCTGTTCAGCATAATCTTTATCACGAAATGCAAGGTTGCAACACAACGTTATCCCTCGGCTTCGAATCTGATATGCGGCTGTGTAGGTTTCTTTGGCGAGCCGACACATAAGCATCGATTCCCCCGGCACATTCTTACAATTATTGTTATCGTCACGAGACGAGAAGTCGTACGTGGTTACGATAATCTTGAAACATTCACAGTATTACGAACGTACACGCTTGACCGCTGTGATGTGTGTGTGTGTCGTGTGCCAGAGGGACGTATCTTAGTCCCACTTCATCTCTCCTCGTATAAATTGCATTGGGACGGACAGCATGTTTTTGCAAGTGGAAGAGCGCTCCATCATAACTCGCATCGTCAAACATGTGGTGCTCTCGTTTGATTTATTATTATTATTTGCAAAGCGGGAATACAATAGAAACACAACAATGCTCACTTACCTTCAACTTTTAACAAGATTTTTATGATAAATGTATTTACAGTATTCTTATATTCCTAATTTTAAAAAAGAGCGTGTTATGTAAGTTCGGGTTTTTTTTTTGGCACGCACAGTATACAATCGTGCATATATCTTCAAGTTTTAAACAAATCCCAGAGCTCATATGTACCAACATTGTTACGCAGCTTAACGTGTAAGCCATACTCCTATGCATATAACCCTATACGCCATCGTAGTGTTGTTCCCCTGCACACGTTTGTCTCTGATGCCCTCCCTGGTTTGTGGCTGGGTTGTCATTTTAAGCAAAAAAAAATCCGTGTATAAACCGCCATACCTTTTAAGCCGTGTTACCTGGAAAGTTGAAAGTGTACCGTTGTAAGGAAATGCAGTGTATATTCCTAATCATTAAAAAAATTATAATAAACGTAAGCATTTCTTCTTAACCGTTGGGAAACCTGATACAGTATTGCTTTTGTGTGGATTTTCCCGGTCTTGGTATGTTCCCCACTGACTCAACAACAAAAAGAACCGCCCACCATATGGTCCTTGTTAAGCAGATTCTATCTCCAGTGTCTGATGGATCTGTCGAGTTAAAGGTTCAAGTGATTTCCTGCTCGAGTGAGCACGGCATGATGGCTCCATCTCCATTGGCCTCCTGCTGATCCACCTGGCAAGGTTGCTCGACGGTTGAGCGAGCAGCCCGCAGTCGGAAATGTGCGAGGTCAGGCCCTGGTGTTGTGAGGAGTTGACTCAAGCCTGGCATCCCTCTGGTGTGCTGATACAATACGTATTTTGTGAGAAAGTTTAAATAGTGCGTGTCCTATGGGAAGACTCATCGCTGCAATCGGAAAGAGGAATTCCCACCATCAGCTCAGGGCTATAAACAGGAGATGATCACTGCCTCAAAGTTCGTTAAAAAAATGAATTTTGGTCATCCTGAACCAGTGGTAGAAATTCCACATGACTATGGTGGAGACCGGTCTCCATATGATGGCCACGCTTAACTTCTCACAAAGTGATTGGAAATGTTTTCAACCCTGGTGGGATCGTGACGTTGAGCTGACCTCCAACTGGAGTTTGAGCTGGGAACTCCTGATTGCGAGCTAAGCAACATTGTGCATTGCTGCACCATATGTAGACAGTATCTGTATGCGTGTGGTCCCTACTGTTTGCTGTGAAGCATACTTAAGATATTTTAGAACATGTATTTTAAGCAAAGCACAGCTGCGCTATGATGATGAAACCAGAAAGGTCTGGGTATGTGCAACACCATTGCTTGTCTGAGCTACAGGAATGCAGCATATGTACATGCACGTGTGTTCACGCAATCCCCTCAACAGGACAGTTGGACCCTGTGCTGGTAGGGTAATTTTTAAATGGCCCTGCAAAGGGGAATGCCCCAGAGCTGCAGTAATTGCTAACAGATTTGTTCTGCTGAAAAATAACAGCTACCGTGTTAAGTACAAGTCGAGGTCACAGTCGTCAGAGAGAAGCCAGCCAAGAATGCACCGTTTAGCCTCAGCACTTGTACTCTCGGCAAAGTTTGTTTAGACTATAGGACAACAAAGAAGATGGTCCAACACCATGTGAGACTAGGCTCTAAGGAAAGCTGTCTCGGGTGTGGACCAATCAACTTCAAGGACAGTGCATACATTATCAGAGTTATGTTTTTTTTGCATTATGACTGCAGGTATTGTGGTCCATTCAAACATGACTCCTTGTAAAAAAGGTGGCAGTTTTGTTGCCAGATAAAAGGGTAAAAAACCAATTATATGTTTTACTGGCAAATGAGGTACCAATGGTGTAAATGCTTACCCCGAGCTCTCATACTCTGATGGTGCATTGTCTTTGAGTTGTGCGCCTTTTGGCGTTATCTGGTCCAACCCATGTGAGACTAGGCTCTAAGGAAAGTTGTCTCGGGTGTGGACCAATCAACTTCAAGGACAGTGCATACATTATCAGAGTTATGTTTTGTTTGCATTATGACAGCAGGTATTGTGGTCTATGCAAACATGACTCCTTGTAAAAATTAACCCGTAAAAACAAAGTTTTTCACTATAAATCCTTTATATGCGTGGCAAATAAATTACAGTACGTGTTCAATGGGCCACAACCCAGCCCACATTGGTCTTTGAAACGGGCGGCTAGAGTCCTCTTGTCCTCTGGCTTGAGATGGCTGCCACCTATGGGTCAGATGATTGCCTGCCACCATTAAGCAATTGGTAATTAAATATTAAAAAAAAATTCCTAAAATGTTGAAAATTTTGGAAAAAAATGTTCACGAAAATAAATTGTCACGCACGACGAGTCTGTGTGCAAAATGTCAGCTCAATTGGATCACGGGAAGTGGGTTAAAAAACGACCGAAATATTTGCACGGTCGTAAGCACGCAAGCAAGCAAGCAAGTGAACTTAATATAAAGGATTTTAAAAAAAGGTGGCAGTTTTGTTGCCAGATAAAAGGGTAAAAAACCAATTATCAAAGAAGATGCTCTATTTAACGCTCAGCGTTTGACAATGTATACATACATCAAACATGGTATTACAAGTCCTGAGATGTGCTTGACTTTTTAACTGATCTCAACTCTGCGGTTTAACTGCCACGCATTCACATTCGGTCCGCGATGCCATCTGGGGGCCACAGCATCAATTCGTGATTCGTGGTGGCAACGATTCGTTGACAATGATTCATGTATACGTCCAATGAAAGTGAATTAACATGAAAACCAACTCAAAGAACTTGAACAATGGAGCGGAACGAGGTTGTGAACGTTCACTTCTTAACCAGGATAAACTCTTCAGAATCATGTTACATTTCTAAGCGAAGAAATCATTATTTTGACCAGTGAGTAGGTGATCACGGGTGGAATGGTGACACAGTTGTTAGCTCACTATGCCATGAACACAGCGACCCGAGTTCAGTTACCGGCCATGGTGAACATCAGTGGAAGATTAATGTGCGAAGTAATCCCAGGTCACCATCTACACCAGGGGTGGCGAACGTCCGGCCCGCGGGCTGTATGAGGCCCGCGAAATCATTTGGGTCTGGCCCTGCCAAGGCAACTGCAGGCGGGACTCGAAATTCAATCAATCTATGAGCAAACCTGGAAAAGCAGTTGCAAGTAGCAACATCATCAATACCAGCTAACACCACACGCCTCACCAAAGAGAAGCAGTTCCAGCCATCACATTAGGGGTGAGTTAATTTTTGACCAAATATAACAGGCGCATTTTTAAGTTGATAATTTTGTATGGCCCGCGAATGATGTTATAAATATCCAAATGGCTCTTGGCAGAAAAAAGGTCCCCCACCCTTGGTCTACACAAATCACACTGACCAGCATGGTGAAGTATGGTCCAACAACCTCCCCCCATGACTGTCATAGTGTGAGGTGGCCTTCATTCAACAGGGATATCAATTCGTATTTAAGTATGATCAAAATGAAAATGTTGACCATATAAAGGCATCGGTGCCACAAAAGCTTGCACCGCAAGTAGTTCCAAAGGGTGAAATATCCAGTCTTCGTAGGTCTGTGCTTCACACAAGGATCGCCCCACTGTCAACCATATGATTATCACCAGATAATGCTCAATATTGACCCATGGAGAGCTGATAGCTGGGCTTAAATATCACCGACGTGGGTGAGGTCATTGCATTACCATCACAACTGTTTAGCTGCAACAGGTAATATCGAATTACTCATATAAATCTCGACTCCAAAGATTTAAAAAAATCTATCCTTAATTATTCGATGGTTAAAAATAAAAGTAACCACGCACACTCGTGGAGTGGTGGGATAACTATACATGGATAATGGATCGCCAAATGTTAATTTTTAATTGGGTGCAGTGTAATTTCAAAAGTATTCCTTGTCAGCTAACTATGCTGCAGCTGCTGTCAATGGAGCAGAGGGCATCCTGTGATGGAATTGCTGGCTGCTGGTAGCAAAAATTGGCAGCAGAACTAAAAAAAAGCTGGTACATCGGAACATGATGAACCGAGGCATCCCCCTTCCATTGCTACCAGAACTCCCCCAATCCCACAGTGACCCTCACCGTGCCCGCCATAGCTTCATCATCGCAATACCTGCCACTGAACAGAGAGTGCGGGCACACACACACATTCCGTGCGGTGCTCACTTTAAAAAAAAACATCACCACTTCCAACCTAAAGCGAGACGGAGGGGTTGGGGCGAGAGAGAGCGAGGCGGGTTTGGAGTTTTGTCGGCTACCGAGGGGGCTGGGCTGGCTTGCGGCTGCTTGCGGGAGTGGTGCCCGGTGGGAGGAGGAAAGGGAGGAACCTTGCTCTCTCTCTCGACAGTCTCTCCACCCGTGCCCCTCTTCCTCCATCTCCTCCCTCTGCTGTCCTCCACCCTCGCCCCCTGAGCTTTTGTTCAGCTGCACTTGACCGAACACGCTCACTCTGCTCGGCAGTCTCGCCACACTCCCCCTCCCCCAGTTGTCCAACAAACCAGAGAGCCAACTCTGATCTCTCTCTCATCTCTCATCTCGTCTCTCGCTCACTCTTTCTCACGCGCGCAAGCAAGACAACCCCAAGCAGCGACCATGGAGGCCATCAAGAAGAAGATGCAGATGCTGAAGCTGGATAAGGAGAGTGCCATCGAGAGAGCGGAGCAGGCTGAGGCAGACAAGAAAGCGGCGGAGGAGAAAGCTCGCCAGGTGGGTTAGTTGCGATGTTCCGTGGGTTCGCGTCCGGCACCCGGTGCTGAAGCGCACACAGAGAGACCCAGCCCTTATTGCCACTGCAGCGGCTAGTAGCGCAGACTGATTGTGCATTTTCATACGGGGGGAGTGGGTCCGTCATTTTCTGACGGGCAGGGAGGGGTCGAGTGCAGAGTTAAGAGGGGGGGGGGGCAGTGTTTGTTCTCCGTTAAGAGAATTAGATCAAGCCGGCGCGTGCGTAATTGTGTGCGCGTGTTCGTGCGCACGTGGCCGGGTGTCACCGCGTCGCTGCGCGGCATCGCTAAGCGGCGAATGCAAGCGGCTCAGCGAGCCGCGCTGCCAACGATATATACTGCACTGCAGTGGAGCCGCGTGAACACGTGCGCAGCGACGACGCACCCCGTTGCGTGCGTGTGATCACAAGCGTGTTGATGGAGGAGACTCAACTGCGCAAATCGGGAATTTGGGCGGTTGCTCGTCCCAGCGGGCAGCTCTGAGCATCTTGCGGAAATTCCACATTTCCGCCAGTTATCCCTTAAATACGGGCACGATACACCGTACAAACAGTTTACAGTTATTAATTCCCGTAAAAGTACATGGGTAGGTGATATAGAGGTGCATAACCTGCACTGGATTCTAAATACGCAAATTGCACGGACAGTATTATAAATGGGAGATGCGGTAGTGCGGTGGGTATCTCACAGCGCTATGGAGCCAAGTTCGATCCCTGGCCACGGCTAACAATCAAGTGACGAGTAATCATTTGAATCGGCCCGTGGCCAGCCCCTTGCACCACACCTCACCAGTTCCGCACTGACCAGCCAGCAGCGGTGGTGAAGTATGGTGAAGAAACCCCCACTCCTCCTCCCCCCCATAAAGAACACGGCATGTGGTGAGGCCTTCATTCAGCCGTTTGGACTGCTAACTAACATATTAATGAAAAAAAATCAAATAGGAGATGTCACAGAGAGGAAAGTCACGTTTCGGCCGACTGGTCGGTAAATGATTATAAGCGAGATCACAGAGAAGGCTCAATTCGGCCGGATCGTGAAACGACGCCGTTTAGTGTGCGAGAGATGAAGAGCGGATGAGTTCACGTCCGTCAATTCGACCGTCGCTGTCATCACGAGAGGCGATTGCTCACATCGGCTTGAGACCGAACCCCGTGGCGGGTTACGTTTCAGTCCTGACCGTGGGGTTTAGAATCTACGTGATGAAATAGCGCAACACCTCGGAAGTAGTGATGCATGGCGATATATGCCTTGTCTGACTGCAAAAGTTAACGAGATATTAAAACATGTATCGGTGTGTTCTACCACAACTAGACCGTGACGAGTTCACATCCCGGTAAAGGGGGCGATAAAATCAGCACAGCATATCTTTGTTGGAAGTGAGCATTGGTCGCAATGTGGGCGTACTGGTCCCGTCATAAGAATGTCGAATTTCCACCAAACTTGGCTCAGAGTCGCGAACGAAGGTGAGTAGCAAGGCACGTTGACATTGCAGTCGCCTGTTTTCCTGTTGCTTTTCCTCGAAAATAAATTTTAAACAAATTTCAATCCGTTCACGACAGTGTTGTGGTGTGAGTGGACCAGCGGCATGGTTATCGAAGTAGGCAGAGGGAGGCGAACTCATGCGGAAACTCTCACGTTGTGCATGACTGCGCCGAGCAAAGTTGGCCGGGGAGTATGAGGGCTAAAGCAAATAGGAGGGCAATTGAGTCAAAAAATGGACCCCCCCCCCTTCTCCCACTCAGCTCTTCCATCACTTTAGCCACATACAGTTCCTTTAATTCGTTACCAGCTACTGCTAAGACTCTTCAATGTCATCAGAAATATCAATAAGCAGTGGAGCTGTGGCACAGCGGTTAGCACACTGCATCCTGGACGTCAGTCTGATTTTGGGCCAGTGTTCACTCGCATCCGTGGCGAGTGGCATCCCAACCGGTCCTGGGTTACCCCCGTTACTAACTCGCACTTGCCAGCGTGGTGAAGTATGTTCAAATGATCGCCATGACCGAAATGGCGAGGGAAGGCCTTTTTTCCAGTCGCGGATTGGAAAAGGGTTGTAATGTAATTGATGGAGCATTAATGTGATGGAAAAGGTAATGAAACGTTAATATTTCTAACTTAAATAACACAGACCACTGATTAATAGTGTTTATGAACTGTGGACACTATTGCTCTTAATGTACTATTTTCGTAAAGGGCATTCAAAAGTCATAGATTTATCTTTGCTCAAATGCGCAGGAGGGTGGAACTCATCTCTCTTGGTGGGCCTGAGCCAGTGGTGGAAGTTCCACATTCTCATGGTGAAGGCCAGTCTATTAATACATTTGTGAATGTTCACATTATGGTCTTAAAAGTAATGGAGGGATTGGATCATGCCGTAAGAATGTGAAATGTCTACCACTGATTTAGATCCGCTAATGGCAATGAGCACTGCCCGTCTTGACTTCAGCAAGATGGGAATATTTGGGCAGCGACCTTTGATATATACAATAAAAAATAGTTTTACTGATGAAATTATGGTAAAGTTGCTGTACACAGTGCAGCAATTTTATCAATACTCTAAATTATTTAAGCCAAGTAAAAGACTATTATTAGGAAGACTAGTTTATTATATTACATCTACAATAAATATAGTATGCAATCATACTATCCCATTCAATATACATTCATTTATCTTTCCAACATTTTAAAATATATCTCAAAACACTGATGAAAAAATATATTTATTTCTTGGGAAGTGCCAAAACATTATTAATGTGTTAATACTATTTGTACTGTCTACTCTTACATTATTCGTGTCTCTATTACTTCCAATGTCTACATTGAAACATTATTATCACACAATCTGGCAAGGTGGTGCAGTGATTAAGAGCATTGGTCAAATGGAAAGCTTGCAAATTCAGGGCTCGGCTCAGCCTGTTAACTGTCCAAGGTCGATAAATATTAGTACCACTGTATGGGCCAGTCATGAGTGACCTTCCTGTGAATAAACTCACCTCCGCCATGGGAATGTGGAATTTCCAGCAACTGGTGCTGGCCTCCCGACGGAAATGAGTGCCCTCCGAAGTGGAAACGCTTTTCAGTTTGGCTTACGCCTTCGAAAGGAACTCCCCTAGCGTTGTTAGTTTTTTGGCATTATGAGCAAATGTGTTTTTGTTTCACAATGCAAAATTAAGCCAGAGTCATCCCTGTGTTGCCTCACCGTGCCTCGCAGATGGAGGATGAGTTGCTGGGTCTGCACAAGAAACTCAAAGGTACAGAGGATGAGCTGGACAAGTACTCCGAGGCGCTCAAGGATGCCCAGGAGAAGCTGGAAGTGGCCGAGAAGAAGGCTGCAGATGTAAGCAACAAGATCGCGATATTGCAAGCAATGCAGCCACAATTGTACTGCACACACACACACGTGCGCGAAATAACTACTGCCACGCAGAGCACGACGTGACGATCGTACACACCTCACTGCCACAGCCACGCCCAGTCACGACCACAATGCTCACAATGCCACCACACACAACACTGCTGCAAACAAGAACTGAAATCAGAAAAACAAGAGGGGTGCTTCGGGTGGGCCCTGTACCACCAAATGTCCCTTTGGCCCATCCAAAGAGGCATTCCTCAGCTTTTTGTCACTATTTTGGTGGCCCACACAAAAGTTCGACTGGCCCCCCATCTGAGAGGAACTGGATCTGGGCCTGATCTTGACTCTGGTACTTGGCACTTCTTCACGTAAGCCATTCTTCTCCTTTCATTTGAAGAGAAGGTGTTATTCATATTAATTATCCATTTACCAATCAAAGCCTTGCCGTGCCTCAAGAGTCATTCTCAGATGGGTCTTCCTTTGAAGTGTTTGGTTAATTGCTTATATGAGTATTTTCACTTGTAAAAAAATACCATAAGGACACACGATTGTAAACCATTGAAATGCCACTTACACACATCAAAAACATGGATGGGAATGGGCTCTCAACTGACGTAGTAAAATATCTCAAATCAGTTTGAATTGTCATCTCATGCATATTATATTGTATTCTATTGTGTTTAACTCGTAGAAATAAATGGCATCGCTTTACTGTTGGATGCAAAAGATTGCCAGAGCCAAGTCACCTACCCAATCACTCATTGTCTAACGAACAACGGTGCCATTGCACTGGCCTGCCCATGTAACAAGAGCAGTTACAACGATACTTGTAGTTGCTATGCGATTCTGGGGATAGGGCCGAATCTCATGAATGGCACATTCATACGCGAAGCCACATTCAGATATTCAGGCCAAGGGGAGAAAAAAAACACTTCTGTGGCTTAGGCACTGCATTCAGTCCATCCTTCTCACATTTACCATTCGTCATATACATAAGTATATATGTAACACTGCACACTGGGCAAGTGTGACACGGTTGCAATGGCCATATTATAGATGGCAGTCACTGTTAACATTTTATGCGCATGCTTGCACCAGTCGCACCTAAATGACGGCAAATCTAAAACGAGGAATGGCCCTCGATTCGCGTCAAATTCAACGCGCTGAGCTTGAAAACGAATGAGATGGAAACGCTGGGCTGTGGAGCGCCCTGGGGCCCCCCGAGGCCTGAAGTTCTTCACCCAGGTCCATTCACAGTCAGACACCATGCACAGGTCCCTGAATAAAATCAGCCGCAATGCCATCAACGCTGTACGAGGAAGACTCACTGGATTGTTTTAAATCTCGTAAACGTCACGCGTTCACCGGCTCACTTAAACAACTTCAGCAGCAGGAGACGAGGAAGCTATTTCACGTGTACTTCATCTTGGTTGTAAAAGACAGCTGCTTTGATGCCCAGCAGCCACCCACAAGGGCAATGTTGGCAACAGCTTACATGCGTGGCCCGTAGTGCGAAGAAGGGCATGCGTCTGTAACGCCACCCGCTGTTTCCGTGGATGGAAAGCCACGGCCGACCGTGCCGTCGTGACACCAACGTGTCTCTCTGGCTCACTATATTTGTCTAATCGCGTAAAAGCCAACGAACGCACTGCATGCCTGCATACAAAAACACCCAGCCACCTGGTGTCAACACTTTTCCTGGCTCTCCCCTTGCTTAACTCAGACTTAATGAGCCAACTCACCTTTATATGAGAACTTGATGTGTAATCATTGGCACTGTGATTTCCTTAATAGATGCTTATATCAAAGACAAAGATCCCTAGAATAGCCTTTAACAGACTGCTGGGGCAAGTGCTGTTAGCGAGCACCCATGAAGACCAGAACGGTACCTGAGGAGGTAGGTGGCCAGTACCACGCCCGACCGCCTTTGTCTCCCTCGTGGCCATATTTACACTCAATACCAGGTACTCATTTGAGGCTGAGTCGACTTAGGGGAGGCCCAGGTCCAGTTCAGAAATTCGTCACCGGTGTTGGCTGTGAACGGGAATCGAACCCTGGTGGCCGGGTTCGTAGTGTAGCGCACTCACCACTACACTACCGCTCCCCCCAGTTTATAAGTACACATACGTACACGCACTTGCATGAGGGCTAGCACAAGTAAGCCTCTTATGGAAAGTGAAGGCAAGTCATGTCAGTGCCCATTGAGTAATGGCTCTTTGTTGAGATAATGTGCTTAAAATAGTTCCTAAATGATAGCTTGTAGGAAAAATAAAAATAAAGTTGTGTTCATGCGTAACGTGCCAATTGATGTCATAGTCGCCACCCTGCTGTGATGTTGCAGGCATTCTCCCGCTGTCCCGGCGTATGGGTGAATCATATGAATACAATTTTGATTAGCACATAGCGTCGAAATATAGAGTCCTCTCTAGATGCCGTACCGACGTGATGGGATTTCAAACATCAGCAGGGTGTGGTAAGGAATAACTTGATCAATCGGCTCCATGTGAATTCTAACCAAAAGCTCGAGGTCAATGAATGCATCGAGCCAATGATTCAATTACAGGCAGCTGCCTGGTTACTTTTTCCTGCTAATTATTAAAGTGCACTGCCTGGCATACAGTGAATGTCGTGTTTACGTGTTGAACTTCTTTCGCACCGTATATAGCCAGCCATGCTATTCGGGGACACGGGGGAAGGACAAAAAATTAACACAAAAAGCAGTTCGAAATAATTCGTTTTCAATTTAGATTTAGAAGTGCAAAGCTCCAGTGGTTTCCCAATATCGGAAGAGCGTTCCAGACGGCCGCAGAAGCAAATCTTAAAGCGTGCGATGCAGTGACTTTCTTTGTTCGATGGTTAGCCAAAAGCAACTGCGAGGATGATATTGAAATAATCACAAGAGTCTGCAGTTTTTGTGGTGATATCAGAGCCTACGTTTGATATATAATCTTAATCATTACTAAATACAGTGAGAGGGAATCATCCAATGTGATACTAGTCATCAAGTCTCTCTGGCATGAAAGATCATGACGGGGTTGGTTCTTATCTGATTAATTAGATGATGATAATTGATAAGATATCAAATCTAGAAATTGAAGAGGATGGCGGGGGGGATGTAGCAACATTGATATTAAATAGCCTCATGAATTTGAATGTAAAAAAACAACATAGACATGCATTCAGTAGGAGCTGCACAACAGAGGGCGTGACCAACAGTAGTGCCGCTCTTGATAGGAAGTTGAAAGAACAGACAATACGATTTGTTTGAAACGGAGTGAGCAGGAGATAGAGATATTATTTTAGCAGGCATGATGCAAAAGAACATAGCAAACTGTGATTTTTTTTTACCAGGAAAGGCCCACTGAGCTATGTAGCTTTTTTTTCAGAATCGACCTGGCCACAAATGATCGCTCAACGTAGTGGCAGATCACGTGGAAATGTATAGCAGCCAAATATTCTAAACGCGTGTTTCTACAAATGTGGAGGGGGAAACTGCAGGACGCAAAGAAAAATCCACGCGACCACGGGGGAGAACATGCAAACTCCAAATATACAGCAGCAGGCGGCAGGGTCGGAATCGAAACCCACGACCTCCTGCATACCAGGCGAGGTAGTTAACATCTCGCCACCGTGGGGCCAATGGCATGCTGTGCGCAGATAGTGAACAGATATAGTCAATGGAAGGGCCTTAATAAGGACAGGTGTAAATCGGTCCCCTTTTGTTCGTTTGAGTCGTGATATAAATAAACGTATGAATGCGTCCCTGTGTGTGTCGGGAGGGCGTGCTTTCCGCGTGCATGTGTTTTACACACTGCTCGCCGCCGCGCTCCCGGATAATTCACATGCTTGTTCAGCAGGCAGCACTTTGCAGCCAAGGTCACTGCTTCGGGCACAGCGTAACAGGGCAGGAATAACACCACGAACAGTGCAGTCACAGATTGCCCCGTGCATGGATGGACCCAATCGTACGAATGTAGAATTGACAAGATCGTTTAATCCTCCTTTTGGCTCGAGGCGCGCACGTCCCGCCGTATCGTTCTCCGATGTGTCGTCGGGATGTGCGGCGCGTTGTTTTCGTCGCGTTTGGCCGAAGAGTTTCGCTGCGAGTGCTGGGGGATTCTTCAGCAAGCGAGAGCGATACAGCTTCACCGCAGAAACAAAGACAAACGTCCCCCGTATAGCCCTAACAGACGGTTGGGGGCAAGTGCTGTTAGCGAGCACCTATGGAAGGTCGGCACGGCACACGAGGGGGTGGGTGCCTAGCACCATGCCCAGCTGCCTTTGTCTCCCCAGTGGCGATTTCTACACACCGCCCCAGGTGCACATTTGAGACTGAGTCGACCTAGGGGAGGCCCAGGAACCGGTTCAGATAATCGTCACTGGTGTTGGCCGTGAGCGGGAATGGAACCCGGGTCGCTGAGTTCTTAGCACTGCGCACTAACCACTACACCACCGCAGTGAATGCATACGGTACATAAAAATCATACACATTCTGTGCATATATATTATTTATTGTCATATTTATACAACATATTCCACAACAGTTACATATGTACCACAAACCCAGACAACACAATTTTCATACATTGAGTTAAACACTGATTACATGAAATTACTATAAAGCAAATTAGTATGTAAAGGAATACAATGGTAAATGATATAAAATATATAAAAAGGAGCCACTCTGTTTAGATTTAAGACGAAAAAAAATTGCTGAAGATTTTGCCATAAATCTTTACAGATAAATATATTTTCATCGTTGTTTTGAATGCTGGCAAAGGAACTCTCTTCTCAGTTCCGAGGGAAGAGCATATCACGATCATGGATCTACAAAATGGGAGCATTTTCCTGATATGAAGTGCATTTATTACATATTGTCTCGTTTAAAAGCATGCTACAGTCCCTTAATATTAAGCACTGCATATAAGTTTGTTCATAAGTCAACCATTTTCAAACTTGTCAACGTGTTAGTACACTGTGTT